CAAGACAAAAAACGACAGACCACGTAATGCGTGCTCATTCGCCGGCTTACGACGCCGACGACGTCACCTGAAGTTTTTTTACGAGAACCTCGACATTTTCAAACTATCGTGAAAACGACGATGGCAAATCCGTTTCCAGTTCCTTTAAAATATCCGGCGTTCGGTCACTACCCCGAAAAGTCAATACCCCGAAAGCCACTACCCCGAAGTCACTACCCCGAAAAGTCACTAACCCGAAAAGTCATTACACCGAAAAGTCACTACCCCGAAAAGTCACTACCCCGAAATCGTTTACCCCGAAAAATGACAGCATTGTTTTTCCCGGAAAAATCCAGTTTTCATGCGGTTTTCCTATGAAAATCTTGCAAATTATTTCGGGGTAGTGACTTTTCGGGGTAGTGACTTTCGGGGTATTGACTTTCGGGGTAGTGACTTTCGGGGTAGTGACTTTCGGGGTATTGACTTTCGGGGTATTGACTTTCGGGGTAGTGACTTTTGGGGTAGTGACTTTTCGGGGTAGCGACTGTACCCCAAAATATCCGACATCAAAAATGAACCCGATACTGATGTGAGTCATAAGCAATTTGCCAAAACTCCAAAAACGTCTCGTTTGGAAAAACTCGACTACTAGCCATCCCCGGCCCTCCTTGACCCACTACCCCCAGAGTGCCGTGGCCGGCGTGCGCATTCTGGACGCTCGAAGCGTTCAGGCTGGGGCGAGAGAGAAAGACATAGAGAGAGCGAGAGAGAGAGAGAGAGAGGCGATAGCCCTCTATCGAACTAGCGTGTTTATTGTGTGTCGGAACGGGCTGGCTAGCTGGCTGGCCAGCCGCCCGGGGCGAGCGAGCGAGCGCGGGCGCGTTTTGTTTGGCTTCTATTCCGAGTCGAGTCGGGATTCGCGTGCTCCAGCGCCCGGAGGGAGCGGAGCGCGGGGTCCCGTCTCGTTTCACAGTCTCCCCCCTTCGTCACGAAATGCAAATCGACGATGGGCACTGCGGCTGGCTGGCCTGGGGCGTGCTCGCTGAATGAACGCTCATGGATTTGGGGCAGCAATTTTGCTGCTGATTTAAAGGGGTTGTGAAGGCAAATCTATCGGCCTTGAGATGGACTGTAATATCTATCGATACTCGTTAGAATAAATTTAACTTAAAGCGAGAGCGAGAGAGAGACAAAGAGTAAGAAAGAGAACTAGCCTAATTTTTCAGGTAAAATGCGGCCCTCTCCGAGCACGAATGCACGTCGAACTCTTCCTGTGCCCGGGAATCCATCAACCCTGCATCGAACTCGGTCACGAAATGGTCAGCCCCAAGGAGTTCACCGTGCGGGCCAACAAGGACAAGCAAAAGGACTGGAAGGGCTCGATTCGGATAGGGAAGAGTAATTTGAGGTGAGCAATAAGATTACCCGAAAGCGTTGCGTATGGGTTACGTTGCGTGTCATGGCAGACGCTAATTCCTAATGCCAGCCTACCAGCGTGAATTGGTACAGTCAAGGCAAACGCAACGCACACGCAACGCAACCTTCAGAATCGACCCCATCCTGGGCTTAGGTCTCGACAATACGAAAATAAAACCAACTCCGTCTCAGTTTTAGCGGCACATATTAATACGTATTTCGAGCACAGACGCGAAATTCGACTAGACATTTCTTCATAGCTTAAGCGTTTGGTTTGGTTGTTGCATTTGGTTGTGGCCAGTATCTGTCGAGAACTAATCGATAAAATGGTCGAATGTTGCGTTTTTCGGCTGCTTTAAAATTAAAACCTTAAAAAATCACGTGCTTAAGACCAAATTTCCAATTTAATTTAGAACCCTAATGGAACTCCGCACGTTCGACTTCTTCAACCACGCACAGTATTGCTCGGCAAAGTGCCAGAGCCGGAATTATATAACTCCGAAGAGCGAGAGGGCTATTCAGGAAAATGGAGAAAGAGACTTCAGGTAGATTTCTTGGCCTTGATTTTCTGAATTTCTGAATATTTTTAGAAGAAGCAGCATCAAGTCCTTCGACCATTTTATGGGAATGACGCCCCAGTCAACTCCCGCTCCTTACGGGATTATAAAACATGAGAATGACTCGTTGTCCCATCTCGTCCAGATCTCTACAGCTTTGAATAATAACAACAACGGGTTGCCGATGATGCTCCAGACGCCGAGCGAGATCTCAATGACGCCAAGGGTGCCTACCGTAAGTTCCAAAGCTTTTTGCCTATTTTCAGTAAAAAAAGGCGCAGTATAAAGTTTAGCGTCTGTATTTTCAAATAAAAAATTGTTCTTCAATAAAACCCCGGTATTTTAAAGTATTTTTGAACAATTTTTTCATATATTACACTAAAAAATCGGAAGAGATCAGTTTCAACGAGATTTTTCAGAACGATGAAATCCTACATCGACTCCCTGCAACTCCCGAAAATGTTGGCCGAGTTATGCATTCTGGTAAGTGTTCCGACCTTTTATTAGGCGTTAGGCTGTTTGTAAGGATTGCCTGTAAGTTAATGACGAAAGATACTTTAGACGCCACCACCTTCTGGCCCCAGATGCAGCAAATCGGGCTGCTGGATGAGATCGTAGACACGATGCTGTCCGAGCTGGATACGATTCGGAACGAGACAAGAGTTCATAATATCACTCCGAGAGGTGTGTATCCAAAATTAAGGATTGAGCATTGCTACAAATTACTATAAACGACGCTGATGGTGATAGTCCGTTGCTTAAACCTCGTTTTAGTCTGTGCAACCCTCTCCCGTCTCTGCTCCTCCCTTGACCTCACTCCGATCGTCGCAGCAAAGTTGCGAAGTCGTCCTCCCCCGCCTCCCCCACCGCCCCAGCCGATGTTCCAGGCTCTGCCGACTTCCGGTGAGTTTTGGTATTAACGGACCAGAGAAGAGAGCGAGAAGAGGAGAGAGACAGAGCGCGCGCAAAAGAGAGAGAGAGGCACAGAGAGGGAGCGAGCGAGAGAAACAAGAATATGCAAAAAAAAGAGTAAAAACAAGGACACGAGCCCTTTTAGACCTGCTAAGTGGTGAGCGAAAACGAAGCCTGGATGAAGCCCTTTTGTCCCGACAGCTTGGAGCCGCCGGGATGATGCCTGAGCTGAAGAAGCCGAGGGCACAGTACCCGCAGATGGTTCAGTCGCCGTTGATCGAGGCGCTTTTGAAGGTAAGCTAGCTAAAACTGAAGTCATAGCCTAAGCCTAGGCTAGGTCGAAGCTAAGCCTAAGCTAAGCCTAGGCTAATTCCAAGCTAAGTCTGGGCCTTAGTCCTGGCCTAAGCCTAAGCTGTAGCATTTCTTACCTTTCAGGTCCAAACCACCTACCAAATGCACCAGACGCCGTTCGCCAACATGGACTTGTTGCTGAAGTTCGCCTCACAGCCCCCGGCGATGAACATGGGCGACGCTGCCGGGCTGCCAAGCACGACGACCACGTCCCTGGCTTGCCTCCCACCCTTCCCGAGTGGAATTCCTGGACTTCCAACGTCATTATCAGCCGCTATGGGCCAACTACCAAGCCTCCCAAGCAACCTGCAAGCTCACAATCCAATTCAAAGCAACTCCTCGATGCTCTCCGCGGCCCAGCCTGCCCCATCCGCTACCCCTATTGCCGATACGCTGTTGAAAATACAGTAAAATCTTGTAATCTAGGATCTAATTTGCATAACTTTCAAATTACGCCATAAAAATACACATTTTTTAACTTTTACGTAGCAACCGTTTCCAGTCTTGCAATTGGCTAATTTTCAACCACAAATCCTAAACATATACACCTTTTTTTCCTCGCTTCATGTCGTAATTTAAAGCAAGAATTGTGTTCATGCAAATTTTGCTGATTTATGGGCTCGACTGGCTTCAGTGTGCCTTTAAAACAACAATTTTCAAAGCTTTACAAAATTTATTAATACCTCATTTGAATATGCTTGCTGTTGTCTTACACTTTTGCGTATTTTTATTGCCCAAAACCCCCAAAAATTGCTAGTCAAAAACCAATAACGCTACAGCTGTGATGCTAGAATTTTTTTGCTTGTCTGAATTTTTATTTTTATGCTGTTTTATGCGTTTGCCTTATTTTTGCGCTTTTTCACAATCCCCACGATTTTCACGTTCCCAGCTTTAATTTCGTACCCTGTACACTGCCGTATCTCTCTGATTCTTCCATGTGCATTTTCACGTCTTTCAACGAATCCCCTTCGAGTTGCCTCATTTGCATACTATGTCTTTCAAAAAAAAATCGATGATGATCTTATTTTTATTTTTCATAATATTCTAATTTTTGCGGGCTCGAAAATGATGTCTTTCAAATTTTTGCACTACGCTCTAAAATCGTATAATCAAAAATCCTTGTGTTTAGAGCTTTTCTTCCAGAAAATCGTCAGAGTTTCTAGTGGTTCACTTAGAAATCGTACTGTAATTTGAGTGTAACTGTCATTTTAAGTCATCTTTTTGTAAATATCAGCGTCATTTGTACTATTCCGTACTGCATACTTTGTATCTCGTACTCTGTAGTGTGTACTTTTGAGGAAATAAACCGTTTGATGACCGCATGCAATGCAAAATACTATGCAAAACACATAGGAACAAACTTTACAAATTTATTAAAAATCCAAAGACGCGATTTTTTGACCAAAACGTAGCCGCTGTTTAACCAAAATTTGTTTTTAAATTTTTTAACATTTTTGATATTATCTTAAACCCTCATTAGAATTTATCAAAATTTCTCGCGCAATACAAAAACTTCGTTTTTACAAAAAAATCCACTACAAATTTTAATCTTCGTGAAAAATAATATTTGTGGGGCAAATGGACAGCATTATCTTTAGGCCACAACACTTCGTGGCTTGCATGTATAATATAGTTTATAGTTTGTACTTCATTTCATCTGATACACACAGAAACCAATAAGTTTATTCCGCAGTTCACCACATTGTATAATTTCCGTAAGTGACGCCGCTGCGTACGTGTTTTGTAGTAATAATTCGGTGATCGTCCTTCTTCTCCTGCCATTCAGTCGAAATCCGGCCTCTCCTTCCGCTTCTCCGATGGGCTGGGCTGAAAAATGATAGTTTTCTCTCTCTCTCTCTCTCTCTCCCTTTCTCTCTCTCTCCCTATCTATTTTTAACTTTCTTCTATAGCATTCTCGTTCTCTCGCTATCTCTCTCTTTCTCTCGCTAGGACGTTAAAAAATTACCGTCATCTCCGATGCCGGCTCGAATTCGTCCTTCATCGGCAGTTTCATCCTAGAAATCACTATTGAATTTGGCAACTCGATAACGTGAATCTTTGCCTTCCATGGCCCTTTAGAATCCGCACCAACAAACGATAAGCAGCGTGACCATGACGAGGCAGCCCGCAAACATCCCGACGAGCAGCACGACGATCGACAGGTCGAGTTGCTCAGGTACAGCGTCGGATTGAGGTGATTCGGTCTGGAAATCGAAGTGCTGCTCGCTTTCACTCTCTTTCTCTCTCTCTCACTCTCTCTCGTTCCCTCTCTCTCTTGCTCACTCGCTCCCAAAATTTCACCTCTATGCATTGGACGGTAGAAAAGGTAGAGACATAGAGAAGCAGACAGAAAAATACAGCCAGCATCATCCAGTCGGGAAAAGTTTTAGAAAGTACCGTGTTTCTGAAGCCATATCTCCGATTTTCACTTCCGATTCGGCGAAAAATCGAGATTGAAATTTGATATGCAAATTGATTTTGATTTGTGGTGCCGAATTTCAGTCAAAAAATCCTTCAAATTTTTTTATTCGGAGTGGCACTTAAAATTATATGCATCTGCAATGAGGTAAAAATTCATCCCTTCCACCAGAATCTCTCGTTGACGGTCGGATCAATGCGTTCATCAGCGCCCCATCCGCAGTCCAGCTCCACATCGAACTTCCTGGAGTTGAGCCGTTTCTTGTAGGTGGCCTCGTCAACGAAGAAGATAGTGGTGATGGTTCTAACCGGCCGTGGGTCGTAGAAATTCGGATCCTTCTCGTACAGATCTTTCGACACGCAAACGGTCATGTACCGGGGTGGGCCGCGCGTCATTTGGATTTTGAAGTAGATCTGAAAGATATCCGGTTTTCTTTTAAAAATTTGTAATATTAGAATGTAGAAATGTCTGCATTTTAAAATTGGATAATGTCGAAATTTCATGACGTCAAAAATTTAGAGCGTCACACATAAGCTAATTTTCCCGGAAAAAACGCCCGAATCCCGTGCAAAAAAATTGACATTCTGAATTTCGACATTATGAATGTTGACATTATGAAATTTTGATATTATCAATTTTGACAATACGATTTTTGACATTATGATAGCACATCGAGGTACCAAACGCTGCGTTGCGTATTGTGCGCACCTGAATAAAGCCACCATCGTTGGCTCCCTCTCCGCTGTAGCTGGCAGCCGTCACGTTCGCACGCAAAAATCGGTAGACCTCGTATTGTAGCTCTTGTAGGACTGAAAAAATGTTCTGTTATTGCTAGCGTGATGTGGTAAAATCAGTGGTCTCGGCCCTAGCGGGGGCGGGGCTAACACTTTTTGTTTGCCACCGATAGCTATTGGTTTTTATTATTGATTTTTCCAGTGCTTTTAGTTTTTTTTTATGCTAGAAAGTTACAAAAAACCCTTAAAAAATGGATCCCCCCCCCCGGTAGAAATGCCCCCCGCCAACGGTTCAGCACCAAACCAGTGTGATCTTATGTATCTATGATCTTAAGTAGTAACGAGCGGCATAGTCTCAAAAATTAGTCAAGCAATAAGACCAACTTTTGCCCTCGTCCTCGCTGACTTTTTCGAGAATATTCGTCGTGAAGAGGTTGGTCAGCGTCTGGGCCTCGTGCATCCGGTTGCCGGGTAGTTGGTAGATCTCACGAATTGAGTTTCTTAGGAACAGAATGTATTACTACACCCTGAATACAAAGTCCATACCTTGTTCTTTCGCTGAGTCGATTATAAATGGCTTGATATCCCGGGATGACGGCCTCCCACTCGGGGTTGTGACGGATGATGGTGTGTAGTAGCCCTTGGCGCGCACTGTTGTCCATGATCGCGCCCTGAAGTTGCGCTGCAGGGGATTTAGTAAGAAGATACCGTGAAATTGAAACGCGGGGGCATTGGAACATGGAGGAGACTGCGGTTTTGGAAAGCCTCTCGAGTGGCTTTCTCATTTTCGCGCTGACGTTGATGAAGCCTTTCCTGGCCTTTGACCGTCCCAAGGTTGGAGTCGGAGCGGCAGCGCTAAACGAGCGACTTAGCAAGCGCGTTATGGTTGCGCTGCGGTTGCCATGATGCTGACTTACCTAGTGCCTAACACACAGTGATTAAAGAGACCGGCACGCAAAAACTGCGAGTTTTTAATATGCTTTCCCTCTCACGCGCAACACGGGACACGTGTCCACCATTCTATAGCTTCATGGACCACCACCCCGGCAGAGCGGAAAATATCACAGCGCGTTGCTTACGCGCTTATCGCGTTACGGCCAGAGGCAAGGGGGGCCAGGGGGACCTTTGCCGATAAAATCTATAGAGAATTTAGATAGTGATTAAATGTTTAGGTTTAGTCTTTCGAGAGGTTGGGCATTTATTACACTCTTTCGCGTAAAATACCGTACCGCAGAAGCTCCTAGGCGCCCGTTTGGCGACTGCAGGTACTGTTGCACGATGGCGGCATCTTTCTGGACCGGGCTTTTGCAGTTTCCGGCATGTTGCGAGCCATTGTAGTCGTCGGCCAGGAAGGCATCGTCCTCACTGGAAAAGTGGGTATTCCACGAAATCGACGAAATTTCAAATTTTTAGCGAAGTTTTAAGCTTTCGAGTGCCCTTCACCTTCCAGTGGTCGGCCAGGTCGGCGTCACATTGGCGCTGTCGTCCCCGGAATTTTGGGCTCCTCTGAGAAGATACGCGGCACCAGCTGAAGATAGACTATTTGATCAATTTCCCAGGAGAAGCTTTAAATATAAGAGCATTAAAGCCAATTGGCTACTGTAGATAAGTTTAGGGTTTCTGACCTGCCACAGCACCAAAGACCCCGCCCCAACCACCGCCGCCCATCGGCACGTGCTTTGCACCGCCTTTCTTCATCAAAAGTTGCTTGGCAAATTAGCTCCTGCAAATTCAATCCGTATTATTCTTAAAAACACGAAATCAGCGTTGAAAAGGAGGGCAAAAAGAGGGGAATGGTGTTGAAAAGGAAAGAGGAAAGAGGAACCGGGGTTTGGCAGTTTGCCAGGCCATTTTCTGCTGCAAGAAATAGACCAAGGTTTTTCTCGAAGCTCCCCGATGTTTTGTGTTTTGGACAATTGAAATTTAATGAATTTTTCAAGGACAGTAAGAGGGTTTTTTTTATTACCTTTGAATGACGATAAACAATAGCTCGGCGACGGGTCGCCAGAAAAAGAAAAAGTAACCAAATGCGGCGATTTTGCGTGGAGTGGGCACGACCACGGCCGGCGTTTTTCTGCTGCAACAAAATGGTCTCTTTGTTTGCAGCAAAAAATGGATCGCCTGATTTTTGGCACAAACAACCCCCCAATCTCCAGAGCGTCGCCAGAGCAGGCTGAATAAAAATCACTACTGTTGCCAAAAGAATCAATAATTCTAAACGTCATTCTAGACATTCAAAAGTACCCTAAATGACCTTTTTTGGGACTTGTACGATATGAAAATAATGGGGAGCGCTAGCATCGAAAATAGTCTGCGGCCACAGGAGACTCAATGCCTTTTTTAGAAATTTGAAAAAGCGTGGTTTTGGCTCTAATAAATTAAAAAAAATACCGCAGTACCTCCTACCATAGCACTAACAGTAAAGTGGCTTTGGTCAGGATGTACATTCGAGAGGAGCCCAAGCAAATAGCGTGCAAAATTTTTCGGTAATTCCGAACATGGTTTCAGAACTTGCAGAATGCCTTTATTTCAAATGTTACAGCGCATTTTAGGGTGTTTTTGGACCAAAAAATTGCAACTCTAGGCTCCTGTAAAAATCGTAAGGGTCAAAATAAGCCAAAATTTATTTATCACTTCTTGCTTAGCAAGAAAAGCGCTTGCAGATGGGATATCTGATAAAACTTTTGTTCGATTTTTCAAAAAAACGCCCCTTCGGCAGCACGGGTACCAAGACCATGCATTTGTTGAAATTCATAGCGATCGCGCAAAATGTTGGTATGGCACCTTATTTGAACGCGCGTATCTTGCTGCGCAAGATGCGTTATATAACTTTCGCCCATTTTATCTCTTACCATTTTTACAGCGGCTCAAAGCCGCAATTTTTTGGACCAAAAACGCCCTAAAATGCGCGCTGAATATTCTTTATCTTCATATCTTAATGCGAAATAAGGGTATTCTGCAAATTTTAAAACTGACCCGTACTTAGCGAAAAATTCTGCACCAGATAGGCTTGGTCTCATGATATCTCATCTCGAATCTCCATCCTGACCAAAAACACTTTACTGTGAGACTTGAAAAGGAATAAAAAAAATTGGCTGATTAAAAAAGGCAAAAATTAATTTCTCAAATTTCAGTTTGGTTTCGGCATACACTTTAACATCTGAAAAAGCCGAATATAAAATTTTTTCAACGTTACTAAGACTTTTCTTTGCCAAAAAAATACGATTTAAAGGTTTCATCCCAAAATTTTAGATAACGCTATTGATTTTTAATCGATCCTTATTTTCTACAGGTATGTGTCGAGTATCTCCGCCGTTTTGAATCCCCTTCGAACCCGTCTTTATCACTTGAGGCTCCGGCTGTTTGCGAAATCACGTGAATTTCGAAAGTGGCGCCAGGAGCTTAATGTGGTGATAAAATTTGGCTTACGCGATATTTTGGCCAGAAATTTTTGACAAATTGTTTTTGCGTACGACTTTTCGAACATTAGAATTTTCCGTTGTGCTGAAATTACTCAAAAATTATAGGATGAATAATTCTGGTGAACTTGAGCCGCACGAATCGGAAGGAATTGACGAGGAATTGCATTCCATTGCGCAAGACCTGGCTGAGGGAATTCGGCAATTTGCCGGCTTTTTGGGTAAGATCAGCGAACCTCTAGGGCTAATAATAAAAATCATGATCAAAATACGGTCTGCGTTCAGAATGTCGAAAATCATAATGTCGACCTTCATAATTACGTTGTTAATCTCACAATGGCGATTTTTACATAGCAAATCACTCGGAAAAACCCCCAAATCATATGCCAAAAATTCGACATAATGAAATTTCAATATTAAGAAATTTCGGTCTTATTATTTTTGACGTTACAATGGCAGACCAAAAATATAATTTTAGTTTTCGTGTTGAAGCTCGGAGAAATGCTTAACGAAGAGTGCCCTGACCCTTTGGCCACAACGATTACGTTAAATGGGTAAGAGCAGTAAAAAAAGCTTGTCGCCCCTGTCAAGCTAGTTTATGTTGTAAATGTGTAAAGTGTAGATGTTAGTCTTGGTAACAGATACCTTTAGGTGTCTATTACCAAAACTAACATTACAGCGAGGACGACGCCTATCTAGCCGACGACTACGATGGATGGGAACATTCTGGGGATTGTGTCACTGAAAATCAAAAAGCAAACGCGATACTAGAACAATATAATCTGAAGGTATGTTCGCGCTTCCAAAATCAGCAGAATAAGGCACACGTGGTGTTGTAAAATAACAAAAAGGTTGGGCCGTTCGGGAACTCCGGTGAATCCTTTCCGCCATGCAGCAACAGAGAGCAGAAAATTGACGCCATCAACGAACAGTTTGAGTCGTCATTTCGGGATCCACCGGACATTGTAAGTTCAGAATTCGAAAAAACTTGCTCTTGCTCCTTTAACTCTCTATAGTCTAGGCTAACGTAAGCCTAAGCCTAAGCATAAGCTTAAGCCTAACCCTAACCCTAAACCTAAGCCTGAGCTTTTAACCCAAAAACACCACTTTCATGCTTCGTTTAGCCCAGCCGCGTCACTTACGCAGCTTTCTCGACGCCAGACGCAAAAGCTCGCTTCAACGAAGCACAGCGACAAATTTTCAACGCTCGACAAGCGAAGACCAACCGCGGTTGTCTTCACGCACGGATTCCCAGCGGGTTTAATTTTACGGTCAGTGCAAATTTTTGGAAGATACTTGATGGAGAAGGTGTCTCAATAAAAAAACACCACCCTCTAACTCGGCTCAGAAGTATCGGATCGGAATGATAGTTGCACCATTCGAAAGCCCTGGACACGGCGACTTTTGAACAAACTGAAAACCATTTTTGATTTATTGCTGCTATTTTACATGGCTATTTGTAAAATTTTACTGTTTCGGAGCTGCATACAAGCTAATTTGGCAAAATGGCCGGACACAGCGGTTAATTAGATGGCCGTTACTTAATGTTCTTAAATGTGTAGTAAAAATATGACTCTAAATAAGAAAATAGTTTTGAAGATTGTTACAAACTCGCCGTTTTTAGGGCTGTCGAACAATCGAACGTCGAAAGTATAGTAGCAAAGTTATACCAGTACATTTGCTATCATACCGTACTATTGCAGAGCGGAATTGTCGACAATAGCGGCAATCAAGGACTTCTTCATACCATGCTTCGTCATAGTTCTCAATGGCAAGGTGCGATTCCGGGATATGGAGATGTTTATGGAAAACTTTCAAAACCCTTGAAGTAAGTAACGAGCTAACATTACACTTCGGAAAAAATCAGCAAATGCACGCATCTTAAAATGTTGCTTCCAGGAAATTTGTGCGCGAAATGTCTGCACTTTCCGGGGACGACTCAAAAGCCCGAAATTTAGACGAGCCCTTCTGGAAGCTACTCGATAGAGAGGACGCTGGAAATGATTACAAACGTCGGTATTTTTCGAACAAAAATGGCCGTTTTTGGCCGAAATTTCCATTTTTCGAACATTTTTTGAAAGTTTTTGTTTGTTGAAATATGCGTTTGTTTGACTACTTGTACGGTGTTGTAAAATATTTCCTAAAAATATACATAGATAAAATAAAAACAAGTTACCAGGCATTTTAGACTCATTTTGTACCACCATCCCCCCGATAATGCGAAACTCCACGTGTGTTGCTTTCTATCATACTTTCTATTTGCAATGTTTTTCTTATCACACCAATTAACCTTTCAGTTTTCCAAAAACTACAAGAACTCATCTACGACTACCTATGCTCCAATATGACCACGTCAAGTTATGCCGGTGAAGGAGCAAACGACCATGGCTATGTCCAGGTGAAAATTCTAACTATCACTCACACCTGCTTTTTGGATATTCTTCGAGGTACCACATACCACCGAAGCTCCACGATACATGACCATTTGTATTGCAAAGCAGCGAGGCAAACGAGTTCCGGCGTTTAAAGATCTTCGTGACGTGAAGAACATCATTACAATTTTCTTTATCGATGGATCTGCATTTAAAGAAAAATTTATCTCCAAAAAATCTGATCTTTTCGAGCGGTTATTTAATCATGCATCATTCAATCCATTCAATCCCCTATGAAAATAAAACCAATTCAGAATTTAAAATAGAGATATTTGTATGCCACGGTCTAGTCAGTAATAAATTATTTGTATTGGTAAGTGTATTGCGTGATTGCACCGTAAATTAAAAGCGTAGCAAAAAACACAAAGCGTCGCACCTACATGGGCTATTACGGAAAGTTTTATTTGCAATTGAGCCATCCTTATCTTTACGATCTAGCATTGTGACTGGAGCGAAAACGGGGCAATATGTCCCCCCAATCGCTTTTTCTCCTGAAAGTTCTTCATTTTTATTTTTTGTGTCTTGATGATGCAAAAGATTGTAGTCTCCTTACCAATAACAGTTTTTTTACCGATATTGTGGGTTCCATGAGTACACATAGCGTTACGAAACCCTTGCTCTTCACGCTTTCCTTCCAACTGCCGTTGTCAATGAAATGAATGTATCTTTCGGATTGCTAAGTGGGGCTTTTTTAATTTCAGCGTCTCGAGCTTCAATAGCACAATGGCAAACGCAGCTGACAACCAGTACATGTAAGTTTTTGGGTTCTGGACTGTTAACGGCGGGGTGGGGTGGTGGCGTTAAGCAGGGAGAAACCACTTTTTGTTTTCCACCTGTTGATCAAATATAATCTTTGTTATTGTTAATATTGCTTTTCTATCTAAAAACTATGTAAAATAGTAAATAGTAAAATAACTAGAAAAAGTTTTGCGTCTGTTAGATACCGGTAATCGTTAGAAAGCTTGCCACAATTCACAAATAACTTCAGCTATGATGAAGCCTACCTGGCGGACGACTATAATGGTTGGGAGCATGGGGGAAACTGTACAACGCGGAACAAAAGGCTGCAGGTCATCGAGGAGCAGTACAAGCTGTTAGCCGACGAAGGTGCTATACTACAGGTGCAAGCCGGCGCTCCGGTAAGGCTGCTCGATAATTCAACACTCAAAGAACATATCGTCAATAGATATGACTTGTCGAACTTAGGGGTGTTGCTTGTGATCTTAGCAGCTTGGTTCAGCTTTCAGGGGTTAGGTGATGCCCAAGTTAATCATCCCACAACTTTGGATGGAGAGATAGATGCCAATTACGATAAATTATGCTGAATTAATTTTGCGCTGGATCGGCCAAAGCGAAATATGGCAATTTCATTTAGTAAGCCCAGAAAACTCTTTGAGTTGTGGGGTTTAGCAGGGTCGCTCCTTAATAACTTTTATCTACATGATCTAAAAGGCGGTGAGGTGGTATCCCTTATTTCGCTCTCTCGTCGCTCTCTGGACTCTCTCCTCGTTCCGTCCAGGCTCAGTCCGGGCGCTCTCCGGGCGCTCTCCTCCTTGGATCCCGCAGGCGGATTTTATAGGTGTTTGGCGTGGGCAGCGGAAGCGGTGGAATCTGGAAAATGTGCGTTAAGTGGTTGAAATACTAGGGTTGGCTGAATGAGACCTGGATGGCGTGATGCTCTTTGACCTGGCTTCCAGTCATCTGGGTGTTCGCTGATCGGTGCCGGAAGTGATGCGTTGAATAGACTTGTGGCTTGTATAACATGCATTAAGGTTGATTTAACAGGTTTTACATAGATTTGAGTCGTTCCTAGCGTTACACGCTTTACATAAGTCCAAGTCATAATTACATCAATATTAGATGTTTACACCTCCCTTTACCGGCGAGATTCGTCCTCGAATCTGGAGTTCGACGTCGTGGCAGGTGCTTCACGGGGCATGGGCAATTCGATGAGATGTGGCAAGTCATCGGTTGTTTGGCGTACCAGGCGAATGAGGTGACTTCTGGTCTCGAGGCTGGCTTCCAAGTCTCGGGAGAGTTGGGCAAGGGCTTTCGTCAGCTGGGCGAAGGATAGAGTGCGGACGGGGTCGATTCGGATGGGCTGAGGTGCTCGCCATGGTCCGACTGGTGAATTGTGGTGTTTCAACATCTTCAGAATTTTGACTTCGGCTTCTTTGTTCTTTGCAGTCGAGCATAGGTAGGCTGAGGCAGGCGCATCATTACGGGGCGTGCATGACATCAAGGTTCCTGTCTGGTGCAGAGTTTGGTGGCGGTTGATTTTCCTTCGGATCTTGGTGTTCTCCTGGGAGTCGAAGCGTAGTCATTTAAAGGGTAAATTTTTATTTATTTCCATAGTATTAAGACCAATAATAAAATAAATAGAAATAAAAATAGAAAAAAAATATCTTAAGATCTGCTCAAGCTGGGCCCACCCCATCAGGCCGAAAAATTAACATTCTCATGAACGAAACCTCGTGTTTAGGCGCATCGCCAGCGTATACCCCGCTTCACCGTCGCTGAGGCCCAACGCCGCTTAGCAACACAGGAAGTAAATGAAGATTCTCTTGAGACGTTCCGCTCGTCTGGCGCGCTCCTTCTTCCAATGCCCCGAAGTTTTAATTTCACGGTACAGGTCACACACTGTTATCCCAATCCGATTTTTAGGGTGTAATCATGGACAGCAACGCGCACCAGGGCCTGCTGCATACTATCCTGCGACACAGCCCGGACTGGGTGGCTGTCAGCTCAGAATACGAAGCTGTATACGACAGCCTCAGCAGCTTGACTAAGTAAGGCCCAACATAGTGCTAATCAATGCTTGACGCTGTCAGGGGTTCAGGATGATGGCGGGAGGGGTTGTTAGGTCAATTTTAGGACGTTCCAAAAAGGCGGAAAAGTTCATAAGGGGGGACCCTTATGATCCTCTAGTCAAATTTTTCTGCCTGTGGCGCTTTTGGTACACATAGGATAACGGGGGGGGACTAAAATAACGGGGGGGCACTCATTATTATGAAATTTGCAATTACTGAGGGATTTTGCGATTGCCATTCGATAGAGCGTCGAAAAATATACTAAGAGAATTAATTTCAGCCCAAAATAATGTAATAGAAATTTTTTATTGAATAAACAAAAATTGAGGAAAATCTATGGGCAGCACATAGGATAACAGGGGGGGAAAGTCAAATTTTCGACATTTTCGACATTTTTGGTATTTTGAAAACGTCATTCGATAAAGCGTCGAAAACTGCCCTAGGAAAATTAATTTCAGCCCGAAATAATGTAAATGAAATTTTTTATCGAATAAACAAAAATTTATCAAAATCCATGGGCAGCACATAGGATAACGGGGGGAAAGCCAAATTTTTGAGATTTTCGATATTTTGAAAACGCGAATCGATAGAACATCAAAAAATATACTAAGAGATTTTTTTACAACGCGAAAAAATGTATTATAAAAGTTTTATGGCCTAAAAACTATTTTTGAAAACTATGGGCAGCACATAGGATAACAGGGGGGGAAAAAAATTTTCGGCGTTTTGAATATTTTCGATATTTTGAAAATGCCATTCGATAGAGGACCGAAAAATATACTAAGAGTTTTTTTTACAGCCCGAAAAAAGCATATTTAAAAATACTTTTATCATATAAAAAGTTTGAGTGCCCCCCCGTTATTTTTTTCCCCCCCCGTTATCCTATGTGTACCGCGCTTTTTATAGCTGTTTTTAAGCCTATTCTTATTACCACGCACCTCGTTTTTTTGAAAATAGTTTCAAAATTGGGCGCCGATCTTCCGTGTTTTTCTACGTTTTTTTTCTCTGCTAAACCATATTTTGCCGGCCTGCGGCGTGTCGAGTGCACTATCAACTATAATAATTTTGCTGTGGTGTCTGTCCGTGTGTGTGAAGCCGAATTCAACTCGAAGGGGAAAGGAGCTAGGGCTTAACTCTCTTCGGATTCGGATAGAGCGCGGTTAGAAACCCCAAAGTGATTAAAAATTACGGAAAAGTTTTCCATTTAAATTACTAAAAGTAACTTTGAAAATGATGCCTTGGTAAAACGAGTGGGGAAGGATGTTTGCACGATTTTTGACATAGTGAGCCAGGTCGCGCGCGTCTCGGCGAGGGGGAGGGAGCGCACAGGGGGTAGCCCGAAGTCCAGCCGCTTGCAGCGGCGAAGCCGCTGGAAGCGGCTGGTAAGGGTGAATTCACAAAACTGTCGACGGGGGGTGGTCGTCAAATTTTTTTTGGAGGGGCCCCTCCCCGCCCCGAAAAATCGGGGTTCGCTACGGCCCTGGGCGTAACTATCACTTGGATCCGGTTCTGCCCTGTCAAATTAGGGGAGGGGCTTTTTTCTTGGGACGGCCGATATAGTGTTCAACAGGCTGACTATTTGAAGGAAAGACTAAGTAGAGATTGCGTTTTTCTGGCAAGTCGGATACCATATATACACGGTTTCAAACGCATTATTTTCAGAGAAAAAATGGCTGCAATTGCCGCCATTAGCAAAAATCAGAATAGAAAAGCACAACTGCTGTGCGCTGCTTTTATGGGCTATATACTAAGCGATATGGGCCATCAGGATCGGCAAGGTCTCGTTTTTTTCTATCATGTTTCTCCATTTTTTTCAGCACTCCATCGGTTGCAAACCATCGTTTACAATTATTTGCTCAAAAAAATTAAAGAGGATACTTATTCCGGCGAGGGTGTTTCCAAGACCGGCCGTGTTCGAGTAAGTTAGGGCCGACGTGGGCTTTAGCCTCCAGCATTAGCGTAATTCTGCATTATTATGGCAACGTACCGTACACACAATTCGCAAGGTGCCGCGTACAAGGGCAATAAACAGTTTTTGACTTTTTCGGATGTTGGGAAACCGATACTTCGCGATTTCAACCTTTTCTCCTTGCCTACATTGAGCACAGCAAAATTTGAGATATTCTTCGACGCTGCAGACGAGGGCGAGAGCGACGACGCTGGAGAAAATCGTGAGGAGGACGTCGAGTATATGGACTACATGGTGATATGCCGGTCGGAGGAACGGGATCGAGCGATACCAGAACTGGGAGATGATCGGCAGGTCGTTAGTGTCATCACCATTTACTTCATCGACCATAAAAAGTATGTGAAGAAAAAAACCTCCAAGAAATTTGGGTAACATGGAGACGCGGAAAATCAATAAGTAGCAACGATTCAGTCTTTTTAACTGCTTGGAATTTGTTATGATGAACATTCTTGATTTTTATGTAAAATTGCCCACTTAGTAACTTTGCCTTCTACCCGCCTTTTTTGAAATGCAATAAATCATTGATTGAATGAACCGATCTGTAACAAGCCCTTTTTGCAAACTAGCCCCGAAAGGATCAGAGGTCGCACAAGATCTGATGCAAGACGTGTAGAATCAATCTTCTTTCAGTTTGCGGGTTTTGTCTGTGCTTTAAAAGTTACAGAGCACAGGTTTCCGCCCCCGATTTGGCGGGGGCTCAGATTTCCGATGTCTTCTGGTTGTTTGGACTTGTGGGCTTCCCGGACCGCAGGGATTTTCTTTTGCGATTTTGTTCAATACCAGTTACTCCATCAAATGGCCACATGGCCTCTCTGCTCCATCCGCCCCCACCCTCGTCCCTCTCCATTTGCTGCGGCTGGAATTTTAAGATGGAAGGCGAGCTCGCTAGTTGAGCCTCATCGGAAGAAGTAAGGATTAATATGCGCAAAAAAACTAAATATGATCTAATTAAAATATTCTTAATATAATATTATAACTGCTTTAATATACTGACAGTTTGGCATTAAAACGTCAAAATTTGCTAGACGTGGATTTCCGTATTTTCCGCTTCCGCATAAGCTATCTATTGTTAATCGAAAGCTTTCTCGTTCCCGTTCTAAATCTTCTGCCGTTTGCGTCAATATTTGGCTCACCGGCTTTTCGCCGCGGAACCGCGGAACCTTATCATTTTTGGCTTGAGCTGCGAAAACTTGCCCCGTTTCCAAAGCAACGCAGAAAAAGTTTGGTTATGCGATAAAAATTTCGCTTACGGCGAGGTAATTAATAGTACTAATTGACGACTTCGTATCAAAAGAAGCATTACCATCATTTTCGTTTTTTTCTGATAAATTATTGTCTTTAGCTTTGTTCAAAAACCCATATTTCGTATTTCAGATATTTCGCACTAGAAGTACGATGATGAACAATTCATCAGGCTCGCGGAAACCTGAATCCAGACGGAATGCAAATGAGACGGACGATGAAGGATGGGGTTGGACTGTTGGTCTGGGTGCGGCACTTCTAGGTAATTTGGCCGGAAGATTTGCATACGCATTTTCGAAAATCATTTTTCGAAAGTAACATTTCCGAAAGCCATATTTTCGAAAATAGGTTTTCCGAAACGCACAATTTTGACCTAATTTGCATCCAGCTATCACTAGGAAATGGCCACTAATTTTTCCGCCTTCAGGTTCCAAAAAAGCGCTTTCGGAAGAATGACCTTTTGGAAATAGGATTTTCGAAAAGGTGATATTCGAAAATATTATTTTTCGTAATAGGATTTTTGAAAAATATTGCTTTTCCAGAGGTGATTTCGGAAAACACAAAAACAGAACAGAACAAACAGAAAACGATTCAAGACTAAAAAAATTCCCCTGGATTTAGGTGCCGCCGCCTGGGGAGCTGCATCATGGTATAACAGCAGAAATGAGGAAGCCCAGCCACGGAGCCATGTTCAGACATCGGCGCCGATTCGACACGTTCACACGCCAACATATACCCCCGCAGAACCAGTGCAAATTGCTGAAGCGCCACCTACAGCAGAGTAAGGCATTTCAGGTTGCAATTTTTTGAGTTTCTGATTTAGTTATTTTTATTTTTATTTAATTCTTAAACCCAATTTTTAGGGAAGAAGAGACATTCCTCGCCGATGACTACAACGGCTGGGAGCATCCCGGAAATTGTACGAGTAGGGCCCGAAAAAGCGAGGCCATCCAGCAATATCGAGATGCGGTGGAGTCTCGGATTTACGCTCCGGTATGTTCTAGACATTAAATAATTTGCGCGATACCTAACTTGACTCAGTATCACGTAGGTAACAACATTCAAATTTTAGCGTCGAAATGGCCGTGCCGGTGCGGCTCTCACCAGGCTGGAGGCCATAATACAATTTGACAAACATAAGCGTGAAAACGGGGAAGCCGCTCGCCAAGCATTCAAAAAAAGAAGTCTACTCGAGGTGCCGATGCCAAGTGGTTTTGAGAGTACGGTAAGATTTTAATTTTTTCACCCAGAACAGACAACGGTTTAGTGCGCGATCCTGGATAACAATGGCTATCAAGGGCTGTTGCATACAATCCTTCGCCACAGCCCAGAATGGAAAGATGTTGCGCCCGGATATGCTAATATCTATCAGCGGCTTAGCGAGCAGACGAGGTGAGAATTGAGTCTTGTTATTGGGTTCCGAAGCTTTCGCAATAACGGGGGTTTCTGGGGTGACCAGCTTCCTTCCTTTAAGTCCAGAAATAGCCAATAACTTAATATTAAGCATTTTAATATTTTTAAAAGTAAAATTTTGACTTTATTGGAAGTGGATAGCAATAAAAACTCGGTTTAAAAAATCCTGATATTCAGGGCCGCCATCAGCAAAATCTCACACCTGGCCGATAACAACCAGAAGCTGGCACAACAGATGATCAAGGAGTTCAAGAAAAGCCTAGGCACGATGCCGGCAAACGATTGCAAAAGTGGGTCCACCTCAAGTTATCGAATACCTATTTCTAGTTCTGCAAAACCTCCAGGGAATCATCTATGACTATCTGTGCAAGACCATTAATGCCCGGAATTATGCCGGCGAGGGGGCCAACCCAAGTGATTTTGTTCAGGTAAGCAGGGTCGATACACCTTGACTTAAAGGGCTAGTTCAGCCAATAAAACAAAAGAATTTCCGCGGTCAGGAGTCGAACCCTCTCTGCGTTTTTGTGTCTGCGCCTCTCCCCTTTTCCCCAATCTCTAATAGCTGCCGTAATGGGGGACTGTTAGGGCGCACTGTGCCTACGTCCATAGTGTCCCAAGGTACCAGCCCAAGCTCTAAAAGTTGAACCAGCCCTTTAAGTCATGCTAATAGACATAAATTTCTTTCATCTCTAAAGCGTTTTTTGTTCAGTTTTTCTTCCAAGAATCAGGAAATGCATCGATTGGCTACATGGTCGTATGCATCTCGAAGACCGTCGATGGTTCGGTTCCGAAGTTTGACGATCCGAGACCCGTCAGCAACATCAACACCATCTATTTTGTCGATGAACATACCTTGCGCGGGCGGAAGGTCTCTGAGTGCTTCTCTTCGCACTGATTTTTGTGCTTGATCACACCGAAAATTGCCATGATCTCTTGTCATTCCAGAATTAATTGCCGCTTTATGTATAAAGGTTTTAAAGCGATAGGAAATTTGTTGAAAATCCACACCCTGAGCTAAAATTACCGCAAAAAGTATATTGCACACTTACATAGGTTACTTGCACACCTTATGTCCCAAAATACAACGCTTACCTTGCAAGCTGCGGATATTTTTTTACCTTCCATCAAGCCTTCCACCTTTTTACAAACTTTTCCGAGTTTTTCCAGTTTCGAAACTATTCCGGACGGTTTTAATCTTTTTGTGCCCTTCCATAGCGTCTTTGGGGGAGGGGGAGGGGGTGTGGCCGCCGGGGACGCCATTATCAGCAGGCATTTTTTTGTTGCTTGCTTACTCCCTCCGACCAGCGCTCAGCGTAGACTCGCCTATGATGAAACTTGCAGACATCGCATGGCACAGCTCGAAACCTGTTCTAACTTGATCGCCCCCAGAATTTTCTAGACTGTTCCAGGCTTCTCGGGGGCGGAGTCACGTAGGGTTTTCTTGCGACAGAAAACCGCTTCTCATCACTCGGTTTAGGCGACTCCTACCAAACGTGACGAAATTCGCAAACCCTTTGTTGTGCCATTATCGAACACCAACTCCAAGCTTGTTTCTCGTCATCCCTTCTACTCGAAGTTTTAATCTGTTGGCGTAGATATGCTGATGCAATCGTCGTCCCCCCCAAATTGTTTCAAGGATTCCTCATCCTCTGTTTGCCTTTTTTTGGACTCGACGCTCCATTAACCTTGACGACCACGCTAGCTCGGTTGCCATTACAAAAAATGGCGTCCGGATAGATCGAATCTCAAACCCAATACTTGCGTTTTGATTATTTGGTGGTTTACAATACGGCGTAGCTCTCAAAATCTTTTTTGTATGCTTTTGAAAAGGGGCGACGATGGCAAATATGTATTTCTTTCTTATGCAAATATGCTATGCTTTCCTATGCAAATATTTCTTTTTTCTGTACGTAGCGTTGTTGGGAACGAAATTACAGAACCATCTCGACTAAAACACGCCATGGGTGCTGTCAACGGAAACAAATGGACTTCGATCGGGACCGACATCCAGTAAGTTATTGGAGGTTTGGACTTCCATAAATTCGCATAATAAGGCCAGTTACCTTGCGCTTCCCCCACCAACGTCTTTCTGTTCGACTCATTCCCCTCGCGCCAAATAGCTTGATTGGCGAATTTAAATACAAATATATCGCCGAACGCCAAGGTTCCCCCTAAAAGCCGATGCATGAATTATTTAGGCCACCTTATGCAAATGCAAATTTCCTTTTTGTTTGGCATTCGATAGGGAACCTTTGAATGGTAGTTAACCTGCCGTTCTGTTGTGACCTAGCCAAATCAACATACATACCTTTATTTGATTTTGATCTGATTGCTTGAAAATTTCGTAATTTCGTCATTTTGCATATTGATAATCAAATTTTCTAAGATTACAGGTTTTTTTAAGATAAATAAAGGCAGTTTTCTCGACTGTTTTTATCGGTGAGACTAGTTTACCCCCCCAGCCCTAACTTTTCAGCCATACGTCCTATTAATGCGCCGAGTATCTCAAAATGTTCGCCGTAGTCAAATTACTATAAAAAAGTTGTTTTCTTGCGGCAAAAATTGCTAGAAAATTTTTTACAAGATTTTGAAAGTTGAAAAGACTAAGTATGCTTCAATGTACAGGAATCAAAAACTCAAATATTTTTGTTTTTCGCTATTTTTTCGACTAAATGCACTGTAGGCTGCTTCTCCAGAGCAAGAGCTACATTTTGGTACCATTGACAGCTCTGTAGGTCAAAAGATAGCCAAGATACGAAAACTCACTTTGGAACAGCAAAAATTAATTAAAGAAAACCCAGAATTATAATTGTTATAAAAATTTTTCTAACAATTTTTGATGTAAAGAAACAACTTTTTTATAGTAATTCGACCACGGGGAACATTTTGAGATACTTATCGCATTAATAGGACGTATGGCTGAAAAGTTGTGGCTGGGGGGGGGGGGTGAACTAGAGTCTCGCCGTTTTTATCATATGTAAGCCATGAAAAATGAGAAAAAATGTCCGATTTCTGACACAAATTTCCACTAACAATTTTTCGTGTTTGAAACCTTTTAAATGTTGTTCCTTTTCTAGTCAAGCTGAGTTTTACCAAAAAGATTATAAAAAAAACTTTTTATTTCGTTACCGCCCTCCTGGGAAAAAAATCGGTCCTAAAAACCCCTGAATACCATGCAAAATTTCGGCATTATGAAATTTCGCCATTAAACTTTGACCCTACGATAGCGAATTTTTAGTTACCAAGGATGTGTATTTAACGGCTTCACCTCTAATGGAAATTTTTAGTGAAGACGACGCGTTTCGCGCCGACCATTATTGGGGATGGGAGCATCCAGCCGAACCCCCACCGGTACAGGCTGGTGGCCCTGCCCAACTAAGGGTGCGTTTATTTCTAACGAACCAAGTCGGGCGCGGGCGCTGCTGCATGTGCCGGATTCGGTCCTAATCAAAATATTTTGCGCGAAGGCAGCTTTCCCGACGAACGCATTTAGGTCATATTGCCGATCTTCACGCCGGCCGAAGCTAAAGCTCGGTTTGTTGAACGAGAGACGGATGGCGTGACGGCGGCGAGGACAGCCTTGGGAGAAGCCGGTGTTCTACAGGTTCCAATGCCACCACAATTCGACTTTTCGGTAAGGTTATAGAGAAAAACATTGAGGAAGCCTTGTTTTAAGGGCGCGATACTGGACAATCGGGGAACTCAAGGAACACTCCATACAATTTTACGTCACAGCCCAGAGTGGAGATCCGTGATCCCTGGATTTGATGCCGTTTATAGCGACCTTACCAAAGAAACTAGGTATTAATGAGTCGGATGCAATCAGAAAAATAAAACATCTAGAAAGATAATCGAGACAATTTCCGGGATGCGCCATAACAAAGGAAATCGAGTAAAGGACGCCATTAAAGACTTTCTGGGGAGTGTTATCGAAATAGCTGATTGTAAAGGTTCGTTGATCCTTTATTGCGTAGTCTGGTTTAGCTTTTCAAAACATGCAGCAGCTGATCTACAACTACCTTCTGGCCCACATCAACGCTGATAGCTATTCGGGCGAGGGAAGAAACTCCTGCGGGCTTGAGCAGGTAAGAAAAGCCCGCAAATAGAAGGTCGCTAAAAGTCGCCGCTTCTGAAGATTGCAATATGTTACAGATTTTCTTCGAAATCAACCGCGACTCGGAGGGACAGGAAATAACCCGATACATGACGGTGTGCGTGTCGGAACAATCGTACGATGCGGCTGAGAATGATACCGATCAAAGACCGGTCAAATCCATCATCACAGTTTTCTTCCTTAGCCCCTCTTTGTACGAGAAGCGCAATAAAACCTTTATTCGTCAACCAATCCCATAAATACGAAAAAACGCTTTGAGCTGCCTTGTTGGGTTCATTTTGATATTGTGATGTTATGCCATTGTGATTTCCTTGGAATGGACAGCTTTATCATTTACAAAACTTCCAATATTGTTCCTTTGTTGTTGTTGCCATAATAAATATTGGACGGAATTCTGCCGGAGAGTGACTTGAACTCGCACCGATCTGAATGGCTTATCACACGATCACCATCTAAAAGCGCGGATTTCAGCCACATTAACAGACTGTGAAATTTTCGGAAACTTTTTAAGAGTTAGCCGCGCCGGACCTCCACCCCGATTTGGTGTGGGCTCAGATTTCCGAGGAGTCCTAGTGGTTTGGACTCGGGGGTGGGTAGGGGGCTCCCCGGGACGGGTCGGCTGGATTCGGATGAATTATTGAAACGATATCAGATTACCGGATGAATATCGCTGTTCCCGCCGCGATGGGTATAGTCCCTAGTTTCGGTCTCTCTGGCAACTTTAGCAGCATTTTTCGGCAATCTTTTTAAGTTGATGGCTTCAGAGCGTCTGCGACGAGTTTGCCGTTTTAAATTGGGCATACCTTCCTTAGGTTGATGCCCAGATGTAGCTACCGTAATCGACAGCAAGATGCCAACCCTTACCTCGATAGCAAAGGACCGGGTGGCAATGTATATCCCGGCTGTCAGCACATGTCAATGTCACAAGGATGAGCCGCCGCCTTGGACGGGAGAAATTCACGGATTGTCACAAGTTGGTACCTAGGCGCGTACGGTCAAAACCTTCAATAAACTTTGCCACTCAGTGAAACCTAGCAAATTTGCATATCGGCTTACGTGACTTACGACTTAGCTTAGCAACGAAGGCTTACCCAAAGCTACTATTTGGCTTCGGGTAAGGTTTCAAATTATCGAATGAAGTTTTGTGATCTAAGAAAGTTGTACTTAGAAAAAGCGATAAATTCTGCCGTGCTAGGCCCTTTACAGCATCGATTCCTAAAAGTCTTTAGAAGGATCTTTGCTAAAAATAAGCTACCAACTCGAAATTTCCACATCCAAAGTCAGCTCTCCTTTCAGGCACTAATGTCCGAATCGATCCCGCTTCGCGCCTTCTGGTGGCTAATGCTGGTGATGTGCATCATCTGTGGGGTTACTACCACAACTCTGGTGGTTTTGGAATATATTGAAGGACCTACGCAGACTTCAACGACGATACGTTTGGTACACACCTATTGAAAATCCTTTATCCCCTCAAAAAATTTGAAAACCTCGAAAAATGTTTTTAGGTGGACAGTCTCGAACTGCCAGGGATTACGATATGTCCAAAGGTAACTAGAATGCTGCTTTTCTTACTTGTTTTCCAGTACTAAAACAAAAAAACTCTTGTTTTCATAGGTTATAAAGCAAAGGAAAATGTATCAGCTACGTCTAGTCGATTTTTTAGGTCCCCGACATCTTCGATGAAGAGCCACTATTTCGAGATATTTCCGCTTCACTACCAAATTTGACGTACGATGTGCAATTGGACGTCGTCAGGTAAAACTCGTAGCCACCTTCTTTTTGCTATTTAATTACGTTTAGATACTTTATCGCCGGCAATGGCCTCGAAAATATTGATGCAATCTCGAGATATAATACCTCTTATCTTCAACAACTCGATCTGTACTATCGACTGTGGTCTCGCGGGTATTCGACGCAGGAGTTTTTCTACCTAATTCATGTAAATTATCTGTTTTTGCTAGGATTCGTTAGAATCAAATTCAGGATAAATACGGGTACACATGCGAGCAGTTTTTCTATAGTTGCAATTTTGGGGGGAATGCGAAGAATTGCTGCACAGAGGTTTTTGCGAAGAAGGTGGGGAGGCTGCGTCCGTCTCCCTCAACATTTCTCTCTCTCTCTCTCTCTCTCTCTCTCGCTTTCTTTCTATCTCTCCGTACCAGTTAGTAAATCAATTCAGATCGTGATACGACGCGGTGTCTGTTTTCAAACTAAGGCGGCATTAAATCAGGTCATTTTAAGGCTAGAATTTTAAGAATATCTAATTTATTTTTTAAAGCTTAGGGGTGAAAAATACTTCAACTCCTTTTCAGACCGAAGCCGACGACGTCGGACGATTAGTGCTGAGCATGAGAGCCTTGAGGACAATGACCTCTCCAGAATATAACTATACACAGGTGGGTTAACAGTTTTCGAACTTCAGGTCAAAAGTTTAGCCTCAACTACTCGTCTACGTCACAGATAATCATGATATTGTGGTGGATTATCCGAGATATTACTTGTACCCTCAGCAGTTTAGTCGAATGAGGTTGACGGCAAGGTTTGAGGCTCGCTCTCTCTCTCTCTCTCTCTCTCTCTCACATTTTCTTTCTCGCTCACTCTAGCTTCCATTTTCAGGTTCATGGAACTCATCCAGAGCAACGACGTGTGCACAAACAAGGTGGATCTGGTTTGAGGAGCAAAAGTGTGTTGGCCCACGCTCATTTCAGTTGTTCGGAAAAGACGCAGAATGCGTGATTCGACGATGGCTGGAGTCGAATATCGTTGTGCCATTCAATTGTACGCTTTCCTATATGACCAACGTCAGCAAGTTGCCGGCTGGGATTGAGGTAAGCCTAAGCCAAAGCCTAAGCCTGAGCCTAAGCATAAGCGTAGGCCTGGGCCTCAGCCTAAGCCTAAGCCTAGGCCTAAGCCTACGTCTAAGCCTAAGTCTACGCTTGATCCTCAGCTTACATCTCATCTAAGCCGAAGCCGAAGCCTAGCCTAAGCCCAGGCCTAAGCTTATGTCTAGCCTAAGTCCAAGCCTACTTTTAAAGCAATTTTAGGTCTGCGATCCGGCCATTATCGTTGAAAATTACTACAATCACATCCAATTGGTTTGGGATAATGCAAATGTGACGGAAAACGTAAGTTCTACATTTCAATAAATTGATTTTCCACATTTTATTATAGCAGCAATTTTCGCCTGTAAATGAGGAGATCGTAAATACAAATTTTTGTCAAAAAAACCCGTGTTTTTAGTGTATTCCGGGCTGTAAAAGATGGGACTACACAGTATCCCTGCAGCAAAATCCAAATATCGATCGATTTATCGATTACGCATACAATTTGGAAGTTTCTTATAATGATTTACAGGTAAGCTAGAGTCTGCCTCACTTTTTGTCGCTTTTTCGCTTTCTCTCTCTCGCTATCTCTCTCTCTCTCTCTCTCTCTCTGGCTCTTTCACTCGCTCTCTATCTCTCTCTATTTATCTCTCCCTCTTCTTGCCGCGTAAAACAGGACTTTTAAACCTTTTTCAGTACGAGTACGTGAAAGAATCCTACACAACTTCCGTGCCGGGTTTCATGTCCCAAATTGGAGGTACGGTAATTCCTGTTTTTTTTCGGATTTTCTAAAGTTGGTCGCTGCTAACTTTCCCTGCGTCAAAAATTTGACAAAATTTAAGATTATTTGGATTTCCAGGTCAATTCGGCTTCTTCCTCGGCCTGTCGATTATCACTTTCCTGCAAATGCTCATCTACTGCATACACTGGATAGCGGTTACAGTTGCCTCTAAAATGCATCGTATCTACCGTACTTTTTCGTCGGTTACGGCATCGGAGAAGCCGACTTCTTGTGAGTTTAAGTTTAAAATTCATAACAATATCCGGTGCTCAATTCGAAAAAGGGTTTGAGCATCAGCTTAAATGGATTTTGAGCCTGGATTTGACCTTAAAAAGAGCAGAAATTCTGCTATGAACTACCTAACAAAGCTTAATCCGTTTCTTTGAGACTCCCTCCCAAATCTCCCATACCGAGCCCATCACCTCGACGTGCTACCTGGTACCGAAGAACCAGTCTCTGAGCCCGGAACTGTGAGAAGCGACAGCTGGGAGTTGCAGGAACTCAAAGAGGAAACGCCAAAGCTTGCGAAACTCGCCGAATTCGAGCAGGACGTCTCCGAATGAAAATAGGCTCAAAACCAAATTTTTGATTTTAGGAGATAACTTATTTGATGTTTTTTTTGTACTGAAATCGGGTCTTGCTGATTCGGGTTTGTGGACTTGATAAATGTTTTCATGAAATGTGAATTATTATTGCATTTTACTATCTCCTTTTATCAATTTTTAACGCCTTTTGGCCATTGCGCGGCGTTAAGAGCGGCAAAACAGCAGGTGCGTTGCGTGTCGTGGGCGCGGCTAACCCCGCTAGGGAACCTGGAAAATCCCTTTAATGGACGCGCACCTTGAACTAGACTATTAAAAACTTACTATTTGAATTTTTTTATAATTTACATTTAGTAATTATCAAGTTAGGTTCAAGTCTTAGAGACTGTAAGTACGCTATTTTCACGGATTTTACGCTTGAAATTCACGTTTCAAAATAGATTTTCCACAAAAATCACGGGGCCAATACTTGCCCCTGTTTTAGCATATACACGTACATTCCCCCCCAATTTCCCGTAGCGAAAATTTGGGCCACGTTTTTGCATGCACATGTCCTGGCCGCAACATTTGGAGGGCAATTTTTCTTGCCTTCCCCGGGCCCGGGCCGTTCTGCACATCTTGAACGCAAAAAGGGGCGCCGGGGCGCGGCGCGGGTGATTAATCTGGGGCAGTATTCAAATTGGGGAAGCATTGGGGGTGTTGCCACCCCTGAAAGGCCTTATTTTGCTTTTCGCTTGCGAATAGCAATTTCCTCGTTTCACCTCCAATTGTCCATAGACACCATCGAAAAAATTGGGGTTTCAAATGTTCCTATGGAATTATACAAGAACTACCGTACTCTACTTATTTTCTTTCTTGATTATGAGATTTTCGATCCATATAACTGTTTATAGTACATTTTTGACATTTTACTTTTCGAATATATATTGTCATCTATTTATATTATTGCATTTCTATGGAATTTTACAAGAAATACCATACCTTTGGATCCTCAGTTCTCTGGTTAATCCGCTCTTTATTAGAGAATTTTTTATCTTATGGGTATGATATTTAAAATGTAACCTTAACTTTTAATTTATGAAACTTCTCAAATAAATTTTCTTAAATTTATTTTGGTATTTCACTTCAGTATATTGCTATGGAATATGACAAGAACTGCCGTACTCTAAGGATCTTACCGCACTCTACTTATTCCATTCTTTATTATTAGGTTTTCGATCGTTTATGAATAAATATTTACGGTACATTTTACCCTTTATTTTTCAAAAATAAATTTGCTACCTTTCAAGAAAAACTTTTCAATATTTCTGCGTTTTTCCGCGTTGTTGACGATGCTAGAAAATCGGCGATCAATTTCAGATTTCGATCTCAACTTGGGTGATTTTTCCAAATCAGTGGTTTCTAAAAACCGCTTCAAAATGCGCGGCATCATTCTGCTGCTGCTTTATTGATAATAAATTGGTGATTAATATGGAAATATGGATTTATTAATATGAGTCTAATGCGGAAATCGCGGTAAGCAAATTCTTATTCTATACAATTATTTTATGAATTACTTTGTATCACGCTGTTTTGAGATGAAATTCGATATTTTTATGCATTTTATGATGCTCTATCGTTTGATGTTTTCAAAATATCGAAAAACCTGCGAAAGTATCAAAAGCTATATGCACAAAAGTTATTTTGTGATTGTTCTAAATTTTTTTATTGCAACATTTTAGGTTCAAACAAAAACTCTTAGTATATTTTTCAATGCTCTTTGCCATTTTTCAAGGCCAAGTTTCCTTTCTTGAAAAAATTGCACTTTTTTCTGTTAAAATTTCAGTAGTAAAAGATGCGAATTTTCAGAAATCCGTGGAGAATGTTCGGATTCGTCGAGTTCCTATACTACGCGGTCGAGGTGACCACCTTGGTCGACCTGCCGACGTTTTTCGTCGCCGTCATAATGATTGTAATCATTTGGCGGGACGCGGCCCTGAACCCCGGCCATCGAACGATACTTCTAAGCATATGTAGGTTGCCTAACAATGAGAGGATTTTGAGTGGAATCGCCGTTTCGGATTTCGGTTTTTGGCTTTTTAGCTATTTAGCCTAGCATTTCTTGTGCAGAATTTTGCGCTGATTTCGAAGCTGTTTCCAAGCTCTGCTAAATACCCAGGTTTAAAAAGTCGTAACTTTTGCTATTTCGCATCTCGGTGGGTCAGATTCCAATTCAGATGCCATTATCTACAGGGTGTCTCATAAAAAAAACCCCGCGGCATTTGGCCCCCCGTTTTGCGGTCGAGCTGAAATTTTCAGGTGTGGTGCGGAAGGCCAAACTCTATATAACGTGCTTACTTAGAAAGCACTAGGTGGCCGAATACGCGAGAAAACGCGACAAAACTTCCTTAAGCAAATAAGCAACCTTTGAACCTTCGGACCTAAGGTCCACGTCAATGGGGTTGGCGAAACTTGTCCTTGGCAAGGCAGGAGCTCTCTTTTGTTTTTTATAACGTTAAGTTGTTGAAGAACGCGATCGCTTTTCTGGCAAAAGCTTTGAGTTTTGTGCCAATTCTGGATGCAAACGAACCTGAGCTTAGCCAAAAATTCAGTGTTTTGCGTTATTTTTGCGTTTTATCGCGTCTACTGCCACCTAGAGTTTTCTAACCTAGTCTTTATTACTTTTTGGTGTTACAATATTTTGCTTAGAAGACTTGGCTGCATGATCTTGATGGGTGTCCATCGCACGTAAAAATTTGGTGCCGATTCGATAGAAGATGACCAAATGCCGAGGGTGGTTTTTACTGAAACACCCTGTATATCGCATCTGGGATTTTTCAAATTCAGATGGCTTAGTCAGATGCGACATATTTTGTTACTATTCCATCTGAATAAGAACTTCTACTTTCTAGTGGTCGGGGACGCCATCGTGCTCCTACGTGCTAGCTACTTGTCCACCTATATAATGGGCTGTCGGAATTGGCAAATTCCGGCAGTTCTCGGTTTGTCTAGTGAGTTTTGAGTACTGAAGTTGAGCCTAAGTCTAAGCTAAGCCTGAGCTAAGCCTAAGCTAAGCCCAGACTACAACCATGGGTCTTTATTATTTTCTTTCAGCATGCGGCACGAAGAATTTGCTGGATGGCTGAATGTCTACGCAGCGATGGTCAGCCCGGCGTTGGGGCTGACCACCTTCGTGGGCTACGTGGCCTTCATGGTTGTGGAGAATGGAAAAAAATGGGAAATGGAATTTTTGAAAAGGTATTTTTTTTGAACCTCATTCTTCGAAAAAGCCTTGGTAATTTACAAGTATTCATATAAAATTTCTTATAGGTTTCTTAGAATACTTAGCTCTCGCTCTCCCTTTCTCTCTCTCGCCCTCTCTCACTCACTCTCCCCCTCTCTTTCTCTCTCTCTCGCTCTCTCTCTCTCTCTCTTTCTCACTCGCTCTCTCTTTCGCTCGAAAAACAACCACCCCATTTCGATGATTCAACTACAAAAACGTCATTTTCAGTAATCTGCCACTGCTGTATATGGCAGTGTCTTGAAAACACAGGGCGAACGCTTGGTTACTCAAAAAGGTAAGTAATTAAGAAGGTTGTTTTGGTAAAATTGAATAATATTTGAGGCCCAAAACAGTTTTGGAAGCAGCTTAAAGCTAGAAATTTAATTTTTGTAAATTCTCAGTCTGTCTCAGTTCACAAAAAGCGTAAATTAGCTGAAAATCGTTCTATTTTTGTAAGACAAAAGCGCAGAAACGTTGTATGCATGGCTTTGTTAATAGGGGCAAAAGTTAGCCGTTAAAAGGTTGTAAAAACAACTAATAATTATTTAAACACATTTAGTACCGCGACGCGTTGTTGACAAGATTTTGCCCTACACAGCACGCGGTGGCGGACATGGAATCCAGGAGAGAACAGGGCCCGAAGAAAAATTTAACAGGTCAGTTAAAATCAGTTTAAATGGACAGCAATGTTAGAAATTTGAAGAACACGAACTGTAATTCACAAGGCGCAATGCTACCGCGACGCGTTCAAGGCAGATTTAGATAAGCGCGGTGTTTTGATCACAATGATTTTTTGCGTTTTTGAATCTTCGATAGCTCGAAGTCGCCTAAAAAAAACATAAAAAGGACCGAAACCATAAATAAAGTTCTAAAAGCCTGCGTGTGGATATGTCCAATCAAAATGCATTCTTTCAGAATAAGCAGAATCTCTACAAGCAATTACTTGCGTTGGGGAAGAAAGAAATTTTTTTGGAGGTTTGTTCTTCGTAGTTTTGTAGAACTCAAGGTTTGGGAAAGGCTTGTCTATGGATTCCCTATAGCTTACGCCGCGCCCGCGACACGCGACGCGCTTAAAATTGCTGTTTAGCCAAAGAGAGATAAATATAAGTTTTCACGGCTGTGCTATGGATTTCGCTGGTTATGGATTCCCTATTGATTTTGACTCGCCCGCGACATAATGCGCGCAACTTCCATTGCTCAATCAATTTCAGGTGCTTTGGCATTATCGGGGGGGGTCAAAATAATATAAATAGGAAAAGTTTTTCTACATGTTTTTTATACTACACCTAGACGTCAAAGCTTTACAAATTTGATTAAAAAATACGAGACATATAAATTTCAGCCAAGATTTTACACAGAAATTTTTTTTTATTTTTAAATTGTTTTTACATAAAATATGGTTTAATTTTACTAAAAACACTAGTGAAACACTTACTAATAGGTTGGTAGGTCCTTCTGGACTTATCGAAAAAAATTAGCCCCCGGATACCTCGCCCCCCCCGTAATGAAAAAGGACCCAATTTCCAGCCATTCACGCAACCGAGCAGGCCAGAGCTCGAAAGCTCCACGTTTGCTCAACAAAAAATTCTTTCAGCCCCTTATTCCCACAGCTATTGCTCATCGCCATGGCGCCAAAGCTGTACGATGCGGTCTTCACCACGGTTAGTTATTTCAATAACAAGTAGAAAATCTATTTTCTCGAAACAATTAGCGCATCATAAATAGGAAAAAACCCTCATTTTAGTGGATCCGCCGCATGTGGTACTGGCGTCCGATATGTTTGTGAAGAAAAAATCAAAACCTCGGCACAATCAACGAGTAAAAAAAATTTGAAAATTGCTTTAACGGGTTTTTTCAAAGTAAACACTATCGAAGATCAAGTTTTAAGGAAATGCACATTTATGACATTACAATACTATTCACTGGCGTCCGGTCACTACCCCGAAAAGTCACTACCCCGAAAGTCACTACCCCGAAAGTCACTACCCCGAAAAGTTACTACCCCGAAAAGTCATTACCCCGAAAAGTCACTACCCCGAAAAGTCGCTACCCCGAAAGTCACTACCCCGAAAAATGATAGCATTGTTTTTCCCGGAAAAATCCAGTTTTCATGCGGTTTTCCTATGAAAATCATGCAAATTATTTCGGGGTAGTGACTCTTCGGGGTAATGACTCTTCGGGGTAATGACTTTTCGGGGTAGTGACTTTTCGGGGTAGTGACTTTTCGGGGTAGTGACTTTCGGGGTAGTGACTTTCGGAGTGACCTTCGGGGTAGTGACTTTCGGGGTAGTGACTTTCGGGGTAGTGACTTTTCGGGGTAGTGACTTTTCGGGGTAGTGACTTTCGGGGTAGTGACTTTCGGGGTAGTGACTTTTCGGGGTAGTGACTTTACCCCCTATTCACTACACATAGCGAAAATTACTATAGTAGCATCTTTCGTTTTTTGTTCGGGCGTCTTTTGGTTGTATTTTGTGTAGGGCAGCATCAGCATTGAGTTGAACTAAGCGTACTGTAATCTACTCTAGCGTATGAGAGCGTTTTTCCTGCGGTACCGTACTGTAGCGTAGCATTCGCTTCAAGGCAAAATAAGGAGTAACCTTTATGCTACTGTAGAGTATCTGTACCTTGCATAACATTTTGTATCTGAATACTTCGGCAGTGCAGCGTATGACTTGTACGCAACCGCCTAACACTTATTCGTAGAATACGGTGAAGGATAACGTTCTGCTGGGTTAGATAGCGCTGTTATGCGGTAATACAGAGTACTGCAGCGTACTGTAGCTTTCAAACACCATCAACGTGCTCAAAAACACACAGTTTGCGTCATAATACCTCAACGTAATGTAGCGTACTACCGAAAATTTAGTACTTGCCTATACCGTACTGTAGCGTTCTGTGACGTACTGTAGCGCATGATCACACTTTATTCATAATACTGTAGGGCAGTGTACTGTAGCTTAGCATATAATGCAAAACACACATTTATCGTCATGAATTCTTCTTTTTCGCTTAACAGCAAATACCCGGGCAACGGTTAACATCTCAAAAATCGACAGACACAAGCTATAGGGGGCAACATGCAGCGGAAACAAGTAGGGAACATTTCGCACATTGCCAGAATAGTCAGTTAGGTAGGGTTCATCAGGCCACCGTCGTCGTCATGTCGTCGATGAAGCGTTCCTGGAAAAATTATGAAAATTAGGGGTTTCGATAGATTTTAGAGGGGCCGGGAGTCAAATCTACATGAAATTTTGATGAAAATCCTTGAAAACTGGTTGATAATCACGTAGATGAAGTTAAGAGCACTCTGGAAAAAAGAAACGACGAGATTTTGTATCGTTTTCAAAATTATGCTTACGCTTACGCTTCGATGTTATCGATTTTAAAGGAACTACGAAAGTAAAATCCAATAATTATTTTTTCTGAAAAACGCAAAAGTAATCGAGCAAACTGTACTCGATTTCAAGGGATAGTGACACCTAGAATTTAGGTTTTCCCAAAGCATACCTGCTCGGCGAGCAGGTCGAGCTTGTTGCCGAGGCGGGCACGAGGCTTCCGCTTGGACACCATCGTCTTCTCGGTGACGGTTTTGCCGCCTTTTCGGCTCCTCGATTTCGAGATGGCGTTCAGCTTCGAGTGTTTTGAGTGCTTCGAGTGCTCGCGGGTAGCTTCTTGGGTCGTCATCTGGAAAGGCGTAAAATTGAGGTGCCAATCTTTTGCTCTCTCTCCCCCTCTCTCTCTATCTCTCTCGCTGTCTCTCTCCAAAATACCGCACCCCTCCAACGTCGCAGGTACGCGAGCGCGAGTCGGCGGTGACGAGCGTGGGTCTGTCCTTGGTCCGCTCCTTAGTCTTCTTCGTCTGCTTCTTCACATTTCGCTGCGATTTGTGCTCCGCTTTGAGGGCTTCGATTACCTAAGAAGCTCGTGATGACGCGGTTTCGTGGATCAGGAACAGCTAGCAAAGATTCCTAGAAAGTTCTCACAGCTTCAACTATTGGCTAAAACAGACAGTTTCTTTGGCAATTTTTTCTACGCGCTAATTACCATACCCTCCGTTGCGGGTCCTGATCAGCTTCGGCGCTGCTCGGCTGACTACCGCCCGGCTGCTTGCCTGTGGGCGTTGCGGCTGGAGTCTCGCGCTCCTGGCTGCCGCTAATCACCTCGCCGGAGTTGATGGGGGCTGGGGAAGCATCGGGGGATTGAGGCGTCTCGGGGAGTTGGGCTTGCTGGGTACTCGGCGTGATGCTGAAACTCGGCGTCAGATTTTTTGAGGAAGAGGGAAATAGAGCGAGAGAGAGAGAGAGAGAGCGAGAGAGAGAGCGCGCGAGAGAGAGAGACTTACCCAGCCTCCTCGTCTTTCCGGCAACACCGTTTCCTGCTGATGTGGCAGATGACCAGCCCGAAGCTGCCGAGGAGCAGCGTCAGCGAGCCGACGATGATCAGGGCTGAAAATCAATAATTTCAAAGTCATATCTTATTTGAGGTCCTATTAGAACTAGTCGAAAATTTGGTTTCAGAAAAATATCAACAATATCGATTTTTGGCCAAAAACGGCCTGTTTACGACCAAAATTTGGAATTGTGAAAATTTCAGATGGTTTTCTCGCTTGAAATAGACATGAATTTCGATTAACTCCCGCCCGCCGCCCCCCGATAATGCAAAAACACCCGCTTAAAAGCCTACTCATCGCAGTCTTGCTGTTCTGAAACTCCTTCCACGTCGATTGGCCCTTTTGAGGCTTGGGGGTCGTTTTTGTGACCGTAACGTTTGTGATCGTATTCCGGGCCGCAGGGGGCGTAGAACTTGTAGAAGTCGTCGTGCTAGTCGTGCTGGCAGGGGGCGGTGAAGTGCAGAGGACCTAGGCAAAATTCAAAAATTTTTGAAAAACTTAAAAACTGACTTTAGCCGCATCTACGCCCGGGCCGCACTCTTGCAACTCGATGGTCAGCTCCGGGTCCTTGTAGCGCTGGTAGAACGGGTTCAGGTCGCAGTTCAGAAGGAAGTCGTTGGTGACGTGGTCTCGTTGTTCTTTCTGAACGTTTTAGAGTCGTGCCCGCCCCGAACGCCTAACCGTCATCAATCGCTCCGGCTTCACGCATCGTGGGTACTGCCTGGCGAGTTGCGGAAGATCGACGTGATCTTGCGTCAAATTTCGGCCCCACATCACGTTCATCCAATTTTCAAGGAGCGTCGCGTACGGGCCGGACTAAAGGTGATGCTCAGTGAATTTCTGACTGGCTTTAAAGTTACCATGAAAGGTAAAGTCCTCACCTCTTTCCGGTACGCTGAGTAGATCTTGGCCGTCGGTCCTTCTCCGTGTAGGATGTCGAGGAGGGTGCAATTCTCGTAGTTACGCTGCCCTTCGTAACGACATTCCTGTGTGCACTCGGTCCACAATTTCTCGCCTTCCGGGCGTAGTAGACTACAATATTCGACGTCTGCGTAGAAAAGCTTTTCCTTATGCTCACAGTTGGCCGCAAATCGGGCGTGGCTCACAGGTGGTTCCGTTACGTGGGGGCTCTTCGCCGGGCTCGCACAGCTGAATATGAAAATCGGTACCATACCAACTCAAAACCACATACCCTGGTGACAGTACCCGGATCGTCCGGGAGGAACGACGGCGATTCCCCGGCCTGCAATCCGAGTAGGCGGCGTAGGCTGCCGGGGCAAACATGGAGGCGCGAGTTGCTCCCCGTCGCTGCCACGACGAGTCTGAAAACAAACTTTAATGGGGGATACCTCAAAAGATTTAAGGGTAAGAGTTTATTTTATCCGCCCCCACAGCCGAAGGGTCCCAAAGTTGTCGGTATTTTCGCTTATTGTGTCGGGATTTTCGCTATGCCATTCGATAGAGCGTCGAAAAATATACTAAGAGTTTGGATTTGAGCCTACAATAATGTAAAATAAAAAAGTTATAGCCAAAAACTTCCGGCTGGGGGGGGGGGGGGATAAAGTAAACCGTAGCCAATTTAAGATGTTTTAAAAAGTTGAAATTTTGGTAAAAACGGCCATTGATGTTTTTAATAAAACTTTGCAGACTTTTCCCGTTCAAGAATGTTAAAAAACCCTCTACAGTACCCCGGGACAGCAATCCCAGCGTCACATTGCGTGATGAAACTCGGCTGCAGCCGCCGTTGTTCAAAACCCTCCAGGTCTCTGCAAAAAAGAGTGTTAACGGAAACTTAAATCGTACCCGAGATGCTTTAGCGGACATCCCCAAGTGGCCAGCATGCGCCTCGTGCAAAAGTTGAACGGGAACAGTGCCCATTGTTCGTGCTCTGCAAGTAGGGGTGTACCGGACACCGAAAACCTGGCACTTAAAACGAAACCAAACCTGAAGACCCGAGGTTGACCGGCTGGATGCAGGTTGGCGCCGGAAGCTCAGAATGTGCGTTCCAAGTCGTAGGTTGCTAAAAAACTTTTAAAGCATGAAATTTCTCTCTCTCCCGTTCTCTCACTTTCTCTCACTCTCTTGCTCTCTCTGGCTCTCTCTCGCCCTCTCCGTCTCTCTCCCTCTCCCTCGCTCTCTCACGTTCACAGCGCTCACACAAAACACGGCTTTCGGCGTGCATGTCATTGTTTTGTGATCCTCCTCCATCTGCGGTAGAAGGTCGCTGAACGTACATGGTTCCGTGACGCGCTGGCAGTTGGCGCACTAAAATAATTTATAGTGATAGAGCCAGTGAGAGAGAGAGGGAGGGAGAGAGAGAGGGAGAGAGCAGGATAGATAGGGAGCGAGAGTTCCAGACGCACCATGGGGAACTGCTCGGTGGTGTAGTTGTTCTCCGTCAGCCAGTCTTGCGCATAGCAGACGAAGGCACACTTCAAATTGAACGTACATAACTATTCATAGCGTAGCGTAACGTACTGCTCCGCAAAGCCCTTAACCACAGATTCCTCACCTTTTCCTGTTGAGCCGTCGTCAGCAGGCAAATTTGAATATAGAAGAAACAGACACGCCGAAGCCAGCAGACGCCGGACATGGTCTGCGCATCGACGTATGAGGATTTTGCGATTTTCAGTCCTTCGAAATCAAGCCTGGTATGCAAATGTTATTCTCGGATTCAGCCTTGTATTCTGGTGTCATGTGCATTTCGTTCCAAATCGCCCAAAAACCCGTTTATCGCAAAGATTTCGTCCGTATCGATTCCAAGAAAAATCCACAAGAAAGCCCAACAAATAATGGCAAAATCACACAGCGAATAAGTTGCAATTTTATTTGGCCATTCGGAGGGTCGGGTCTTCGCTGGAGGGGAAGTCGTCGATGGCGCGTTCCTGGAGAAGAAACGATAGACGAGAGAAAGAGATAGTTAGGAAGAGAGAGCGAGAGAAAGAGAAAAAGATAGAGCGATTGAGCGTGAGAGAGATCTAGAAAGAGCTAGAAAAAGCAACCGACCTGCTCCTCCAGGATGTCTGTTTTGTTGCCGAGCTTCGGACGTGGCTGAAAAAAATGTTCATCGTGTCGAGAAAGGAGAGAACCCCACCAAATGCTTCGAGGCCATCGAGTCCTCCGTCGGGTCGTTCTGCGTGCTGCTCACGGATCTCTAGACGTCATGTTTCCAGGCCGCTGCAGGAGCCCCACCTTTTTGCCAATCTTCTTGGTAATCGTCTCGACAATCGAAATGCGGCTCTTGTGCTGCTCGAATCTGGTCTCGGGGCGGCAGGAGGGGGAGGGTTGGGTCTAGGAAGGCTAGTAGACGCTCACTTCCGACCGCTACCTTTTCCGCCTTCGTCTTCTCGGCGCTTGCCGACACATCAGCCGTCGTTCGCTTCGTGCCTTTCTGAAAAAAGGTTCAGTAGAACTAAGAGTTTCTGAGCGTTGTTCATCTACCGCCAAAAAAAAAACGTACCGGAGACGCTATAGGAGACGCTCGGGGGCGACGCTCCTCCATCACCGACGACAGCGGCTCGCTGTTCACCTCTGCACATTGGCTCTGGGAGAGCGGCTCGCGGGAGGAGGATCCCGATCCGCGGCCCGGGGTCGTTGGGCTTGGCTCGCGTCTGAAAATTGGAGCTGGAGCTCTATCTCTATCTCTCCCGCATTCTCTCCCTCTCGCGCGCTCTCTCTCTCAATCGCTCTCTAACCCTCCGTCTCTCTCACTCTCCTACCCGACTTTCTTCTTGTTCTTCTGATACAGCGCGGTGATGCTGACCGTCGCCAAGACGCCGCCGACGATCCCGACGATCACCCCGATGCAGAACATTCCTAAAGAAACAAGCTATTTTTGGCAGTGATCAGCTACAACATACCTAGCTCGCTGGTGTCGTCTTCAGATTTTTTCATCCCGGAAGTACTGCAATTTGGGTTGGCGGCCTCGGCGGGTGCGACGAGCGGCTGCTCACCTTCGGAGGCGAGGCTGAAAAGCGCGAAAGAATGATGAGATTAAAGCTTAGAGCTAAGCAAATTAGCATACATTTGGGGATGTGCATCGACAATCCCAAAGAACAGCAGGACGACGGATAGGAGAAAGAGGAACATCTTCCAGTCCACCATAGTCAAGGCGTGAATGGTGTCGCGGGCTTGGAATTTTAGGGGTTCGGGGCCGGAAATGCAAAAAAAAATCAGGATGCAAATTTATTATTTATTTTCTCCATCTGTCTCTCTCTCTCTCTCGCTTTCTCTCTTCTTATCTCTCTCTCGCACTCGCTCTGTCTCCCTCTCTGGCACAGTGAAAAATATTTTCGAAAATCTGGTGCCATTCGGATCATGCCCAAGCGATATTTCGAAACATTTATTCTTATCCGCAATGGCGACACAAGTCTTTATCCAGATGAATTCTTCTCTTGCTGCGGTTAACGAAAAGAAATGTTCAATTGAAAGCAGTGATCGATACGGGGGTGATTAGGTCGATTTCTTTTTTCTCTTCGCCGTCTCCTTGCCGGTCGGCATGTCGTCGAAGGCCCGTTCCTGTTCCTCGAGGACGTCGAGCCGGTTGCCAAGTTTTGCGCGGGGCTGAAAATTTGCAATTTATATTGGTAAATACTGGTACGGTGCCTTTAAAAATAACGAGAGAACGAGAGAGAGCGAGAGAAAGAGAGAGAGCGAGAGAAGGAGAGTGAGTCAGAGAGAGCGAGAGCGAGGGCGAGAGAAAGAGAGAGAGCGCGCGCGCAAGCGCGGTAAAGAGATAGGCAGGCCAAACCTTACCAGTTTCCGGGTCCTGTCCTTGCTCAGCTCTTTGCTCTTGTCGAGGGAAGGCTGGAATCAGAAGGTCCAAAAACTTCCAGCAAATTCTGACCTTCTTGCTGACGGCCTGCATGAGGCTCTTGACAAGCTGCTTGGGCTTGTCGACGATCGAGTGCTCGGGGCTGCGGTTGCTCGCCGGGGCAGACTCCTTGGAGCCGTGCTGCATTTTTGGGCTCGAGCGGTGCTAAGAAAGAGAGGTTGTTAAAGTTGTCGAAGCCAACCTTCGGGAGGAACACATCGGCGGAAGAGACCGGGTGGATGCGGCGAGGTGGGACCTTAACGATTCGAAATTGAATTAGCACTGTCCCTTTAAAGAAAGAGAGAGAGAGAGAGAGAGAGAGAGAGAGTGAGATAAACATACCGGTGACTCCGCCCTCTCTACCGGCACGTCAGCTTGTCGGTCGGCCTGCCTCTCTGTGATTCTCTCGGTAGTTCGTTCGGTTTTCCTCTTCCTTTCGACATGTCGATCTGTCTGTCGATCGGTAGTCACTAGCCGTTCGGTAGGCTGCCGCTCCGTCACCTTCTCAGCCGACCCGCCCCGTTTTCCATCAGATCTGGGTAGTTGGAGCTGGAGGTCACTTCCTGACGCTGCGATGATGGGCGCGATCTCCTTGTCGGTGGCTGGTTGCTGAAGATCGTGGGATGAGGCGACGTGTACTTCGGTGAGGTCAGGGCTCGAGCGAGGGGGTTTCCTGAAAAGCAGTAAGAAATTTTCCAAGTAATGTTACCCGTCCCCTTTGAGGTAATTGCCACTCACTTTTTAAACAAATGCCAAATCGCCACCACGCCGATCATCAACATCACGCCAAAGATCGTCCCCAGGAAGAAGCCGAAGAAGAACATGCCTAAGGTAGTAGATTTTGAAAAAAAAGTCAGCAGAAACTACGGTACTGGACTGTTAGCAGGGGCGGGGATGGTTGGCAAGGGGGTAGCTAATTTTTGTTTTTTTTTCGTGTATGCCTACTGTTAATAATAATAAGCGTATTTTTATGGTTTTTTTAGTTTTTCTTTATTATCAAAGTTAGAGGAAATATGTTAAATTTTTCAAAATTTGAAAAAATTTACGGCTAAACTCCAGATAACCCCCCCCCCCCCAGCCGAGCCCCACCTACCGTATCTCGGTTCCCTGTTCATCTACAAGTGTGTCAAGTATACCAAAATACTCGCCACAGCAAGACGAACATTTTGGTATACTTTACACACCTGTAGATGAACAGGGAGCCGAGATACAAAAGTTCAGTGCCGGCTGGGGGGAGTTATTTGGAGTCTTACCAAATTTACTTTTTTTGGGCTTATGACCAAAAATCCCACATTTATCGACAATTTCTATTTGTTTTTGAGCGTATAAAATGCCCATAGGGTTGTACCGGATTACTTGGAAAAATTAGTTTGCACCGTGCTAAAAATACCCCCTGCTAACAGTCCAGTACCGAATCTACCACCTCCGCAAGGCTCGCCCTGGCCGGCCACCCATTTCGGCCCCGGAAGCGGAGAAGTGTGATTCCGAGTTGAATTCTTTGGAGGTGCAGTTGGAGGTTTCGTAGCATTTTTTGTAGGCTTCGGATTGGGCGGACTTGGCTTGGGCGGTGATGTCGAACTTCCAGGTGACGGAAGCGGGACTGTTGAAGCCGTAGAAGGCGGAGCTGGACCATCCGAGGTTGTCGTAGTTGTACTGGTTGTGGTTGACGGGGTAGTTGTGGAGTTGGACGCCGGCTCCTTGGTAGTCGTGGCGGCGGGGATGCAGAGAAACTTCTGAAAACAGGAAATTGTCGAAAATTAGAGCTAGAACCACGATACCTGACGGGGCAACTAGCAGAGATGCTTTGGGAATTGAATGCAACCAGCAGCGACCATTTAGGAATTGCAGGCAAACTAGCGGAGATTGCGTAGGAATTGAAGGCAAACTAGCGGAAAATTTGATGGAAAACATCCTCACTTTCGGATCCTCGCCCTCCTTGCAGTCGACCGGCTCCAACATCATCGCCAGATTGTTGCCGGCGTCGTAGAATGGGTTCAGGTCACAGTTTAGGAAGCGATTGACGGCGACGAGCTTCTGCTGGTCCTAAAAAAAGGCTTAAGGTGGCTATTGCCCTAATTCCCGACTTCCGACAACTTCTCCGCCTTGACACATTTTGGGTACTTGATGGCATCGGTGGGGGCGAAGTCGAGCTGCAGCGTCTCCTCGTCCGTCAGCAGCTCGGCGTAGGGACCAGACTAAACAATTAAATATCTCTCTATCTCTATCTCCCTCTGTCTCTCTTTCTCTCTCTCCTTTTCTGTCTCTATCTCTCTCTATCTCCATCCCACTCACCCCTCTTCGATATGCCGATATCACATGCTCGCCATCCAGGATTTCCAGTGGCACGCATTCCTCGTCGACGGTGGAAGAGTACTTGCAGATTTTGAAGCAAGGGTTTGTCGGTATTTTACTTTCGTCGAAACTGGCCGGGCGCCTGAAATTGAGACTTTTGTGATCGAAAACCCTTCAGCCAACGTTAATTCGCACAGCGGGACCGGCTCGCACGGCGTCTCGCCCGCCGGTTTTTCGTTGAAGGCGCAGAACTTAAAATGATAAGATCGGGTAGTTAAAGGGTGAGGTATCGCTCAGTTTCATACCTTAAAACTCGGGTTCTCATAGGGAAGCCCATCGCCCGGGATTGGTACTTCTGGGACGGTGCCGAAACCGGCGGCCATCAGAAGGTTCGGGACGCACCCTTGTTCAGGGTCCGCAACGTCTCTAAAAATAGATAGTGCATAGAGAGCGAGAGCGAGAGCGAGAGAGAGAGAGCGAGAACGGGAAGGATCAATATATTCCCACTTTGGCACGGTGAAGCCGGCGTCGCACTGGTAGTAGTACTCGATGCCGTAATGCGGGCTCGCAGGATCGTATGGTGGCACTGTGCTTTCCCTAAAAATCGAAACATCCATTTCTCTCCTTCTCTCTCTCTCTCTCTCTCTCTCTCTCTCTCTCTCTCTCTCCCACCGACCCGTTATCACAGCCGCCCTCCTGTTTCAGCGCTGGTGTGCACAAATTGAAGGGGAAGAGCACCATCCTGACGTCATCTGCTGAAAATGACGGTCTTGAGTGTAATCCGGGTTTTGTTAAATGGATAATACGGTATATGTCGGCTACGCGGGGGGGGGGGGGATTTTACGCGGGGGGGGGGACGGGACAGGCAGGCCTTTCTGGATGTTTTCGTGATTTTCTCGGAATTTTTGCAACGGCATTCGATAAAGCATTGAAAAATATACTAAGAGTTTTTGTTTTAGCTCAAATTAGTGTAATATAAAAAAGTTATAGCCAATACAAAAATAAGCTTTGAAAATCGGTTTGAGCGGCTGTTTTTCGACATTCGCGCTATTTTTTCGACATTTTATAGATGCCATTCGATAGAGCATCCAAAAATATACTAAGAGTCTTAATTTTAGCTTAAAATAATGTAATATAAAATAGTTGTGACAAAAACAAGTATTCAAACGTTGTTTCAATCGAGGACAGAGAAGGAAATCAAGTTTTCGACATTTTCGACATTTTTACAAAATTTCTTTAGTGTCATTCGACAGAGCGTCGAAAAATATACTAAGAGTTTTGTTTGTAGCAAAAAGAAGCGCAAAAAAAATAGTTAGCCCGGCCCCAACAGTCCGTCCCCCCCGCGTAAAATTTCCCCCCCCCCCCCGCGTAGCCGACATATACCGGATAATACGAATTAACCCAGAACAAAATTTTAATACAACCAAAATTTACTTCCAACGTTGTATTCGACCGCACGAATGCAGTCGGTGGCCGGGCTTTTGAGGTCTTCCTAAAGGCTCGCCATTTTTCGGACCTGCGTATACTACGGGTATTCTGAAGCTACCCACACAAAACAGGCTCGGCTTGCACTTTGTCATCAAGTTGCCATTTTCCATGGAAAACTTCGCATCCGCTTCACACGATTTGACAGCTTTTGCATCACAGGGTGTACACTAAAAGTGGTCAATGGAAATTGACCGCAACACTTACATCTTTTACGGGTAAGGTTGCGAATTTCTGCACGGTGAGCCATTCGTTGGCCCAGCAGGCAAATTTTCTGTCGCCCTTGCACTGAAATGACAGATGAAGTCTAAGCCTACGTCCAAGCCTGAACCTTAGCCTAAGCTAAGCCTAAACGTAAGCCGAAGCCGAAGCGTACTCATAAGCCTAAGCTTAAGCCTAATCCTAAGCCGAAAGAGAAGCCTAAGGCTAAGCCCATTGAGCCTAAGCCTAACCTAATTCTGAGCCTAAGCTAAGCCTAATCTGAGCCCAAGCCTGAAACCTAAGCTGAAGCCTAAGCCTAGGCCTAAGCCAAGCCTACTACAAAAACCTGCCGCTTTTTTCTTTGGTGGTTTTATATCGGGTGCGTCAGCTGCCAGTGCAGATAGGTGTGTTCTAAACGACAAGAATAAAGATTTTAATCTCAAAATTGCATAATTTCAGAGTAAAAATCACCTTTCATCGGATGTAACGTTCGCTGTAAGGTTTCTTGGAGCATCTTGTAGCGGCTCTTGAGCGCGTAATAGGGCGCCTTGGGCGGAAATAGGGGCAGAGAGCGGAATACAGAAAAATATGAGCAGCAGCAGGAAGTGGCGCTCGAAACCCCGGCGCCCGCCTATCATCGAGCAATGTGAGAAAGTGGCAGAAAATACAGCAAAACTATGAAAATGAGGATCGAAGTAATTTATGCAAATCACAGATCATCCATACGGCTATTATCGGCGAGAGGAGGCGAGAGAGAGTGCGAGAGCGAGAGAGGGAGAGAGAGAGAGAGGGAGCGAGCAAGAGCAAGAGATACAGAGAGCCAGGGCTAGAAAGAGCGAGAGATCGAGAGCAAGGAGAGAGAACGTGAGAGAAAGAGAACGATAGAGAGAGAGAGAGAAAGAGAGAAAGAGTAGGAGCGGAATAGGGAAAGCTAAAGAACGATAGAGAGAGAGGGAGAGAGATAGAGAGAGATGAGGCGAGAAAGCTGCTTTTCTCCAAAAACTGCCAATAATTATTTATTCAACCAGCCAATGTCACAGAAACGGATCGATTGAAAGAAAAGAATTATGAGAGTGGCTAGTCAGGTTGAATGTTTTTCGACGTGGTGCGTCGGCGTTTCATTGGTGCGCCCGGCTCATCCGGGCAGCGGCGTATTCGCGGGTACCATCTAGAAATTCAATAGATTAAAAAAAGGGGTAAGAGTCTAGAAAACCCCCCCCCCCCAGCCGGCACCAACTTTTGTATCTCGGTCTCCCTTTGTGCTAGCGAGCTCTAAAGTATACCAAAATGTTCGCCTTAGGCTAATTAGTCAGACTACATTGCAGTTGAATCGAAAAAAGTAGTGAAAAATAAAGATAAAGTAGGTAGAAAAGTTGAAAAGTCGGCTGGGGGGGGGTTTCCTAGACTTGAGCCAAAAAAGGTGTTTCTGACCATCACCCCATCCGGCAGCGTCGCCGACTCGGGGATGTAACCGTCGGGGAAGATGCCGGGCGGGAGACTGTCCAGGGTACTGTCGCGTCGTTGCACTCTTCTAAAGGACGTGAATTTAAATGAAAGTTTTTTATGGAAGAACAAGTAATGAAATTAAGGCTACGGTTTACTTTACCCCCCCCCCCCCCAGCCGGAAGTTTTTGGCTATAACTTTTTTATTTTACATTATTGTAGGCTCAAATTAAAACTCTTAGTATATTTTTCGACGCTCTATCGAATGGCGTTGCAAAAATCCCGACAAAATAAGCGAAAATACCGACAACTTTGAGACCCTTCGGCTGTGGGGGGGTAAAGTAAACTCTTACCGAAATTAATTATACCTGTGATACCAGACCAAAAACGCCACTCCGGCGGCCACCAGCGTAATGATGATGCCATCGATGATCAGCACCCACATGAGGCCTACACAAAAAGAGACATAATTCTCTTTCTCTCTCACTCACTGGCACCCTCTTCGGCTCTCACTATCTCTCTCCCTCTCTCCCTCTCTCTCTCTCTCTCTCTCTCTCTCTCTCTCTCTCTCTCTCTCTGTCTCACTTTCTCGCTCTCGCTCTCCCACCATTTGTCGCCGGCTTGCTTGGTGGAGTCGTGGGAACGGCACTAGGTGCCACGGTGTCCTCCTTGCTGACCTCGGCGTTCTCCTTGATCGTCTCGGTCTCGGGGGACTCATCCGGGAAGAGCAGTACTGGCTCTGCAGCACCCCCAGGAACTATGTCTTCATGGTGATCGTGGTCGTGGTCGTCATCGTCGTCGCCAAAATCCGACTCGGCGATGGACGGCTTGCCGTCGTCGGAGCTCCGTGGTACCTGGACAGGTGCTTTATAAAGGCTAGCATAGATCGTTTCTGATTCCAAATTCTAGAAGTCTTACCGTAGCCCCGATCCCGTCACGAGGAGCGAGGTGAAGCCAGCCGTCGTCTTCATAAGGATCAACATCGGCCGGCGAGACGGCCTTTTCGTTTTTCTCGGTTCTGAGAAAAGTTCCTTTTTCTTTATAACGAATCTGTGCCTGTGATCATCCTCGAGCTGGGCGACGACTTGGCCAAGGACGAAAAAGAAGAGCAGAAGAAAGCCAAGTGGCCCTCCACGACCAAACATTTTATGGAAATGAAGGCCATTTCGATTTTTCCCGAGTTGCCATTGAGGTCTATTATGCAAATTTAAGTTTCAAATTTTTTACGTTTGTTTGCCCATTTTTGTGTTTTAAGTGTATCCAAAGGATGTCTGCTAGCTTGCCTTGTTGCTAATTCGCTGGTTCCGTAACAATAATCATTTTTATTCAGTCTTTGTTAGCCGGATTTGAGATTAGTTTTTTGAAGTTCCAATCCAGCAACTGACTTTTTGCGTGGCGTTCAGTCCGGGCGTCCACCTTAAAAACGCATTTCCTTAATTGTTTGAAAAATGTCCCAAAAAGGCTGCAAGAGCACCATACCAGGTATATCCAGTTCCAGGAATGTACCTGCAAGCATGTAGCGGGCCCAACCCACCAATCAGGCCCTCGATCCTGAAAATAGAGGAAAATAAGATCTATAAATTTCATTAAAGGAAGCCCAAATTATTGGTGTTTGTGCTCATTTAAAAGGCAGTAAAAAATAGATAACTACTAAAATCCTATAAAATGAGCTCAAAAAGCACACAACCTACTCGTAATAATGTGTTTCACATCCCAGAAACGTCACCACTTTGCACCCTTTTCTATTCCATCGAAAATTGTACGTTATTCCCGGCGCAACAACCGGGTCAACGCATTTGGTGCAGTCTAGAGGGGCTAAAATAGTTCAAACAATTTTTGAGTAATTTTGATACCCTTTGTTTGTTTGCCTGTTTCCCTCTTACCCGCGAAGGCTGCTGCATCCTTATCCTCATCTTCCCTAAAAAATGTTCTAAGAAAATTTTCTGCATTTTCATACCCATAGTCGGCCGGGCAAGCAATAGTTCGGCCTAAATAAAATATATGAACATGGGCTGACCTTAATTTCATTAAATTCGAAAAATCGAAAAAAGAAAAGAAAAAGAAAAAGAAAGGGAAGTCAAAATCGCGCGTACCGGGATTGAACCCGCTGGTCAAAAGGATGGGGGTCTCTACCAAGAAGTACCAGAAAAGTGACTTGATTGCAAAAAAAACGTAAAATATTGGAGTAAACCCGAAATCTTCTCTGGGCGAAAACGGCCCTTTTGGGTGGGCGGCGATTACATGTCGTAATGTCTGGTAAGGCACTGAATCTCTCGATCTCGGTCATTTTCTAATCAATTTCGATAATTAAAAAGTCTAGAATGATCCAAATTTCATCGGGGATTACAGAAATAGCTTCATAATGTCTTAATTCGAGCGTTTTCACGTCCAAGCGGGGGTAAAAGATCGCAACTGGCTATTTGCCAGGAATCAACGTGGGGAGCCGTGGACCAGACATCGGGGCACCTCTAAAGTTAAACGCAAAATTGCGAAAGCCGAATTTCCGCTATTCACTAATATCCCTTTTTTATAATGCTATATTTTCCTATCGTAATTTTTGTAAATTGTAACGTAACTTACCAATTAAGCAGAAAATAGCAGCCAGCAGAAAAATATAGTATTTTCCCATATTTTTTAGCAAAAACCAAAACCAGGATAGATAAATTGACGATTCCCTTGCGGTCTTTTTCTTTAAAATCAATATTTCTCCGTGTTTGCGATTCACAGATCTTTTTATCGAATTCAGAAGTGTTTGTTTTGTGTTCATTCGAAAATCTGTGATGTGAGCCGATGAGCACAAATCTCAAAACTCTTTATTGCGAATTTCAACGGCATGAATAAAGCTACGTTGTACCCAATTCAAACATATAAAAATATAGAAAAATAGAAAAATAAAATTTAAGATGGCACACATTAAATAAGTAACGAAATATACCTAGCGTAACTGATTACGATAGGCAATAAATAGGTATAGGTAATACTGTGGTTTCAGGCTTTGGTAGGAAGTAAGAGCGGGGGTGTTTTAAAGGGATGGTGACAGCAAGAAAAAGTAGGTTTCTACTATTTTTTAAGCTAAAAGATTAAAAATTGCTTAAGATGTATAATCCATCGGCGTTCTTGCCTTCACTACCCCTTTAAAACAATATTTGGAATGTAATCAGGTTTTTGGAATGCTAATGCGAGTGAATTGTTGAGCCGTTAATAGACGGGTGGGGCGGAAAGACACTATTCGACTACGCACTACAATAAATACGCCATAAGGAATCGATCGGAAATGTTGAGAGAAATTTTATAAAATTCACCGATTACGATAGGTAATTCGAATGTATTAAAAATCTACTACCTCTGAAAATACGCCTCTAAATGCTCTATTTTTCCAACTTTTTCGGAGAGGCCTGATTCTTCTGGCCGGCGGCGACAAAGCTGAACACGCACAGCACGGCGTAGCAAATTTGATCGGCCTGGAAGGGGGTACGGTGGTGGAGGGGTACGGTAATTGGGGCACCGGATAGAGAACAACAACGTGTAAGATGGTCAGACGAGACAACAATAAAATTGCATGCGGAAAAAAAAACAGATGTTTTGGGATATTCGAGTTTTAGAAAATGCCTATTTCGTATCAAAATTTTAAATAGTCAGTTGAAGGTTGAAATTCTCTTAAATACACCTTCAACGAAAATTTATTCGCGCCAAATAAAATTCCGGAATTACTTAGGTTTCAGAATCTTAACTTTAAGCAAGAAATAGAAGTGATTTCGTCGAGATTTTGCCGTTTTTACAAGGCAAAAACTTTTAAACGTATAAATGTCGGTATTTTTAATGTCAGCATTTTAGAATGCAATATATTTGACACATGATTAAAATTCAATTTCGAAAAAGAAAGGGGTAGGACGTACAAAAAATAGAAAAATTAGGCAAAGGAGCACTATTTTTATAGTAGGATATTTTTTGCATGATCAGGATAATTTTGCAGCTTTTAGAATGATGAAACCAGGTTCTAAAGTGTTCCAAAGTGATGTAGTTACCGTAGCCACCTCGAATCCCCCAAATTCCATATTACAACATCAAAAAACATGCTAAAACTCGATCAGAGCGCCATCAGCAAGGAGTCTTCGATGTGCGGCGGCGCTAATCGTGAGGTTCATGTCTTCTTTATGGCCATCATCATCATCCTCATCATCGATTTGAATCAGAATCCCGGAGTCTTCCGTAGCCGTTGTCGACGCCGACTTCCCGCCTCGATTTTGGAGTGCAAGCTGGACAGTGAACACCCGGTGCAGACACCATGCTATCGAAGAGGCCTGGAGAAGGGGATGCTGTTTGGGTTAGTGCGGTTTAGAAAGCGGAAATGCGCTAGGTTCTGGGCATTAATGACTGAATTTAACCTGGTCCTATCTTCCGCGCATTAATAGGGGCTAAGTGCGGTCGTCACAATCATTGGATTTTGCGCTAGACAAAAGCATAGAATTACGAACCTCCAAATAGTTAAGTTAATTAATTACGAACCCAGTTAAGTTGTGGCATTAACGCGAAAATACTGTAGTTTAGGACTTTCTAGAAAACGTAGAAAACGTTGGTTTCTGCGCAGTAATGAAAACGATGAAGTATTTAATCAAAAGTATCGAATTTAGACCGACGTTCGCAATAAGGAGAGTATACTGTGTTATAGCGCTGTATGGAAAACGCTGAAAATCTGGGCTTATAACACGTCATAGAAAAATTTTCGGCTTGGCACCTTGAGGTATTGAATTAAGATAATAAATTTTGAATTCATGGAAGTAAAAGTTAGTACGGATTCGAAAGCAGAGCGTATCAATGCTTCACGCATTAAAGGAAGGTATAGGCAAAATTTTACTGCATTCTGGTGCTAGTATCCGTAGATTAAAGCTAGTCCAACCACCACTACCACCACGCATGCTCGAACCACCACGAAAAATGTGTAGCAATTTAGTGGAAACCTACCATTTGTGAGAAGTATCGCCGCTGCACCATTTCACCCTTTTTCCGGTCTAAAATAACGAAGGGTTTGGTTTTTTTATCATTTTCCTACCGAATTCCTCCAATACAAAACAGTTGCCCCCGTACGTGTTGCACTTTTTTATGTTGGCCAACTCGATGAAAACTTGCGAGTTTTCGAACAGGATGGCGATACCGTCGATTCGGACCTGAAGGAGAAGCGTTTTTGCTCTCTCTCTCTCTCTCTCTCTCTCTCTCTCTCTCTCTCTCTCTCTCTCTTTCTCTCTCTACCGCCATTCTTTTTCTCTCACCTGCATCAATCCGCCCTGGTTGGTCTCAGTGTCGTGTACCGGGAACTCTCCTCCAAGGTCTCGCCCCTCAACCGATACTCTGCCTCTCGCTGCCGCTCTTTCCATTGCTGCTTTCATGCAGAGGTAGAGCTCACGACACTGAAAGATGGGTTTAACTGTGACCGGAAGAACTTAAGTTTAAATTTCAGACTTCAGAAAACGAGCTTCACACCGAAGACAAGTTAACTTTTAACCTTGGATGTTAAAACCGTTGATTTGACACTTCTAGAATTCCTACGTAATTCACGAATTTTGCACCTATCAGTGTGTGCTTAGTGCGCCATTAGTGTGCCTTTGGTGCGCCGCTCTCCCTACTCACCTTCTTCGTGAAGAACTTGTCCATGTGGACCTTATCCTCATGCCGTCGCCACAGGCACAACACTTTCGTCTTTGGGGAATACGTCATGTTCACCAGCCGCTCGTACCACCACCGTTCTGTTACTGCTCCAGTTACCGCCCGTAGTACTACTGCGTCATCGCATACCTGAAGTTGTATAAAAATTGCTTTACTTCAAGTTCAAGAGTTCGCGATAGTGGAGAAGCTTGGCGGTAACCCGATTCAAAAATCACTTGAAATTTGTAGTGTGTGGCCAAAAATGGATAAAAGGCAGGTAAAACCAATGGAATTAACTAACTAAAACTACGAAAATCACCCTAAAAAAATTGCAAAAATCCTTTAAATTACAAATTGCGATAGGGAGAAGTTTGGCGAGTACCCCCATTGAGGTGAATTTTGTAGTTTGTAGCCCAAAAAATCCATTTTAGAGAAAATAACTTGAAATCGAAGACTACAAGGAACAAAATAAACACAGTTTCCATTTTATAAGACTACAAAGGACAAAAAGTGTATATTTGAGGCTACAGACCACTAAATTGACCGAAGAACCTTGATAAATCTTACTATAGATAAAATTTGGTCTATTTTCTATCAGTTTCTATAAAACCGGATATTGATGTATTGTCTTTCTCTCTCTACATGAAGAGGAAGTTTGACTGGCTAAAGAATTGCTGAAAAATATAGATTATTTTCCGTTTTTCTTTGGATGACCCCTACCTCCAAGAACATCATCGTTCCCTGGGCATTCGATCCAGCGTAGACGGTAAATGATTGCTTTTGGACGAGTCGGCTGCCGAGTGGTTTTAGCGGGATGCCGTTGCCTTGCTGAAAAAGGCAAATTTTGGGATTTTTAAGACCCAAAAATCTAATCAAAATCAAAAGTGCAGGAAATATGCTCCTATCAGTGAAGCTCTTAAGAATATGCAAAACTTACCTGTTGCGGCAAATCGTCCAACAAGATGTTGATCGTTTTGGAGCAGACGAGGCCGATGTGTGATTTCCCGAGGAGCCGACGGATTTTCTGCAAAAGAAGAGGTGAAGGAAGAGAGAGAGAGGAGAGAGAGAGAGAGAGAGAGAACAGCAGCAAATCCAATCAACTACCTGTTGAATAGCCTTCTGCCCCGTTCCGCACATGATCATGTAGCCGGTCAGGTTATGGAGAAGTGTGGATAGCAACCGATCTTCTTCCAGCTCTAACCGCTTTCTCTCACTATCGGATAGGGTGGCGTATCTAAAAATAGCAGGTGGGCTTGCGCGAGTTCAAGTCGTTCAGGTGCGTATTGCCCACGGCTTGTCAGATCGTGTTTAGCTGCCCGGGTTCAAGTCATTCAAAACTTTTGGGGGGTTCGAGTTCGGCTCGAGAGATTTCGAGCAATTAATTTCTCTTAAGCTTTTGGACTTGCTTGACTTTCTAAATTGTCAAAGCTGCTCAAGCTATGCAAGTAGCTCGACTGCACGAACAATACGAATTACCAACCTATCAATCATCTCGCTCGGCTCCTGATCCATGCCAATGATATCCCTCTCCTGCCCGACGACATCGTAGAAGGCGTTCTCCCAGAACACCGTGTTTTGCCAAAGAGGATTGGGGCTTGGCACTAAAAAGTTTGATTTTTAGCAAATGCCTCATTGGCATATTTTTCGTACATTAAAGTTATAGCTATGCGACCGCTACGATAGCAAACTAGGCGCATAATAGCTAAAACGTACATATCAAATCCTGGTAGATGTAGTGTCGAGTGGGCTCCATCGGGGTGGCGATAGATCTGGGGGATGTCGAGGCGCTGTTGACGACGGGCAGGGAAAGTGGCATCTGAATTTTTGAGATATACTTGTCTCTCTCTCTATCTCTCTCTCTCTCACTCTCTCACTCTGTCCCTCTCACTTTCTCTCTCTTTCTCTCTATCTCACTCTCTCTCTCTCTCTCTCTCTCTCTCTCGCTCTCGCTTACCCTCAGCTTTTCCAATTGTGTCCGTTGCGACGAGCTGCTGCTACTCTCGATACTCGCTTCCCTCGCCAGCTTGCTGTTTTCTTGTATGCTCTCCTGGCGTGGAGGCGGAGGTCGGGGTGGCATTGGAGGTATCGCTCCGGATGAAGAGGATGCTCAAATAGATTCGTGAGGTGCTGAAGCGCAAATCCGTTTCCACAAGAAACGCTGCTAGCCCATGAGCAGGTGCTCAAAAGATTTTTTTGATAGGTCTTAGCAATTTTAACACGATACTAAATGTTACAAATTTCTTCTAGCTACTTTCTACACCCCAATTCATACCTCGTTTAATCTAACTCTACATACCTTCGCTCCCAGGCCTAGCTGGCAAGGGTGGAGGTCCAGAAGATGTGGAACTCCCAGGCCGCGGAGAAGCTGGTGGTTCTCGTGGTGGTAGTGGAGGAGGAGCAGGCCGGTTTGGCAGCGGAGGAGGAGCTGTATTTCCCGGGATTCCGAATGGGACTACGGTAGGTTGCTTCTGGGGTGGTCCTGGGGGTTCTGTTGGTTTTTCTGACGTGCTGGGTCCTTGGGCTGGTTCTCCGTTTGGCACTTTTCCAATGGGTTTTGGGCTGGCGCGCATGTCGAACGAGGTGGCGGGTAGTTTTTGGCGGGGCTGGAAAAAGGAGATGATCAAGACGGCCCGTAAGACAGAGAGCGAGAGAGAGAGAGCGAAATAGAGAGTGAAATTTCAAATCTTACCTGCATCTGCTGGAAATCGTGCGACGAAGCGGAAGGAGTATTTAACTAAATAAATTTTTTAGAATTCAATTATTTTAATTTACCACCGAATTCGGCTGACTAGCCGGCGTCATCGAGCCGTCATCCCTACTCCAGAAGTGGGTGTGAGCAATTTCCAGAACGTGGAAGACGCTGGCCAACCCGTTGGATCCGGGGGTGTTGAATGAGAGCTGAAGAAAAGTATGTAAGCGAGAGAGAGAGAGAGACCGAGAGAGAGAGAGAGAGAGAGCGAGAAAGAGAGAGCGAGAGAGATCTGTGGAGCTGGAGCCAGCTAAACTAAAAAGGTCACTTACCTCGATACCAGCCAAACAGGCCTGCAGCACCTTGACGTAACCTTTGTATTGCGCTCGGGTCAGGGGCTAAAAATTTGTTGTCTAACAATTTGATAGATCCTAAGGGGACTACATGAATTTACTGATTACAAACAGGGACAAACTTACGAATTCCTTCACGTATTCCTCCTCGGTAAGCTTGTTCTCCAGACCGAGGTTCAGCTTGGAGCACACCAATTCCCGGAGGCTCTCATCTTCCATTAGTCGCTGGAATATTCCCAAATTTTGCAGATTATTAATGTGATTTATACCTTAAATTTTGGGTACGCAAACATGCCAATTCCTTGACCAGCAAGGATGGCGTCGCAGACTTCTCGGACAGCTTGTTGGTTTTTGCTGAAAGTATGGCGTTGGAAGTGAGAGAGATATAGAGAAAGGGATGGAGGCAGAGATAGAGCCAGAGGGTGAGAGAGAACCTAAGCTTAATCTGAAGCCGAATCCTATGCCTAAGCCTAAACCTAGACCTAAGCCTAACCTACGCTTAAACCTAAGCCTAAGCCTAGCCTAAGCGAAGCCTCAACATCGTTTCCTCGCCTCGCCATATACCTTTGTTGATTGGCCGTCTGTGCCGATGTCTGGACACCCTGCGTCTTTGACTTGACAGCATGTTGACTTTGCTCTATCCTGCTTGCCGTCGCATTTGCCAGCGGCTTCAAAGCCTTATCCCTGATCGCCTGCGCCTGCTTCAGCCCGCCAGTCTTGTTCAGCACCTAAAAATTCGATTTTTTTTTGCATTTTAACCGTCTTTGACAATTCACAAGCACGCGCCACAATGAGTACACGACACTCCACCTAATATTCGCGCGAACCTGGCTGAAAATGCCCGAGCTTTTCTCGGCCAGCCCGTTAAAGCCGCTCATGAAATTGCCGCTGGTGTCGGTGAGGGAGGAGAGCTGAATATTTTAGGGGTATACAGGCTGCATACCATTTGCTTTTTTGATCTTGAACAACTTTTAATAACACCAGAATTCAGAGTTATAGTTCCAGAGATTACTACACAGTTTTCGAGGGTTTTAACCATATTTTGGCTATCTGGAGACTATTTTTTTGCTATTAAAGCCAATTAAAATGCATTCATGGAAAATGCAATTTTATTGGAATCGTTTGTACCTACCTTTAATTTTCCTCTCATTGGTAGCGGAATTTTCGGGGTTGTCGAGTGGTTGTCGGCATCGGATTGCAGCGTTTTTCTTCGATTCTGCACTGGGGTATGCTCTTCCTCATCGTCTTCATGATCGAAGGAGAAGGCTCCCTCAAATGTTCATATTCTCTCTCTCTCTCTCTCTCCCTCTCTCTGACTCTGTCTTTCTCTCTCTCTGAGTCTCTCTTTCTCTCTGCTCCGTTCCCACTTACCTTAGCATCCGACTTCAACGCCAGGTTCTCGGCCAGCCGCGCAAAGTCAGCCTCACTGTCCTGAGCCGAGGCGGAGCGCGAGGAGGAAGGGGAGGAGCTGGAACGATAGAATTTTCAGGAGCACAAGCTTCTTGGGTCGACATCCACCATAAACTTCCCAAAAACTCACTGCCCACTGCTTATCGAGCTTCCCAAGCTGACCGCACTCTCACTGGCTGGGATCTCGAGATTCAGGGGCTCCTTGTAGACGTCGTTGACCTCACCGAGGGGCTTGGAAGCGATGTGACGGTCTGAAAATAGAGTTGCTAAGTTTCGCGCTAGAGCTTTGATCGTCGCTCTCTCTCTCTCGCCCTCGCTCCCATTCTTTCTAACTCATTCTCTCTCACTCTATCGCTCTCTCTCCCTCGCACTCTCCCGACTTACCTGGTGCCTCATCTGGGCTATCGAAAACCAAATCATCAATGCTCGAGGTGCTTCCAGGTCGATGATCAGCTTCATCGTCGCTCTCCTCTTCTGAATCGTCATGTGGAGCCTCACGTTTCCAAACGTCCAAAGCCGAAGCGAGCGTCGAATTGTCGGGATACACCTAGAAACTGGAGGCTTCAAGGTGTTCTAAAGCAATAATACAGGAAAAACTGGAATATTTAGCAAAATTGAGACTGCTTACGAAATCTTGGAACCTGAAACGTGCTCCACTCACCGTAAAATGCACTGGCATCAACCCATCGGCAAACCACTTGGCCTTGTCTCCGACTTGTTGCGCCTTCTCGATTCCGTTTTGCACCCTCACGAACGTCTCGTTCTTCGGGCACAAACACTCCTCGGCGAAGTACTCGACGGCTTGTGTCCTGGAATCGATTTTATTGGCCTGATCTCATTCTCGTTCTTTTTCTCTCTTCCTCTCTCTCTCTCTCTCTCTCTCTCTCTCAGAAATACCTGCACAAATCCATGGTAAACTGCGTGCAATTCGGGCGGGAGCGGAGGAAGGATTCAGATTGTAGGGCCACCACAGGCCTTGGGTACAATCGTAAGGTTCGGGTATGTTCGGAAAAGTTGGCGAACACATTCGTCGAGTTGTAGAATTTTACCTGGAAGCGGATTTATGAATTAGCATAATAGCATGTCCTATGGTCCAGAAAAAAGTAAAAATATCCTAAACGTAATTAAAATCACTGAATTGCTACCAGAATTCTATTTAAAGAATTTACAGAAAAAGGAGTGCTTGGTAAGCTGACTTCCAAGCATTAATAGACAAGACTTGGCTTCAATGGCCCTTTATAAGTTGGGGATTTGTACTTACCATCGACACCCTACAAGCCACATCAACCTCATCGGCATCGTTGGTATAATTCGCCTCAATGGATCCCCTGCGCTCCTCCACCAAGTTGGTGCTCATCTTGTTCAACGCGTTCCGGATGTTCATCTGAATTTTTCGGTTCGTTTTTCTAGAGCAAGGGTTTTACCTTCAATTGACTGGCATCCGGCTCCGGAAGTTCCGGCAAGGAGAGCTCTTCCGGGATATGGACTTGGCAAGAGTCCAAATCCACGACGATGATGTCGGATGGGATTTCTTGGAGTTTCTTGTGGGCCCAGAAGGAGGATGGGACTCCGATCACGAACGGGGTGGGGGCGAGCAGGAGCTGAAATCGGATTATTTTTATAGCTCATGCCCGTTAGATCTCTCTCTCTCACTATCTCTCTCGTTATTCATAATTTTCGCTACCTCTCGCACAATCTCAATCCCCACAATTACTCCGAAAAATGGAGCAAAGCTTTGGCCATTTTTTGAAAGACTGACTCTGGTCTTGGCCCCTAGCCATGCCCCGGCCTCTGCTTCCAGAAAGCAATTAGTCGGGGAGCGAGCGCTCGCGCTGGATGTGGACCCGGAAGATCCGGCAGCGCTGGCCGCTCACCCCAGGCGGGGCGAAAAATGGCTATTGGATAGCTACGGAGCGGTGGGAGGTATTGAATACCCCTGCGAATGGCAGGGTATCAGATGGTTAATGGGTTTAGGTATTAAAAACTGGAGATGAGTCATTTGAAAGGTATGGATTTGCCTTGTCGGTACCTTGAAAAGGTATAATTTTGAAAAAATGAATTGAGGTGTGAGATAGGGGACAAAGGAGAGAGTGATAGAGAGCGAGACAGAGAGTGACAGAGGGACATAAAGAGAAAAAAGACAGATAGAGAGAGACAGTGCGAGAGAGAGAGAGAGAGAGAAAACATAAATTTTGCCTTCCAGATACCTTTAAAAACCAGAGAAATCAAAAACCCACATGCTCTGCCGACTGCATGTACGCGGGTAGTAGTGGAATAACCGGAAACATGTACTCCAGCGGGTAGAGTAATGCGACAAAAGACAGTACACACATCGAGACGGCATTGTAGTTTCGAGATTGGAGCACTACCTGAAATACCGTCATCCATACGTTACGCTACGTTCGTCTTTAGTATCCCCTCGTACTCTCTGAGAATCATAAGCTAGTCAAGTCTCAAATACCTTATACTCCAACATCACCGCCGAGAGCACCTTGACCGCCGCCTCGATTCCGAGCAGTTCAAAGGGCAGGTGAAGTGGGAAGTCGACGAGTGAAAATCGTGTATGATCGGGTAGGGCGAAGGAGAACATGGGGATGATCTCGGGCGGGAGAATCTGAATTCGTTGGTTAGAAAGCCAGAGAGAGAGAGAGAGAGAGAGAGAGAGAGAGAGAGAGAGTGAATGAGTAAGTGAGAAAGAAAGTGAGTGAGAGAGAGAATGAGAGAGAGAGTGAGCGAGAGCAACTCCCTCACCTCGAGTTGAACCTTCGTTTTCCCAGGCACCGGCACCGGCGAGGACAACATCATCAGAATCCAAGTCTCAATCTGCTTGATCTCTTTCATCACCTCGGTCGGAATCGTGTCTTGCCAACTTCCGGTCAGCACAGACCATACTATTTCCCTAAAAATATGAAAATTGATGCATTGGTTACGTTTTTTGAGTGGTCGTAGTAGAACCTTCAATTTCTTCGGGGTTTTGCTTACGGGCTCGCTTCCTGGTGGACTGCTGGTATTTAAGATTTTAAAAAGATTTTAATTTCTGGATTGCAAAAATTCTCAAAAGATCACTACTAGCTTGCCGGGCCTCAGAAAATCCCAAAGAATCTCTGTTAGCTTGCTTTGCTCTTGCAAGTAGTAAAGTCGCTCTGCTAGATCCGCGATACTTAAAAATAGCAAAAGATCTCTGCTAGCTGCCGCGATTCTTAAAAATAGCAAAAGATCTCTGCTAGTTCGCTGGCCCTAGAAATCTCAAATGTTCTTCCGAACTCAAAGCTTGCTTTCTTCCGAAGACGCAAAAAAGCCCTGCTAGCTTGCCCTCAATTCCCATTCTAAACTTTCCAAAAAATTACGCTTCGCTGCCCTTTTAAACTATACAATAAAGTATTAAACTTACTTCAAACTATTCGAAAGTGAAGCCCGATAATTCGCCGCGTCGATCAGCTTCTTCAGGATGATCATCAACTCGTGAAAAATCGAGATGAACGGGTGGTGGGAGATTAGGCACATGGACGTGAGGGAGACCTGCTGGTCGCGTCTAAAGGAGTGTTGCGTACACTACAGTAATTACAGTACTTTTTGGTTTTGTTCGCCGGTCCATCAGCCGTCCTCCTCTCGCAGGATTGGAAAAAATTGAGGCAGACTCCGTAGCGAATTTTGGAGGTGTCCTTTTCGGTCAGCATAAAAACGAAGAATTGGGTGTCCTTCGCGCGACGCTCTCGGTTGGAGTAGCCTAAAGGAATAATTTAGTTTTGATCTCGAAAACTTGATTTTTTTGGCCTATTTCAGTTGAAAAATACGTAATATAGATCTGGAATCCATAAAATACTGGAATTCTTTAAAATCGCTTCGTTTTGCCCGGCATTTAAGAAAATTCTTCTACTGAAATAAACTAAGAAACTATAAAAATTTCGATCTTGCGTTTTTCGAATTTTTTTGAATAGTATTTTCCTGTAGGTAACTCACTGATAGTCGGACATCCCTCGGGTTGGCAAAATACGGTAACTTCGTTCGGTAAAGGGAAGTCCTTGTGGTCGTCGGTTGGATACCTCAAAAAAATCAGTTTTTCTTGGTCCTATCCTATAAGCGAGAAAAGTATGTTTGTTTTCTGTAATGAAGATTTCTCGGCCGTCTGGTATTTAAATAATCAAAAAATCCATTCTCGCATGAATAAAGTCGATCAAAATATCAATAATCTTCAAAAGTCACCCTAACCCCTCTCGAAAAAGCTTAAAAATCTGGTTTTTTGATAAAATTGTTTTTAGTTCTTTTGCTTACCGTTACCACTTGATTTACTGAACGCCTTTTTAATCTTAAAACCCATAGTAACCCTAAAAAAATAGAATATCAGTCACGAGGGTTTTTTTCCTTGATTTTTGCATCGTGTTTTCGAAAGAAAACAGCTTTTTCGCTTCTTGTTCTTCTGCTTGGCTTAAATTAAATACTTCGTTTTCGAAAATACCGTTCTTTTAAGTAATCTCAACGATCCCTCACCTCCTCAACAACTCCGGATGGGATACAGTATGCGAATTCGGGCTCAGCGGAAGCCCATCGTGCGTGGAGACCGAGGTCGAGCGCTAAAAAGAGATTATAATTGGGTTTTTTTGGGGAAATCGGGAAAATTATTAGGACGCTTAGAACCCCCCACCTGTTTCGGCCGTTTCCCCACCACGACCAGATAGTCGATTAGCCGGGGGCAAAGTTCTTTCCCCTTGTCATCCATGTTTGGGCATAGTTCTGCAACGAAATTGGGGTTTTCAGGTTTTTGAAATCAACAAAACACAAAAATGAAAAGGATAAAAAATCAATCAATTTAAAAAATTTTTAGACGAAAACCTCCTCCTCCTGAAATTTCTAAAAATTGCTAGGAATTTGTAAGCGTTTCATTAATGCGTCGAGGTAAGCTAGCAGAGATTTCCCGAGACACAGGGCAGGCTAGCAGAGAACCTTTGAGAAACGAAGCAAGCTAGCAGAAATTCCGTTGCGACTTTTTTAAACGAATTCCTGAGCAAAACCACTATTAGAGCTAATAAAATCAGCATCAAAAAGTTGCCAAAGATTCACACAAAACCTCGAAAATTCCCGTACCTGCGAATGGGACCCAGACAGCTCAACGTTAATCCAATTTATACCCACCCAAAACTCACCTGCCAGCCCACCCCCTCGACCCATTTTGAGCTAATTAAAAACATCATTTTTGGGGTGTAAATATGGAATTCAGGGGCTCAAAATATCCCGGCCACCCACCCGGGGCGGGACTTAATTTTCCAGAGCCAAACGAGGGAGATAAGGGGGCGTCAAAACCCGATGCGTCATCTGGAACAAAACGGCGAAAACGGAAAATATGGCGCTCGCCTCGGCTCTAGCAGAATAGGGCTAAAAGAACTGGAGAATTTAGAATTAGCTTTTTGGTTGGTGGCTGGCTGGGGCTGTCTGCAGCTCGTGGTGTTCGTTGGATGAAATTGGATTTTGGGAAATATATGTTGTTTTTCGGTGAAAAAGTCACAAGTTGGATGGTCGAGATTTTGCAACCCTTAATACAGTCCGAAAGTTCCTTAAAAATAGTTCCCCAAATTCTAGTATCCAATTTAAGGCTCTACTTGACATTTTGAAAACTCTTAAAAATATTTAAAACACTTAGAAAATTTGCTAGTGTTAGAATATACTTCATTAAACGTCCTTTTCCAGCTTCAAAACTTGAAACGCAATTTTTTGATAATATCTAGAGAAATTTATGCCATTCCAAGGTCTTCAAAACCCCGATAAGCTCAAAATTCTGACCTCAAAAGCCCTCAAAAATAGCCCTAAAATGGCAACACGGCCCACTGCAGAGTAGCCAAATAATTGCCGCCCCTAGAACCCTGAATTCTCTCACAGGAAAAAAATGTGAAAATTGAGGGTCTGGGATTCTTGAGAAATTTGTTGCGACGGGACTCCAGCAAGTTCGGATTTTCGTAATCTTGGAGGACAAGAAAACATTTTTCTAGACGCTAATGGCCCTTACCATGAAAACGTAAGGCACGCAAGGGTGAGCGAGAGAGCCACGTAGAGAGCGAGCGAGAGAGAGCTAGCCTAGTTTGCAAAATCCAGAAAAAGTTCGGGTTTCCAGACAAAATTTACTGAAAAAAATAACGGATGTAGTCCAAGTGCTTCCAAATTTGATGGCCTACGAAATTACGAAAACCGGAATTTTTCAGAATTGGCATGGTTCCAGCACCTGAAATCCTAGCATTTCCGGTTTCAAAGCTTCAAAAATTTGTCTTGAAGCCGCAAGCGCATCCTGCTTCCTACATCGATTCCGCAAATAAAACGGCATCCAGGAAGAAAAAAAACACAGAAAAACGTCCGCCCGTTTCGTCAGCGCCCCAATTCAGGGCTTTTGGCCAACCAGGCACAAAACCATGTGTGTGTGCATTTGGGGGCATATAGAGGATGCCGAAAAAGGAGGGGCAGAAAATGGGGGGAAGGCCACGGACGAGGCGCTCCAGATGAGGGGTGGTCGGGAGAGAGAGAGAGAGAGAGAGAGAGAGAGAGACGGAAGGTGGAAGCAGAAGCACACGGCAGACAACGCATCGATCTGTCTCTTCTCCCCCCTTCCCTCTCCAGCTCCATCCCTTCACACTGGCCTTCCAATAGCATGCTGCTGCCAGGCCGGGAATGGGGGGCTTAGCCTGGACTAGAGACCCCGAGATGAACGTTGCGCGGAATGTAGCGGAACGGAGACAATGGTTCAAGTTCCCAAATGGTCTCGGCTAGCTTGCCTTTTGATCTTTATTCGGGATTTCCCAAAGAACCTCTGCTAGTTAGCCAGGCCTGGTGGCCATAGTTGAACGTTGGAAGGAATGTAGCGGAACGTAGGACAACGGGTTCGATTCCTAAATGGTCTCGGCTAGTTTTCCATTCAACATCTTGGACGCGCTGTCAACAAAATGCGAATTCCAAAAGAATTACTGCTAGCATGCCGTGACCAAACAAAGCCAGAAAAAGAAGAAATTTTCTAAAGAAACATTGCTAGCTTGCCTCTGCTAATTTTGCCGGCTTCTCCTACGGAAAGGAGCAGTTCTCCCAAAAAATCTCTGCTAGCTGGTCCCGCTAGAAACCAACAAAAGGTTTTTCGGAATGTCGCGGGACCAACAGGGGAGAAGGGGAGAATTCCAGCAGAATCTCGGCTAGCCTGCTCTCATTTAGAACTTCAGCCCAAGGTTAGCGTCTTTCTTCCCATGCTCTCTCTCTCTCATCTCTCTCTCTCCCTCTCTCTCTCCATCTATTTCACTCTAGAGCGTAGGAGGATGAACGCATGAACGCGGATGATGGAGAGCGAAGAGCCGGGGGAACGGGGGATGCAAACGAGGCCTACACGCTCCCTTGGGCTTATTCTGGGACTGGGGGTTCCGGAGTCCAGAAAGGAGCACGAATCCCGAAGGAGAGAGAGAGAGAGGGAGAGAGAGAGAGAAAGAGAGAGAGAGAAAATACGCTTCCATTACCAGATTGCCGTAAATTTGGGGGAAGCTTGGATGAGTTGTGGCCTAACGACCAGCTTGGTGAATGGAATCCCAGAATCGAACGTGCTTTTTAGCGAAAAACGCCAAATCTGTAGTCTGAAGATTCTAGAAAAACGTTATAAAATTAGCCGTGAACGCAAAAAATTGCTTGGTATTTGAGTTTCCAGAAACGAATTGATATAAGACACAAAATTAGCATCCAAAATTTGCATAAATTTTATGAATTTCCCGGTTCCGAATAGGCGATACAGGTAATTCAGACATGTCCAAATCTCTCGCCCACCCATTCGGTCGTCTACTCGAAGATTCTTCATCTCATCCTCCTCATCTTCTACCAACCCCCTCGCGAAAAGATGCCCCTACTGACCCTGCTACCGTATCTACTGACCACGCTGCTGCTCCCCGTCTACGCGCAGTTCAACTGCGGCGCCTCCGGCAAGAAGGCCAATACTAAGGTAAGAAAACTGAAGCTTTTCTGATGTGCAAATTAGGGATTTAATTTTTTTGGCTTTACAGGGAGAGTGACAGCTAAATAAAACCATTGGCTAAACTCCAGATAACCCCCCCCAGCCGACCCCCACCTACCGTATCTCGGCTCCCTGTTCATCTACAGGTGTGTAAAGTATACCAAAATACTCGCCACAGCAAGACGAACATTTTGGTATACTTTACCCTGTAGATGAACAGGGAGCCGAGATACAAAAGTTGGGTGCCGGCTGGGGGGGGTTATCTGGAGTCTTACCAAACCATTTTTTAGACCTCAAAGCGCGACTCGAAGCGCTCGCAAAAGTCTGAGGGTCTGGCGACCACGCAGTCGGAGCAAGAGCACGAGAGCATGGACGACACACAGTTCGAATCAGTGGTATGTCAGTAAAACGCTCGCCCTTTTACTCTCTCACACTCTCTTCTCTCTCTCTCTCTCTCTCTCTCTCTCTCTCTCTCTTTGTCTCTTTCTCACTCTCTCTCTCGCGCGCTCTCAATCGCTCTCTCTTTTTCTCTCTCTCTCACTCTCTGAAGCTCCATGACACTTTAGATCTCTCTTTCTCTCTCCCTCCCTCTCTCTCTCTCTCTCTCTCTCTCTCTCTATCTCTCTCGCCCTTTCTCTCTCGATTCTAATGCAAATTCAAAAATCTTTTTTTAGAAAGTCGTGCCCACCCACTGGCCCCACAAGTCGGCCGTCCGGCTTTTGTCAAAGAAGGTGACGCTCAATCGAGAATTTCTATGAGCCTGAACTTGCAGAAAGCGGTGGTGAAGGCGAAGCACAGCGAGGAGCCGGTGGACAGCAAGCCGATGGAGGAGGTGGTGATGCCGACCGCGTGAAGAGCTTCAACTTTAATACGACGCCCCCGACACTATTCCACGCGATTCGTCTTTACGTTTGACCCGATCCCCCTCCCCTCTCATGCTCTTCTCGCCATTCTTTTCGATCGAATCACCAACAGATATTCCTACTCGAATTTTCATCCCCCGGCCGACCCCTAGCCGTTGCTTTGCCTGTGTGATTTTTGGATGTGTTTTTGTGTGTATAAAGTGTCATTGGCTTGAAAGCTAGTACGGAAAACAACAAATTACGTAGAAAAACGACGATGAAACCTCCAGAAATGTTACGTTTTAAAGGGATTGTGTATGCGAGACTCGGATTCCGCGTCTTCTGAGTTTGGGTTTTGAACATTAGAGCCTTTCTGGTGGTTGAAGATTAGTACGATGGACTACAAAAAAAAACAGGAAAAACGCAACGCCTACGAAAACGGCTGAAAAAGCCATTTTAAAGGGACTGTGAAGGCAATTATTGATGTAGATCTGTGTACAGACTATAAAGTGCTTTTAATTTTCCAATTTTTCAAGCTTTGGGATCGACTAGAAAGTACAGCAGACCCCAAGTACGCTAAAACTCTGCTATCCGTTGGCCGTAGTATTCTGAGTGATTAGATGCCGGAAAACTTGCTTTTTAGAGGTGAAACTCCTAATAAAAAGTACAGTGGCTTGCACATAATTTCTGTCGCATTAAAAACCTCGAAAATCTGGTTTATGGTTTCGAGAGTGCATAAATTACTTTTTAAGGGGCTTTCAACTTCGAAAGCTGAATTTTTAAAGCCTAGCTTCAAAAACAATTGGATTTCGCGAAAAATAGAACGACAATCGATTTACGACAATCTGGCTTTAAAGTTACGCTGGAAGGGCCAAAATCTCGTTGCCAATTGTCTAATCAGCAAGGAAAAAAATATTTTGGAGTTTTTTTCAGGCGGTAAGAAGCAAGGAAAATATTTGCTCACAATCACTTCACGGTCGATCTTATAAATTTACCTCATTCGGAGTTTTCAATAAATTGTGCTTAGATGTTTTGCGGAAAACAAATTTTTCATCCCTGACCACGAGCGATACCCGGTGACACAATTTGCATATCCAATTACACCCACTCTCTGACGTGGCTAGTTAACCGAGTCCCCTCTAATCGACCCACTCCTCCGGACACGCATCTAACAGACCCAGATCTAAAGTCAAACGAGTTGACCAGACGGCACCGTTGCGTAATTTGTACTTGTCACCACGCTTCAGCGGCAGGTGGCGATTTTCGGGGAAAGATACAGTACTCCACGATGATCCTGTGGCCGATCCTCCCCCAAGGCTTGGGCGCAGCTGGCGCCCTAGCCTTGATCCGTGCCCCAAAATGACCGTCTGCCTGTCTCGTAAAAGGAGCGAGAGAGAGAGAGAGAGAGGGGGAGAGAGAGGGAGAGAGAGCGAGAGAGAGAGAGAGAGAGAGAGAGAGAGAGAGAGGCTGGCATGCAAATACCGAGCACATCTATCGTTCAAAACCTGTTGAACGATTAGGGCAAACAGACGCAAGGGTTTTCGCCTCCTTACTCAAAATTTTGAATTTTTGGACGATTTTCATAGCGCTTCTTACGGTATTTGAACATTTTTTCAATAACATACTTGCGCAGAATCTGTTAGCGTATCGACCAAGAAATTTTTGCTTTTTTAAAAATCGTTTATTAGTCACAAAATCCTGGGTTTTCTTAGATTTTTGGTCTTCTTGGGTGACATTTTTCAGTTTTTAGGTCAATCTTTGTCCTTTTATTTATTTCTTGTTTTTATTTTGTCTCCTCGCGCCTTTCTCACACTTCGGCAGCATCGAGTCTTCATTTTTGCTCTCCTATGTGGCTCTATTTTCTTATTTTAATGTCATTGAAAAAAAATGGTAAATTTTTAGCATAATTTTCTGATTCCCCAACTGGATTTGAACGTAAACAGCCTTGATTTAGGCTCTTAGAAAGCTTTGAAATTCGTAATTATGTTTTTATCTTCCATTTTGCGCATTTACAACGATTTCTAGCAGTTCAAACTGCTCCAACCACTCATGAACACAGTACAAAGCTCTATTAGAAGGATTATGGTAGATTTCAAGTGGAACAAAACTTTTTAGGTGAAATTTTTGTCGAAAACCTATATTTATGGTCTTTTTTACATATAAATTTGTATTTACAAAAGTTAACTTCGGTCAAAATGATTTTTTTAAGGTGATTTTGGTCCCCTTAATCACCTGACCCACCCCGATGCAGTACCAGGAACGCGTAAAACGCCTTCTCAAAAACAATTTCCCGTACTCCTGCCTTCCACCCTCCACGGCGCTTCCCTCCATCCTGAACCCCGATAACGCGCCCGGTGTCAATGTGCGTTTTTTCGCGGATTGTTTTGGCTGCTGTGGCCGGTGGTCCCCGTTATCTCCACCCCGCATCGCGCCCCTTCAATCCAATCGCGGCGCAGAAAATTTCGCAGAAATTCGAACAGGCATCACTCTGAGGGTTGAGTCATCAATATGACAACCAACTGACCTCCAGACAGACCGCCCGTTGAGCGAACGGCATAATTAGAGCGGCGACAAGGCGAAAATTTGCATCGACCTCAGGTTTGGGTGATAAGAGCACTCTTTGCGGGGTTGAGAGGTACTTCCTTGGTCCTCTTGCCTGACTGACATCTCCATAACGTTAATTAAGCCTGCTAGAAGCTGGATCCAGAGTCCCAAGCTAAACCCGCAGTTTTCGCTTCCGTTTTCACGTAGTTTCTGACTAAAAAGTATCTTTTGAGTACAGCTAATTATTTTTTCCATAAATCATTATTAACCTTTTGACCGTTTCAGTGCCAGAAATTCCTAAAAGTATTATCTTGCTAGTCATTCATGTTTATTGACAGCCAATATACGCAAAATATTCCCTTTTCATTTTTAAACATTTTTCACGTTTGAAAGCTAGTTTCTAAGTTCCAGGCCATCAGAGAATTTATTGCCGGGTTGGAAGCTAACTGTTGATCATGCGTCAAGTTCTTTGATTTTCAGCTAGCTTCGCAGTTCAAAGCCAACCGACAACTTTCTAGTCCGATTTTCCAGCTCCTAATAATCCGAAAACCTCGTCGAACCGGGATAAAATGCTGCTAAAACAAGCAGCTCGCTTGAGCAAAATTCCTGATTTTTTGATCGATCGAGGCTATGAATCGATTTTATCTGGATGAAACAACCGCTGTTTAGCGTTCCCTTGTTTTTCGCGATTTTCAGCGATGGTAGAAAAATTGTGACATTTCTCTCGTTTTTCTAGCCAAAATCCGGTTCATTTTTGGGATACAAACCAACAAAAAAGATTGGAACCCCCGCCAAAACTGGCTTGTCTTCACGCTCCCTTGAAGCCCCCGGCCGGCCTGGGGTGGGGTCCCGCGACGAACACCCCCATACGACACCAGCCTGGCCGGCTTTTGTTGCCCTTCGACACGCTTTTTCGACGTAATTTTTCGTTGAAACTGCCGTTTCGCGTAGTTGTCGAAAGATTCGAAGCCTGACGTCGATGGCATCATATTCAGAATGGCCGGTTTAGTCGGAAACTTTGGAAGTTTTATCCAAAACTAGTCTTCTTGGCCATTTCTGACGCCAAACAATTTTCGTTTGCATCATGATTTTTCTTTTAGCTTTTCTTGCTCCGAATATCGTCTGATTGTTAGTTTGTCAGCTTGATATCAATGGCATCAGATTGAGAATAGCCTCTTTAGTAGTAAACCTTGGAAATTTTATCAAAATCCGGAGCTATTGATGTTTGGGGGGGCATCTTTTTTTGGGGGCTTTTTCTGGCCTAAGCTTGTCTCAAAGCCTAAGCTAACCAAGCCAAGCCCAGCCTAAGCCAAACCTAAGCCGAGCCTAGGCTTAAGCCCAAGTCTAAGCTAATCCTAAGCTAGCTCTAGGCTAAGTCTAAGCTAAGGCTAGGCGAAGCCTAATGTAAGCCTACACTAAGCCTAAGCTAAGCCAAAACCAAGCCTAGGCCTAAGCTAAGCTTAAGCCTAAGCCAAGCCTAGGCATAAGCTAAGTCTAAGCCAAGCGTACGCAAAGTTAAAGCTAAGCCTAAGCTTAGACCCAGGCCACCAAAAAAAAATGCCCCCCCAAACATCAATAGCTCCCAAAATCCTTTCTTTTTGGCCGCTTCCGGCGCAAATCATCTTACTTTGCTTTATCTTCGGGTTCTTGCTCAAAACATGTGATCGTCGAAATTTTCGAAGCCTGATGGCAATATTATTAGCTGCAAAGGGCGTTTTACGTAGAAAGCTTTGGAAATTTGATTGAGAAGCTATCTTTTTGGAAGTTTCTGGCCGCTCTTTCCTTGTCCTTGGCGTGACGATTTCGTTTTTCCTTCATTTCTTGTTTTTTTTGTGCTTTCTAACTATTTCATCTTTTCCAGGTTCAACTGTTGTATGGAAATAACATGCGACAACTATAAGTCCGTCTACAGAAACCTCGAAAATGTGGTGAAAAACGCCAGCTTCGCGGGTATGTTTTGTCTTTTTAGCGTTCTACCAGCCTTTTTTATGTGTTTGATCTTCAAATTAATCTTCGTGCTTTTAGCGCTCGACTTCGAGTTTGCCGGCCTCGTCCCAGAAGATCAGAATCAGAAATGCTCACTCTTCGATACCCCGGAAGAAAGGTATTGTATTTTTTTTTGCTTGAAAATTCTTTTCTTTAGGTACCGGAAGCACCGGCAAACCGTGCAGAACTTCCCGCCTCTCCAGATGGGAATAGCCTTTTTCACGCCACTGGAGAATGATACAAAGTGAGGGTTTTAGCCCCTGTTTTTATATCATTTTTTTAGATACCAAGTGGAGGTCTACAACATCTACCTCTTCAAGAGCCCCATCTTCCGTCAAGAATACCGATTCTCCGCCGGCTCCTTCACGTTCCTGGATTCGCATGGAATGGATTTCAACAAGGTATAGGTTTTAATATTTTTTTTGTAGTGTTGGGTGATATCTTTTGAGTTTATCTTGTTTCTATTGCCTTTTTGCGTCCCTAACACGTCTTTTCAGCTGATCTACGAGGGCCTCTCATTCATGAACCTCGAGGAACAGGAGAAAGCCATTCAGGCGCTGATCTCGAAGGAGCCGGTGGTCGATTCTGAGTACGTTTTTGGCAAGATTTCGATTTTGTAAGGTTTTGCAAAACGTTGTTTTCTTTGCGCGGTACTTTCATCTGACCGTTTTTTTGCCGCCGGGCTATGCCGGAGCCGGAAAATCGAAAATCGCCCGCGTTTTCGTGGAGTCGCGTGCGGGCAATGTGTCTGGAAATCAGGGAGCTCCTTGGCTCGGCAGGGGTTAAGAAAAAGGGCAAGGGATAAGGGATCGAGAATGCTTTGGTCTCTAGTGAAGTTACTTTTCGGTAAAATTCTACTTAGTATAAAGTTCGAAAAAAATGATTTTTTTTACTTTTGTGCTTGGCTTTTTATCTACTTAGTTTCAGCTTTAATAATACACGATAATCCTTGAAATACTGTATCCCAAAACGCTGAAAATCCTCGGAAAAGTAGGGGTAGCGATTCCCAGGCACACTGCCAGAATTTGGAGCACAACAAAAAGTTTTCGAAAGCCGACGAATCGGGCCTGGGCGGCGTCGCCCCGGCTACAAAATACGGCGCTCCGGGGGTTATTTGTTTGCTAAAACATCGCTAATTTCCAATTTGGGTTTTTAGACCTTTGAAAATACGATCCTTTTTCAGAATCTTCTCTGATGACTTCAAATCACTGTATATGCGCGTTGAATACGAGATCCAGAAAGAGCTGGCCCGACGGCGGCGGAAGAAGGCGGGGAGCGAAGGCGCGAAACAAAGGTATGATCTAAATTTGAGAACTCTTAAACCGTTTTTTTAGCATCTTTGACGCGATCATCGTGCTGCTTGGCGGGCAGATCAGCAGTCTGCAAGAGATTTTCTTCCTCTACAAGCTCTACTCCACGATCCACGGCGTTCACCTGGAGATCACTAGTGGAATGGTATAACAATTTTTTAGAGCTTTTAACCCTGACTTTTCTAGCTGATCTGCACGCCTTCAAACCAGAAAAAGTCTGAGCTGCAGAACATCAAGGCGAATTTGCTACAACGGGCTCGACGAGAGCTGGCCGGCGCCTCGGACATTGTGATGTCGCTGATTGAGAAGAAGATGGTAAACTTGCTCTCGAACTGCTTTAGATGTTCTATTTTTAGCCCATCGTCACGCACAATGGCTTCTTCGACCTGCTCCACCTCTACCACTACTTTGTCTCTGACTTGCCAGGTATTTGAAGCTCTTTTTGCTAATTTCTTCTTTTTAGAAGACTACGACGAGTTCAAGAAGCGCATCACCACCGTTTTTCCGCACTTGATCGACACGAAGCATGTGGCTGATGAGAATGCGGCGGTTGGTAGTTTCAAATCGTTTTTCTGGTTTCGGAGCCTTGCTTTTGGATTTGAATTTGCCTTTTCTGTCGAAACTACAAAACACCACTATTTTCAGGTTTTATATCAATTTTTTTTCAGCTGCTTTCTATGCACGGCATCCAGAGCTTCCGCATCGAGCCGTTGAGCCAGCTGTTTGAGGGGTAATTTCCAGCCTTTTTCTGAAGATTCTTTTTTTTAGTGAACACCCTGGACGCTCTGGCCTCCCGCTCTACGAGTTCCCGATCGGCTTCAACGTGTCTGGGCGAGAATCGGCAAAAAATCGAAGCAGGCAGAGTGCGTTTCTAGAGCGTCTACTTTCCCGACCTCCCTGCACTTGCGCATCTTAAGCTTATAATTTTTTCCTTTTAGCAGCCAACTTCCACAACGCGGCCTATGACGCGCTCGTCACCGGGCAGGTGTTCGTCAAGCTGGCGCATCTGATCTCCCGGGACGACGTGCTCGACGGAGCCATCCCTGCGCCAATCCCGATCCGTCGCATCATCTACACGCTACGGCCGTACTCGGGCAAGATTCCGGTCATCCAGCACTGTCTACCATTTGTCAATCTATACGGTATATTGATTCCTGATTTTTGTATCTATTTTTAGGCGCGGACCCACTCCCTCGCTACCCGGATGAGGTCGTTCTTGAGGTGCTTCAAGAAAAAGATCTGCTCCTCATCCAGAAGGACGTCCGTTGTGTGTTTGGGAGGTAGAGTTTTGGAAAAAATTTTAGTGTTTTAGGGAGGCTAGCTAAAAAAAGAATAGCTAGGGCGTTAGAAAATACTAGCGACGTCGATTTACGAGTTTTTGTATGACCTTTTTTTAGATGGCGCACCGAGATGAAGGTCGACGGGACGACGGTACGGATCGCTACGACAACCGACAACACGTACCGCTGGATGACGGGACACTACCTGCGCAACGACTCGGTCCGCGTGCTCAGCGTCAGCGATTCCGCATCGACGACCTCACTGGCCGACTCCACCTACTCCTCCGTGTTCTCGGCTTCGTCGGCCGGGTCAACGCCGAATCGGTTACGGTATGAGATTCACCGTTTAATTGTTGATTTCTGATTTAGGTTACGCTCGCTGTCGGTCAGCTCAAACGACACGCAGGCTTCCGAGTCGTCCGAATCTGTCGTCGCCACCCGGAAGCTCTCCAAGTGCAGCGTCGATTCTGGGTTCAGCTCAAGCGGCGGATCACAGCTCTTGAATTGGTAATTTTCAAAACTTGTGTTTTATTAAAATTTAGCCAAATCAAAAACTATCTCGGAAGTTGCAAAATTATAAAATCTTTTTTGTGTTTTTAAATTTCTTACAAAGTATACCTTTAGAAATAGTAACATACCTTGTTTATTAAGGTCCCTTACTCCATATTCTGAAAGGGATTTTTAATAATCCAGCCATATTCCAAACAAATTTTAAAACAACACCTTAAATGTTCACTTGTTGGGAGAAAGCTTTGATTTTGTGTTTTTTTTTTGTTTAAAAATAGTAAAACAAGGTAAACGAAAACGTTTTTCTAGAAATTTTCATTTTCATTTCATTCACTCTATTTTCTTTGTCAGGGTCTACCGCGCTGGCGCCGTCCTCCTCTCGGCCGGCATACCCACCGTCACCGCCGCGTCGATGGCCGTTTGACCACCGCATCCCCCCACACAAGCACCTACTACTACTGTATCTATCCATTCCATCCGGGACCCCAGGCCTGTGAACTGTTTGTGGAGAGCCGGCTTTCCCGCGCAGCCCACGGGCCCCCCCGCGACTTTTTCTTCCCCCACCTCCCACCTTTCCACTAGAATCTAGTCAGGACCCCGCACAAAACTTTCCGCACTCCTCCTCTCTGGCCGGCCGTGTGTGATTCTGCGCGCTGGCGCGTTTCCCCCCGGCACCCGCACTACGAAAAATTCCCGATTACATTTGTTTGGCTGTAGACATTGATGTGTAGCGATTTTGCGTTTCTATCCTTTGTACGGCCGGGTGGGAAATAGGTAGAGAATTTAAAATTCACTGCTTGGGGCCTGAACTGCTCGAATTTGCCGTCGATTTTTGGCTTCGAAGCGGTCAAAAATTGGCTGCGAAATATAGATTTGCCTTAAGCCCTCCTTTAAACAAAACCTGCTAAATTCTCTACCTTTTCCCAGGCCCGGCCGCCCTTCCCGCGTCAGTTCACGTGCTTTACGTCCTCCAAACGCCCATTACCTCTAAATCTCCCGCCCCGCCCCCTGTAAATATGTTTTTTGGCCATTTTCTTGGCGAATCTCTCCTTCTTTTCCCCTTTTTTTTCTGGGTCCTCGAGGTTTTCGGCGATAGTAACCCCACGTAGCGTGTGTCTGTGTCTCCGCTTTTCGCCTACAAATTTGAGCCCCGGGTTTTTCGGGGGGTAATTCGTGGATTGTACGTTTTAAGCGGACATTCCCGTTAAAATCCGTACTTCTATGAATTTCCCCAAAAATCCCTCCATGTACGCCTTGGTTCTGCGCGGCGCGGGTCCCCAACAATTTTGAGCACCACCAACCGCATCGGCTTGATGTGTGCGTGCGCGTAATTTTGTGTAGTGTCCGTCCGTCTCCCTGTCCCTTGTATACGAAAATTCGAAAAAAAATGCGCGAACAAATTGTCTGTACTATTTTTGATTGTCCTTGTGCGTCGTTTGTTTTTCGTCTTTACCTCCCACCCCCGATATGTGTGTGTATGTTTTGCGTGTGTAATTTCACTTGTAATTTATCCTCCCCACGCCAACACCCTGTGTATGTGTGCTTTTTTGTGTGTCTTGTTCGTTTATATTCCATAGCGGGTCCCCTCCCCTCAATTCATTGTAAAAATTACAAAAAAAATTATGTAAAAGCACCCGCTCCCCTGTCTAAACTCTAAAATTTTGCCTTCCCCTACCGCCCCCCGATTGTGACTTCGAACGCACGATTTCCGTGTACAGGTGCCTAGCTCTGTGTGTATGTCTCTCCACCACCCCCATTTTTATGTATTCTGATGCCCAGCGCAGCGCGCGTCCACGCGCTCGTTTTTCCGTGTCAACCCCGCTCTCTTTATGCGACGCTCTGCGCACCCGCGCACAGCACGATTTCCCTATTGACCGCGATGTGATGATGCGTGTGCGTGTGTGGTTTGTATAAAGATGTGCACGAAAATTGAGAATTTGATTGAGTTACAGGATACCCTAGGGTTTACTGTAAAAAAAACAGCGTTTTGAGTATAGAAATAGTGGACTTACGATAAGAAATAGTTATACATTAACTATGTTTAATTACAGATACCAGAAAACTACGTAAGCGACTGGAAAGATGATTTCGAGCAGAAAACGGCTTGAATGTCGTTTTATCGGGTGTTTATCGACGATCTCTACTGCATTTAGTTACTTGGCGAGCTTCCAAAAGCTTATTAGCAGGGTTATACTTTCTAGTCTTCACGAGCCGAAGTTCGAAATAGCGGCGCAAAAAACTCGCTAAAACGAGCAACAAGCGCCGCGGATGTTGGATTTCCAGGTTTTGCGAGAACTACATAAAATTGGATGGAAAAATATTAAACTCGGGAAACCTGAAATTCCCTAATGACAGGGTCATGCTTTTCACTTTTAATACCCGAATCTTTTATGCACGTCGTCAATCGTAAAGTAAACGCAAATACCAACAATATCCCCATTTTAGGTTACGGTTGATCCCTGCTCCCCTCCCTAGGCCGCGCTCCCGACACCGTACCTCCTGCCACTCCCAGACACCCCCAGGCCGGGCCCATTTAATCTGGGCAGCCGAGCCAGGGGGCTGGGCCGCCGGACGCGCAGCACCGCCCGCCCAGCCGGCGGCTTGTTTGTTTCCGTGGTCGACCGGCCGGTGCGGGAATTTTTTGTGGTTTGGAAAAACCGGGGGGTGTCCCCCCGTTTTTCCAAACGATTCGCGGCGGTGTGCGAGTGCCCCCGGAAAAAGGCGGGGCAAACCCGATTCGATTTATTGAACCGGCGCCCCGCGTCGTGGGTATTGGCCGACTGCCAAATTTGTTATTTTTTTTAGGATTAGGACTCGAATTTGAAATTCTAGGTTCTAAGCCTGGAAATTCTGGACTAGCTTCGTATTTGGTCCGGGAAAACTTGGCGCGGGCTTATCAACGCGGACGAATTGGCCGGGTTCCAAAATTGATTGGCGAAAAAACTGACCTACCTTTGGGATTTAAAACTCAAACTTTTTGCTTGAAACACTTTGGATTAAATTTAAAGGCGAAAGTGAATGAATAGGACGTAAAATTTTGCTTTGGCACGATATCAATATCTATTTTTTTGTGAAAATTGATGTGAATTTTTAATTTTTGGATTGAAAACGGGCGAGAGGGCGGAAATCCTTAATGTTATTCGTTTTATGTTTTAAATTCAACTATTTAGGCAACTGGTGAGTTCGCCAAGAGTAATTTTGAATTTGGCGATTTGGCGGATCTGCCTTTTTCCTGGGTTTCTAATTTTTATAAGATTTAAAGCTTTAAGACTATTCCAAAATTCGGAAATCCAAATAAGAGCCCCTGGTTGCGGTAAGTTTGATCAAAAATCAAATCTGAGAGTATTTTTTGGGCTATATAAATTTTCCCTGCGGTATTGGTGATAAGGAAGTGCGGTGTGCGGGGCGGCAGCTGCAAAAGCATTTTAGCAAAAATTCACACGGCGCGTGCCGTAATTGCCCATCTCGTTCCCTCCGGCTCAACTCTAGGCATTAATGGCGCATTTTTATTCCTGGGTGACCCCTCGGGGTTGGCAGCTGTTTCGTGGGGTTTCGCTAGTGATCTTTTCAGTTTGACCTTTTGATGCTTAGCGATTGGCTAGGGGGATCAATCTTCATTTTTGGGAGCAGAAGATCGTTACGGAAGCATCTAGACAATTTTAGAAGTTTCGTAGGACCGCAATAGACCAAGTAAGAGGTGGAAATTTTGAAACGAAGAGTTTATATGGAATTTATAACGAGCTTAGGCTGGAAAACAAAAAAAGGGAAAGTTTTGTAAATATCATTAATGCGCCGATTTGGTACATTTCTCATCACAAATTTCTTTAATTAAGTATCATGGATTGCCTTTATTAAGGTGTAGCATTTTACTTGACAGTTCTGGGCGTCAAATTCAAGCTTTTCCATGTCCTGTTCCACTTCAGGGCGTGAAATCACTTTAAAACCAATTTTTTGCAGATGTTGGAATAAGGATCCCGACAACGCGTGCGCACGCCACCACCGGCGCGACAGCACTCAAATGGATAGGTAAGGGGGCCAAAATGACGTGGACTTTCTTGGCGCAGATGCCAAGATCAAAGGTTGTGGCCTGGGGGTCAGAGTGAGCGGCCTCTAGCCCCGGCAATCCGATTGTACGCTGATCACTTGGTTTTTTGGATTTTTCTAGGCCTAAATCCGTTCAAACGTCACATTTCTTAGCCTATACATACGCGAAAATTCTTTTTGTTTAGCGGCGAAGGGCCTAAACCTCTAAAAAGTTTCTTAACAAGGTGAATGACAATAAATTACATTTCCAGTTACGGCGGCGGGACCGTAATGGGCCAGCTTGGGCAGATTGATCCGCAGCGGTACGGGCCGTTCGTGCTGCCCACACATCATCCCAATGCATACACTATGGGGCACCCGGTAGGTTACCAAGGCTACAAACTTCAAATTCTATCGTAATTTGGGCTTGATAATTTAATTTTTCTGTAATTGGACCTTAAACGCTGAAAATCGGGATTTCACACTCAATTTTGCAAACTTCTATATCTATTTTCGATTTTTTTTTGCTAATGAGTAGGGCTTTTCCGAGTCCATGCACTTTTTCAAGTCACAGAACTTGTGGAAACCGAAAGATTTACCCTATGTATTTCAGTTCCCGTTTCAGGACCAAAACCCGTACGCGCAGCTGATGATGCCCGACCTCAGCCGGCCGCCGCCCACCATTTGGCACCCACAACACTTTGCCCCGCATCCGGCACAGGTTCGTGACGGGTTAAAAAGTTGGAAACTAGCAAAAAATACCTAAGAAAAGGGCTAAAATATAACAGAAAAAATTCTATAGGTAAATAACGTCAGTAGACATTTTCCAGGAGCGTTAAGACAGCAAAAAGTCAAGTTTTTCAAGAGCGGAGTCTATGAACTGGCAATTGCCTTTAAATTTGAATTACGAGAGTTGAAATAATGTTTTTAATTATACCTTTTCAGCCGCCAACCCCAGCAGCCATGCAAGCGTACCCCTACATGGCGCAGTCCCCTCCAATACTGTCGCCCGGGTGTTTTGCCTCGTTAATGAATCAGCCACTCCCGCCACAGCCTCTACAACCACCAAGGCCACCGCAGAATGGATATTTTGTCCAGTCTGTGTCTGGGAACCATACTATGGTAGGTGAGAGAGAGAGCGAGAGAGAGAGAGAGAGAGAGAGAGAGAGAGAGAGAGGGAGAGAGAAAGAGAGAAAGCTTCGACTACATTTTACATATTTTCAGTACCTATCACCTCTGCCGTCCCCAGTACCCTGTCCTTCCACGTCTGGAACTCAACTTGGGTCCCTCTACTCCCCCAATGGCCCTCAACACAGCCCATTTGCTCCGAATAACCAACAACAACAACATCAGCAACAGCCACAGCTTCAGCAACCGCCAATGGCCGGGAATTTTCAGCAGAAACCGGTGAGTAGCATCGTCGCGGCGAGTCCACGAAGCGAAAATCGGGCTTCGGAAGAGCAAAAAAATAGAATACAGGCTGCCCAAGCCTTAAAATAAATGTCGATGAGCGTAAAACACAAGAATTGAATTTTCGATCCCCTAAAAAATTTAACGACTTTCTAAGAGTTTATCCGGGTTGAACGATACCTTAAACAGTCTTATCTGGCCTGCCGATATCTTAAGAAAATCATGAAGAAATTACGAGAGCTTCCGAAGTACAAATCTATAAAATCTGGCTTCCCGGCACCTTCGAGAAGTCAGTAACGTTTATTGTAGCCTCTAAGAGACCTGAAATGCAGGATTTCGTGGAACTTCGTGAACTTGGAATTGACATAGAAAATGCGTAGCACTATGGTTTAGCTAGGTACAGTTCGCTTTCGTAGATTTAAATTTGGCTTTCCTATTCCTTTAAAAAATATAGGTAGTTAGAGTACTTCTAAAACTCGAAGGCTTGTAAATCTCACTTCCCAAACCCTTTAAACCCGGAGTCTACCCCAAATTGGCTCGTTTCTCACTCTCAACAAGACCACCCACCCCGCCACCAGATCGAAAATGCATCCCCCATTTGTCCGCCACATTTTTTTCGGCAGAAAGGTCAAGCCGGACGAGGCCGTTCGAAAGCCCGGGCGGTTTTTGGCCGGCTGCCAGATCGATTCGACTGGCCAGGGCGAGAAGGTATGAAAAAGGGGACCGGGAGCAGCAGCACTTTGCTCGGGTTCTGCCCGGCCAAACCCGACCCTACACTCATTGAGATGAGCAGGAGGAGAGAGCCAATGAGAGATAGAGAGAGAGAGGGAGAGATAGCAAGAAAAGCACAGATCCAGCCACCAGATAAAATCTCCGGCGTGAAGGGTGTTGTGGGAACGAACACTGGAACACGCACGGGCTGGGGGTGGCCAAAAGGAATCTGGGAAAAAGCAGTGAAGGTGCGCCGTTTTAACAAATCCTTGAGGTTCTAAGACGGCAGGTATGCCTCGGGAATTAAAAGGAAAGGTATCATAATTGGCTCAAAAAACTGTAGATGATCAGGTAAAGCCAAGAAAGGGGACACAGGACCCCAAAAAATGTTGCGCGGTGGTAGATTAAGTTATATACAGCTTACCGATTTGATAAAGCATAAAAATGATAGAAAACGTCGTAAATATGAATTTATTTTATTCCAGAACCCCCTCAACCAGCAAGTCTACGTCCAAACACAACCACAACGGCCGAACGTCGTTTTTGCAGCTGATGGACAACCGGTAGGCTTTTCAGTGATAAACTACCGCTTCGTGAGTATAATTTTTAACCTCACAATATTAGCAATGCTGTTTTATTGCCTGAATTCGAGTCTTACTACCTTTTCAGTTAACCCCTTCCTCCAACCTCGACTCCTGGAACAATGCTGTCATGGACATGGACCGGACGATGGCGATTCGGGCAAAAATTGGCCTAAAAGTTGCCAATCGGTAAGTACGAGCTTACTAATAACTGTAAAATAATGTCTTTTCTGCCATTCCTACTTTCTGGGCGCTAAAAATGGAAAACACTATGGTTTTTCAGGTTCCAAGTCGTGCAAAAGATCAACTTTGGCTCCTACGGCACCATCTACTCGGCCGTCGACCTGAAGGAGAACGGGAAGCTGGTGGCTGTCAAGTTTGAGACTTGTAAGTTCTTGTCTGATTGGAATTTTGAACAACTTTTTACGTCATTAGGTTCTATTACGGGGCAAACCATTGCCGTTTAGCTACCGAAGACGCGCATCTGAAGTATGAATACGAGGTGTACCGTGTGCTAGCTGGTGGCCCGAAGAAGAAACGGAGAAAGGTCACGATTCCGGGAGTTCCGAGAGGTAAGCAGTAGGCTAAGGTCGTTTTATGTGAATTTTATTAAGAATTTGTAAAGGAGTACCATGAATTTTGCTTGCTATCATAGAATCTATAATCAATCCATAGCTAAAATAAAAAGCTTTACCCAACCCTGGCCGCCCATTTAATGGTAAAACTATCATAAAAATTAACTCATAAAAAGTAGATAGAAGCATACGTGAACGCATAAACTCTTTTTCAGTCTACTGGTTCGGCGAGGAATTTGGCGGACAACGCATGATGGTGATGAGCCTCCTCGGGCCAAGCCTTGAGAACCTATTCACCTATTGTGATCGGAGCTTTTGCAGGAAGGCTAGTGGCAATTTTTTTTAAATCGAAGAAAACGCTATGTTTTAGACGATCATGGCGCTCGGGAACCAGATGATCGATCGCCTCAAATGGCTTCACGAGCGGGGCTACGTCCACCGGGACCTGAAGCCTGAGAATTTCCTGGTTGGGATCGAGAACGAGGAGCGGACGTTGTTTCTCATTGACTTTGGGCTCGCTAGGAGATATAGGTAAGTATACTTTTTTGCTTTTTGTAATCGTAATCCAGGAGCTTAAATTGTAGAGGTATCTAAGGTAGATTAAGTCTTTTAAAGCATATCAAAGCTCCTGATTTTATTAAACGAAAACTTAAGGTATCGCGACGGTGACAACCTGGTCCATATTCCGCATCGAAAAGGCAAGAACCTGGTCGGGACAGCCAAATACGCGAGTCTGAACTCTCATCTCGGCATGGAGTTGAGTCGACGGGATGACATCGAGAGCTTCGTCTACATCATGGCCGAGCTGTGCTGTGGCGAGCTGCCCTGGAAAGTGGGTTAAAGGGATAGTGATAGCTGAAAGCAATGGAGAAGTTTTACGAGTACCATTATTCTGTTTAAAAGTGAGATTAGACGCAGAGCAGTCTGGCGGAACCAACTAAAAGGTCTGAAAATTGCGCTAGAACTTTCTTTTTTAGGAATCCAAAAGCAAAGGCCGCTACCGTACAAAGCAGCAGAGCTACAACCGCATCCGGAACATCAAGGAGACGGTCGATTGGAAGCTTTCGTGCCCGCCCTTGGCTGAACTGTTTGCCTATTCAAAGGCGATGGGATTCATGGAGGCTGTAAGTGATTTCTCTCTCGCTCTCTCTAGCTCATCTCGCCCTCTCTACCTTTCCCATTCACTCTCTCTCTCTCTCTCTGTTTCTCTCTATCTCTTCCTCAACGACCTATCCCTTCATTTTCAGCCTGACTACGAGAAAATTCGAGCTTGGATAGCCGGAATCGGGACCTGGACCGGAGGAGAGGATCGTCAGGAGAATCGGAATAAGGGCAGAAACAAGAGTACGAGCAGCTCCACTGCCGAGTCGTCACCGGCCGGAAACAATCAGGAGATGACCGAGCTGGCCGAGAGGGTCGGGCTTGTGCGAGTTACTACGTAAGTCCTACTTTATTCAGCTAAATCAGACATCTCTGCTGACCTAAGTCGGAGTTGAAGGAACAGGAAAGCTTCATAACCCCTTTATAATAGTCATAGCTATTTTTATGGATTTTATATGCTAATTTTAGCAGCGACCCGCCGAACCCGGGCATGGTGTGGAACAGCACGAGTACCCAGGATCGCCAGAAGCGCATTCCGGGCCGGCTTTTTAGGCCTTGTCGGTGGGTATTTGACTATTTCTTCTATTCTGTTACGCCTATAAAATGCAATTCGTAATTGCCTTATCTTTCAGATGGACAAAAACAGACCCGGACTGGGATTACAACTGGATCCTCCGCCGCGAGAGCTCCGACGAGGAACGGGCCCGATATTTGGCCCTTTTCAAGTGGGTTTATGACGAAATCAAACGTTTTAGACTATCGAACTAAGCTTTAAACTAAATAAAACTATATCAAACATCGCCAGAAAAATGTTGCTCATTATTATCGATACTGCGGTATCGAAAAATTCAAATTTCGGCAGAAACCGTTGAAGCGCGCAGACATCCGCTGTAAAATAATCAAATAAAATTTTACAGCCCCAATTCCAAGCCTAAGTCTAAGCTATGGCTAGGGTGAAGGTAGACAAAGTCATGCCAAAGCTATGCCTAAGCCTAAGCCCAAGCCAAGCACCCATCTAAATATTTTTTCAGATGGGCACAGCCCGTGACAATCGTCCCCAGCTATCCCAACCCACCGCCCCAGAACCAGATGTCGCAATTTGAATAATTTGGCGACTCTGGCAAACTACAGACTACAAACTACGACCCGAGCCACAGGCTCCAACCCACAGCCACCAGGCTACAACTACCGCCTCCAAGCTGTAAACTACAGACTACACACTACTCCCCACAAAACCTTCAAAGATTCCAAAACACACTGCTGCATTTACACCCATTTCTGAAGCGTCTTTTCTTTTTTCTTGAAACTGCCTACCAAAAACGGGTTCCGCTTTGTTTGTTTTTAGCACTTTTTGCGCTTCTTTTCCCTAAATTCCCCAATTTTCTTGGCTAGTTTGCTCGGTTTTAGCGAGCTAAAAAATTCAAAGTTATGGCTTGAATTTTTTGTATTTCCCAAACCCCACTAAAAATTGTTGTGGCAAAAATGCGGGTACCCTCGGATACGGATAAACACCTCATTATTATTTTTGTTTGATTTTTCTATGTATTTTTTAATGTTTTTGATAATGTTCTATGTATTTTTTGATTTTAGTATATTTCTTTAAGGCTTTGAAGTAATGCTAGCCAGACAGACAATTGTTATTCTACGCTTTCTTTTCCTATTATTCTTAGTTTGGCTACACAGAAAGGATTCGAACACCCCCCATGAATGCACTTGCTTGTTATACCACTTTTTAGAAGAGAGAATAAAGGATACAAAACAAAACTTGTAAATACCTTTTCAGCAAATGCAAAATATAGAAATACGTACGTTTGTAACTCATATTATTTGCGCAAAAATTATAGGAGGCTGGAGACGATAATAAAACCTTTTTTCTTGGGAAAAAATGCGATCCGGTGACAAAAAACTGAACTATTGCGTCGCGTCGTGCCTATCTTTGCTCGAGTTTCCAAAATTTGGAATTTTTTAGGGATCCTGAAAATTGAATAGTCAGATTTTATTGTTTCTGACCAGTTTTACGTCGCTCCACGTGGCGAAATAGGGCCACTAGCAGCATAAAATCTGGCGACACCCTCCCTTTAAAATCTTTAAAACATAAAATATTTAAAGTTACGCTGTTACGACCCATGACGTTTTTTGCGCTCGACCATTTTGAACGCCATTTTTCGGCACCTCTGATGTTTCGAGTTTTGATTTGTATTGTTTTTTCGGCTGATGTCAGCGGATGACGGCCGGCTCGCCTAAAACCACTTCGCCTAAACCCGTTTCGCCTAAACCCATATCGCCTAAAACCCATATCGCCAAAATCCGTCTCGCCTAAAAACCCGCTTCGCCTAAAACCCTTTTCGCCTAAATCCCGTTTCGCCTAAACCCATTTCGCTTAAATTTTTGGCCATTTTCAATGCTGTATTTTTGACCGATTTTCGATCTTTTTTGCCGAAAATTCAACTATGAAAATGGCCAAAACTTTAGGCGAAATGGGTTTTAGGCGAAACGGGTTTTTTGGTGATATGGGTTTTAGGCGACACGGGTTTTAGGCGATATGGGTTTTAGGCGATATGGGTTTAGGCGATACTGGTTTAGGCGAAACGGATTTAGGCGAAGTGACCGGAATTCGTACCATCCCCTTAAAAACTTCACCTCAGGCTCTTTGATATGGAAGAGGTTAGTATAATTCCCGTGTAAGAATTCCCTTTAAAATCGAAAATTCAAGCCGAGACACGCTTTAATGTGGAAAAGGTCAGTCTAGTCTGGTTTTTCTTGGCCATCCCTTTAAAACTGTCTTGGTAGCGGACCTTCTCTTGATGAAAAAAGTTCAGCTTGATTCTCCTGTCGCCATCCCTTTAAAAACTTCCGTTCGTCTAGCCCATCGTATCAACTCTCCACGGTATTTGGAAGGTCCAAGCTGGAAGCTGGCCCAATTCCCCATGCGCGCAGTGCTCCTGATCGGTTAGTGAAAACACGGTGGGGGGGGGGGGAAACTGGGGCGAAATCAAAGAAAACACCTTGACCCAAAAAATCACCCCCACCGGGCCATTAGGGCGTAAAAGTGAGCTCGACTGATTGGATCAGTCATTTCTCCCGCTCTTCCACCACCCGGCTGACTGGAACAATCGGTTCTAGGGAATTTTTGCTTTCAAGGATGAGGAATGTAAGTATTTTTCGCTGTTCTGGCGCTCAGTCTTCTATTAGTGCGTCAACGATGGAAAAAGCGACTTCAGCGAGCCTTTAATGACTTTGAAATGTACAAATTGAGTCTAAAAATTGTTGTACTTTCAGACAAAGTCTGACTCCGAGTGGTTCTACCGTCTAGCGCAGTTTTCGATAGCCACTAGTGTGTGCTCGTTGATCTTCCTCGGTTTCACCCTCCCCGGGCTCTACCTGAAGACTGTTGAGGAGCAGAATCGACTTCACGATCGAGCTGGAGTGTTTAAGGTATAAAATTATTTGCCTGAATTCCTGTCTGTTTCTGTCTCTCTCTGTCTCTTCGTTTTCTTTGTCTTTCTCACGCTCTCTCTCTTTCTATCGCGCGCTCTCTCGCTCGCTCTCTCTCTCTTTATTTCGTTCTAACTATCTCACTGGGTCATGCTCATTGGGATACCGCACTTAGCAATAACAGTTTAGCAGTTTTCCTTAAGAAATAAGTTTTAGGAGGTCACGACCCGACTATGGAACGAGAAGCTTCGCATTCAATCCCAGTTCTTCGGCACGTCAGTCCAGTTCTTTAGCAGAGCAAAGAGACAGATCTACGATGGGGTATGTAAAGGTGGGTCTGACTTGAGTTTTGGAACTTGCTCTTTTTAGGCTGCGGCCAGCTAGCTTGCCCTTACGGCCCACCGGGTCCACCCGGACCTCCCGGATCTGATGGGATGCCAGGAGAACCCGGAAACCAAGGAAATACTGGAGGAGACGGTATGGACGTGCAGTTGGACACCGAGCCTGAGATGCCATGTGTTGTCTGTCCGGGTGGACCGATAGGACCGAGGTGAGGGAAATTGGTGTATTAAGGAAAGCTAAAGCCCCAAAATCTGAACTTTTCTACATAAATGGTGTCTCAGAAAAATTCTAGATGAAAGTATCGTAACATCACGTAACATCCTCCTTTCAGAGGCCCCCAGGGCGAGCGAGGTCGGCAAGGCGAGCCTGGCACACCTGGAGGCCTTGGCCCTCACGGCGCTATGGGCATGGATGGACCTCACGGACCTGCTGGTGCTCCTGGTGAGCCTGGGCCCAAGGGCCCTGAAGGCCCAAGTGGACAGGCTGGAAAGACTGCCGTTGCTGGCATCGGAATCAAGGGACCGAAGGGGCCACCCGGACCTGCCGGCATGATGGGATCGCCAGGACCGACGGGTACGGTAGTTTTACCTGATTTTCAGACCTAAAACGCAGGTCCTTTTTGGGAAAATTGAAAGATCTTTCGTTAATGGCGGTTTTTCGTGGTTTTCGGCTGAAAATTCGTGATTTTTCTGCAGATCAGAAGCTACGGAGCTATGAGGCCATTTACCTCAATTTCAGGCCGCGGCTCCGTCAATCCCGGGCCAACCGGACCACCTGGACCCTCTGGACCGATGGGAGCTGCCGGACGACTTGGCCACCCAGGCCAAGAAGGTCCTTATGGACCCCCAGGAGACCCAGGAATGCCCGCATCCTATTGCCCGAGTGATTGCGGCGTCAGCCATATTCTGTCGAGCGTCGTGCCGTCGGAGAAAGTCAAGTGAGTTTGGATTCCGTCGAATCCTGAATTCTAACAAATTTTCGAAATTGGCGATGAACTGCTTGAAGACGTTGCTGATTGATTTAAAAGGCCTGATCTTTTAGAATGACAGTTCCGACAAAAATCTAAGCGTTACTTTGAACTGCTTGAAGACGTGGCTGACTTAATACTAGTCAGACAAAAGTATTTTTAGGATGGCAGTCCTAAAGCAAATGGAGGATGAGAATGCTGGTGATCACTACTATGGAGGCCCAAAGACGGACGCAGCCGGAGCGTCGCGTAGTGGATATAGGTAATTGGCTATCTTTGGCTTCCTCCCTCTATGCCTCACTCCCTTTGTCCCTCTCCGTCTATCTATATATATATATATATATATATATATATATATATATATATATATATATATATATATATATATATATATATATCTCGCTGTCTCCCTAGATCTCTTTCTCTCTCTCTCTCACTCACTCAATCACTCTTTCTCTCTATCTCTTTCTGGCTCTCTCTCTCGCTCTCTCTCTCTCTCTCTCTCTCTCTCTCTCTAATCCACTACTCGTCAGACACCGTACCCACGGTATCCGCACCCACTCCATCCCCATCATGAGGACTCCCGTTTCGGATTCCGAGGGCTGGGCCTTCAGCTCAAACGGAAATGACCTCGGTGGATGGCAGCGTGATGAGCCGGTCTTCAAGCCTAAAGCTCAGCCGGCTTCATCTGGGCTTTCATACGACAACTCTGTTCCTGATGGATATGAGAAGCTGATGGCAGATGCCGAATTCCGAGCAAAACTGGCTAGGAAGATCCGTCGCAGGAAGATGAGGATCGCGAAGCGGCATTGAACGATTTAATAAATATTGAAATAAATATAGCGATTTTTATGCACATGCCATACCGTAATACACTAAATAAATTAAATAAAATTTTATAGAAGCTGGTAGATGTCAATCAAGGCGCCTGATACTTTTAAAGATGGGTTTTCTGCAGTTTATGTTGCTTGTAGGTCCCTACTTTATTAAAAAAACGTAAAAAATTCAATTTTTTAACACCTAAAATACAGGGTGTCCCATAAAAAAGCACCCCTCCGGCATTTCGCCGTATCACGTCCGATCGGTCCCAAAATTGGAGCAGAGGTGTATTGGACCCTAAATAACCACAATCCTGACTCATAGCCCGCCAGCTACAGTAATCATCGAGATACAACAAAAATAAACTTTATTATCCGTTTTTCATATGGTTTTCGTCGAAATCGACCCTTCGAATATTAAGTGAAAATGAAGCGGCAAGCCTTCTTTACCCCTAGAGATTTTTTCTGATAAAAATTAGTGAAATAACCGTTGATTTCAACAATTTTTGTAACGCAAAGTCACCCCCGATATTAAGCGAAATTAGGGATTCACAGCCGGCAGTCGATGCAAATCGATGCAAAGTCCAAAAAGATAGCCGAAAAAACTGTTAAGAATCGCTTAATAAATGGTATTTTGGCGATAACTCGAAAACTACTGTAGCGATCGGGCTAAAACTTAGGATTGTGGTTATTTAGGGTCTGATAGATCCTTGTGCAAAGTATGGGACCGCCGGGATGTAATACGGCGAAATGCGGGAGGGGTGCTTTTTTTTGGGACACCCTGTACAGTAAGAAGGCAGTGTTTATTTTGGGGCCCCAGGAATGAGCAAATGGAAGGCGGAATTTTCCTGTGGATGCCGAAAGTAGAGCACTTGTTAGTTGGTGGTGGATTGGCGCTGGATGTGGGTGGCGCGTTCCTGAAAATATGCAAATTTTGAAGGTACTAGGGAGTCTGAAATGTCTGAAAAATGGCTTAAAGTTAACGCAAAAAATATTTATGTTTGAAAATAGCTAGTAAATCAATAATAACATTTCGATATCCCTGAATAAATTAAAAATCATAGTTTTCAAAGTCAGCATCGAAAAAGGCAATTTTAAATGGATTAGAAGAGCTAAATGTCGAAAAATTGATTAAATTACTGTATCCCACAGTATAATCTTAACAAATACAATTTTTCGTTAAATTACTGTAATTCAAATTTCTACAAACAACCCTTACTATCCAAATTACCGTACCTCTCCATCCTTGCTGTAGAGGATGGTGTGCACCGAGCTGCCCGAGCCGAACGAGTCCTCGCCGTCGAACACGAGCTGGTCGGGCGGGGAGGCTACGCCCTGGTTCTTGGCGAAAATCTAGAAAAAGAGTTCTTGCGTTAAAATTCAGTATAATTTACTAACAATTTTAAGGCATATAAAAATTCAACAATTCCTTCGTGTTTACCTTAACCGTCTTGCCGGCGCGCAGAACAAAGTTGACGGGAAGGGTGTAGACGATCTCGCGTTTGCCGTCGATTTTTCTGAAATATTTTTGGGTTTAGAGGCAGACGAGCTCATATTCTTCATTTTCAAATATTTTTAAGGTACCTCTTGAGCTTCCACTCGCCGATGGCCTCGTCCTTGGCGCGGTGGGTGTTCTGCAGGACGATGTACTTGCCGTCGGGGGAGGCTTCCTGAAGAGAACGATAGAGAGAGAGACAGAGCGAGGAAGAGAGAGAGAGACGGGAGACACTTGAAACTGACGTGGATGCCAACGTTGCCCTTAGCGGAGCGCTGGAACGACTGACGCGAAGCGGTTTCGCCCTTGACCACGCGCATCGTTTCTAAAACGAAAAAATCATACAGTCACCCGAATTGTAGATTTTTCGCTAACTTTAAGGCCATTCAAGTATCACACTCACCAGTATCAACCTCTTGCTGAATCCCGTGCGTCTTGACGACCTGCTCGACGAGCTGCTTGAGCCCGGCGCGGTTCTCTTCGCCCTCCAGCATCTTGCGGTAGATGGCGATTTCTGCGTCGAGGGTCTAGAAGGTTAGCACGTCATCGGAACCGAGAAGGTTGACTGACCTGCTTGGTGTCGAGGAGCATCTGCAGCTCCACCATGAGGGATTGGCATTCTTCGCGCATCTTGCGGATTTGGGCATCTCTGGAAAAATCGGCTTAGTTTCGTCTCCAGCCAAGGCTAAGCCCATGCCAAGTCTAAGCCTAATCCTGAGTCTAAGCCTAAGCCCAAGCCCAAGCCTAAGGACTTACCTCTCGTTGAGGGCAGCCTCGTACGAGCGCTGGTCGTCCTCGAGCTGGTAGTTCAGCTCCTGGATCTGCTTCTCGAGGAGGGAGTTCTAAAGATGGACTTCCGATACCGTAACCCTGACTTACGCGGCCCTCCAAGTCAGCCAGCTTTCCGCGCAGGTCGGTGAGCTGGGTGCGGAGGCGTTTGACCTCTTCCTTGGCGTAGCTGGAAAATTCCGTTTTGAGCTCATAGTCTTCAAGACAGCTGTACTACAGAGTACAGGTTACAAGCTACAGGCTACAAATGACGTAAAAAACGCGTGAAAAACGTCTTACTACAGACCACAAACTCCAAAACCACTCTTACCCTTGTTCCATGTTCTGGCGAGCCGATTGCGTCTGGATTTCCTGCACCTTCAGACGGTACCACGACTCCATGTCGGTGCGGTGCACGTTGCTCATCTACAGTTGATGGATTCGATTACGTCATCAAATCCCACCTGGTCATAATCGTCACGGATCTCGCGAATCGCCGAACTGAGCTCATTCTTGAAGTACTCGCGGTTCTCCGGGGTGGTGTCGCGGGCGGCGAACATCTGGAAAGAGGTTGGAGGGCTAAAGGGACAGTCCCACCTGCAACTCCTTGATCTCCTGATCGTGGACCCGACGCAGGAAGTCGATCTCTTCGAGGAGGGTTTGGACTTGGTTTTGGTTATCGATGCGGTTGAGGGTCTCCTGGTCGAGGTCCTAAAAATTAAATTGCTCTCTCTCCGTCTCTCTCTCTCTCTCTCTCTCTCTCTCTCCCTAAAAACTTACCGTCCTGGCGCGCTGCAACTCGCTGTGCAGACGCTGGTTCTCCAGCTTGATCCTCTTCACCTCATCCTCGAGCTGAAATGGATTTTTGTCTCCTGATCTGATGAAGCTCATGCTCAAAAATCCCGTCAAGCACTTACCTGAGCAATTCTGCGTTTCAGCAGGTTGATCTCGGCCTCAATGTTGGAGAGCGTGACGAGCAGCTGGTCAATCTTGGCGCGGTCGTGGTGGCGGCCGGCGACGGCTTCATCGTACCTTTAAGAGAAAAATGAATGATTGAGCTTGCGCCTTTTTAGAACCTTACTAAATCGCAATTTTTATCTTTTTTCTCTATTTTTATTGCAATTTGTAGCCTGGAGTGCAATTTCCCCGTCAGCAGATCGGATTAACCAACGCACCGACTCGACCTACCGTACCCCCTTTTTGTGTTTGCCTATGCTCTTCTCTCTAGGTTATCTAAGTCAAACAAAGAGCTTTTTCTGTTGCGTTTCTACAGTAAGTTTCACTGCAATACAAACCCAAGTTATACTCGGTAATCCATTGTAAGGGTACTGTACTGAACTGTACTGTACTATAAGGATACCCTAATCTACTGTAACATTTAATTGTTTTGTGGCGTTTTTACAGTAATCCCACTGCTATGAAGCCCAAATTTGACTTGGTAATCTACGGTAAGGTGCAGTAAGGATATGGCAATCGAGTTTCCTGTGGTGCCGGAAAAACCCACTTCCTGCGAACCTCGGCCAGCTCGTTTTGCATCTTCTTGATTTGGTCCTCCAGCTCGCGGCGCTGCTTCTGGGTCTCTTCGATCAGCTAAAAAAGATGTATTAAATTCATATGATTTTTCGATGCTATGTCGTTATAAAGTGTACTGTAGTACTGCTTCCTAAATTTTAGATAAACATCTATTTCATGATCTCCTCTACTACCTTTCCGGCGTCAACGAGTTCGCCCTCGTACATGTTGCGAATGTTGTGCGTATCCTTGCCCCATTTCGAGCGTAGAGCGTCGAGGTCGGCGGCCAGCTTCCGGTTCTGGGCTTCCAGGAAGCGAACCTAAACGAACTGGAATATTTTGGCGTAGATTTTTGGTTTTTTGTTATTTTCTATAAATTATGGGTTCAGACCTATTTTTTATTGTTTAATTTTTTAGAGGTATCATTAAGGTATCCTTAAGCTACCTTCTCGATATAGCTAGCCAATCGATCGTTCAGGTCGGACATTTCCTTCTTCTCACGCTCACGCGAGTCGCGGATCGTCGAGGCGGCATTCTGGCCGAATGGAGAGAGGCCAGATCCGATGCCGCTTCCGACTTCCGTCACGATCTTCAGGCTGCGGCCGGAGACTGAAAAAAAAATGGGATTACAGCGATTGGTCAGCAAGGGCAAAAAGCCAAACGAGCGCTGATACCAACCGGCAGTGTGGGTCTGACGACCGCCAAGCGGAGCACGAGCCGCCGGGGTGTTGAACGACATCGCTGAAAAAAAATAGATGATTGATTAAACCATAACAATCAAAAATTTCAAGTGTCCGCGTCTGGGCTGGAAAACCTGAAAAACCAACAAGACGTTTGTTCAACAAAATGGAAAAGTCAGCTATTAAGTAACGTTATGATCGAAGTTAGCTAACGTACGTTAGATAGCTTAATTTTGACATCAATCTATTTTTAAAGGTACCACAAAGTCAAGCCGTTAACGTTGAACCATAAATCAGATGGTTCAGACAAAAAAAAGATAGGAATGTAGAGACGCAACTAGACGGAAACAACCTATTTTCCAGGAAAAACTCTACGCAATTTCTTTCGGGACGCTTGCTCATAGAAAAACTAAAAAGAAAGGATAAGGCAAATATTTTCTTTAGGCCATAAAAAAAATAGAATTATTCTCGAGCTTTAATGCCGGCTTTAGAAATATCGTAAAGGAAATGTAATGTCAAGCCAGAACGCAGCTGGACCGCGGGATGATATGTGTAAAAAGGAAAGTTGCGGAACGCAAGGGGCACTTGTGAAGACATTCGTAAGTAGTAAAGGTGCGGAATTTTAGCAATAATCCGGATACAAAGCGCTAGGCATCGCGTATAAACTATTTGTGAGTAGGAAAGTTGCGGAATACCCCATCATAACAATACAAAAATTTAAACGTCTTCCTCAAATTTTATGTAAGTAGGAAAGTAACGGAATTCTAGCAAAGTTGGTCGAACCTGGGCCTTAGTCAACCCTAGTCACCGCCGATTGGAAAGTTTCATCCTTCTGCAAACTGAAAACCCACAGAAGAGTCAAGAAGAGTGACTAGGCAGAAAGTGGGTGGAAATTCTCGTAGCGTCGTGGAAAAATTCTCAGTTGACACTTCTGCTCAACGCCGGGGCGGTGCTTAGGCTCGCCGTGGGAGGAGAAGCCAAAAAAACGCCGGCGACAAAGCGAAGAGATGCGAAATTCCGCCCCCATACTAAGCGCAAGTGGGGGGGGGGACGCTGAAGAAGAAGCCAGAAGGGAGGGAGAAGCCACCGCCGCCTCCGACCGTAGGGGATTATTGCCCTGTCGACAAACATTTTAAGGGCACCCACCAGGGTGGGGGAGACGTTTCTGGAAAATTTGCGAAAATGAGTTTTTAGGGATGTAACTAGCGTAGTTTTAGAAAACTTCGAATTAGCCTGCGGAGAATGTAATTTTTAAGGTTTGAGGCCTTTTTTCGGCTTTTCACGGGGACATTGAGATTTGTATTTCGAGAAATGCACGATTTTAGTTGTTTCTAAACAACCAATAGTGGCTTTTTGGCGTTTTAATGGGCCGGAGTAGGCAAAATCTTCGAGCGAATCCACAGAAACAGACCGCTTTCAACGTGAGAAAAATCGTGAATCTGCGATTTAAAGCTGGTTCAATTGTCCAAAAATCCCTAATTTGTGAGTTTTAAAAACACAAAACCTGAAAATACGTTTTGCAGTTTTCCAGTGAAATTTTACAAAATTAATTCGGGCCATAAAATTTGAGAAATTGCGAAGAGAGAAACTGTAACCATATGATAAATTGTCTATTCTCCAATAATAGGAGGTTAAGAAGAGAAAATATTCCGTTAACTGACTTATTTGGTAAGAAAAATCAGTTGATTCAAAGTGTGAGAGGGAGAGTGAGCGAGAGTAATTGCAAATCATGTGAAATCACCACCTGAAAAGCGCAAGTACGGTATATTCAAAAAAGCCCTATGCGTACACGCGGTTTCCTAAAAATCGTACCCCACACCACGCCCACGCTAGGACGGAACCCGATGCCCCCTTTTCGGTGACACATAAGCAGACAAACGCAGCAGGCCTGGTGGGTGGGCTGACAAATGTATGGGTATTCAAATGTGTTTCGCGCTCAAGCAGAAATTGGCAAATACATGGTTGCGTCGAGCTGAAGGGAATTGACGGGGGAAGAGGAGGGCTCTGTGTCAACACCTCCATCTTTTGGCAAAGAACAACCTCAGTTCAGGAGGTGGGTAGGCGCGGGCACCCGATTCGGTTGCCAATGACAAGACTGGCCCAGAAAACGAGAGAGAGAGAGAGAGACAGTGAAAGAGAGAGCGAGAGAGAGCGAGAGCGGGAGAGAGAGAGAGAGAGAGAGAGAGAGAGAGAGAAGGGAGAGAAAGGGAGATCGTACTTCTGGAGTGTTCTTCTGATCGTTTGGGCTCCTACTGCCAACTGGTACCACTTGAAAGACCACCGACAAAGGTGTCAGTAGTTGCGTGGCGTCGCTAGTTTAATACTAACATCCGATGCCGATTTTTTGGTCCTTGGGTGCTTTTTAAATTTTTCCGGAACCGCGACACGCGTCGCGCCCGCTGCCCCCAATAGATGGTACAGAAAATCTGTAAAAAACAAGGACAAAGCCAATGATGGGTGCGGTCTTTGTCTTGGATCTGGTAATATCGATCGTAATCCATAGCCGTGGAAAGACTTTGCAGGTTCCTTTAGAAGCTCGGCAGTGGCAGGATCAACGCCTTCCAGCCACTAGGTCTCGACAGATACGCTGCGCACAGTCACGCAGTAGTTTTTGTCGATCATCAAGCAAGTAGCGCTACAGGAAAAACGGCGACAGCTTATGCGCGTTTTCGCGTGAAGCGCAGCTGTCTATACCTAATCAATAGCCAACATCGATTCCGCGCTTTCCGATCCAATGAAAATCAAAAATTTTTACGGTTACGTGACTTTCCGACCAGAACAAATCGCAGACTAACTGTCCCGCGCTTGCTGCCCCGAATCGACCTCAATTATCCCGATTTGGCCCGGAGGGGCATATTATGGGGGAGAAAACTAGTCCTATTCAATACTCGTCAATGGGGCAAGCAATTATGATGAGGAACGCCGACGAAAATCTACTCTACTTGTGGAAGTTGAAAAAATTGGGGCTTAGAAATGCGTAAGTTTGGTTCGCACGAAACACAGGACCACTTGAACAAAAATTGGCTCGAATTTCTCTCTCACCTTCACTTTCTCTGTACGTTGGTCATTTTTCGGGAGGTACAGCGATGAGTAATGCTTGCAAAAAAGGGAGAAAATCGGATTCTATGCAAATTTCATGAACTGACTCATACAGACTGTCGAAAAAAACCCGGCTGGAGCTGAAAATTGTCAAAAAGCTATTTAAACGTTTCTAAAGAGTGAATAAGCCGCGATTAACATAGTGTAAAGATGAAACCGTATTAAACGCCTCCAAATATATATTTTTTGACTTCTAGAAATCACGAGCGAAAATCCAATTTTGGAAACGTCACTTTTCGCTTTTCCGCTAAAAAAATGGTTTTTCAAACTTTCAAAATTTTGATTTGGAATTATACAATTTGCTATTTTAAATCAACCTCTTCAATCCTACAATTTCGGCGTATAAAAATTTTTCAATGGCAGGTTTAGGTGAGTTTGAAAAAGTATGAGAGGAGACATAAAATATGGAAAAGCATTCTTATATAGTGCTCCAAAAATAATACTTTTAAGAGTGATATATTGTCTCAAAAAAGCCACAAAAACTCTGGCCTATACCAATAAACAATCCCTAAATCGCGCTAGAAAAAACACCTAAAAAACTGTTGATGCCATGGCCGAATACGGTCTGTAATCTGAGTCACCGCAGTGCTGCCTGGGTGTGCGGGTCTCAAGTGGGGTGTGCGCCCCAACAAAAAAAGGAGGAAAACCGGGCAACAAACACACACATTTCTGGGGCCAGCTGGTGGTGGCACCCGGGTCTCGCCGCGACAAAAACGGCCCGAAAAAGTATAAAGGGTCTTGGTGGCAAAAACCATTTGGAAAAAAACGACAGTTCCGGAAAACAACAACTACGATACGACGTACTGTAATTTTTGAAAGTGCTTTAATCTTTAAAAACGCGGAAACCTTCGATCCTTAGCAAATTTTGAAAAATGTATGCCGATGCGCAATAATCACGATAAAAAGAATACTGTAGTAAAATATCATAATTCTATAAAATTCAATAATTAAAGATTACACGCTCAACAATAATTTTGCTGAAATGTACGGTAGTAATGCTTAAACTTGACAAAATAGCATAAAGCGACATTTTTCGAGACAAACTTCGGAAAATTTGGTACTATTTAAAAGCGTATGGCAAATGTGCGGCACTAGTTTAAAAACCACAGGTTTTTTTTACTTAAAACAATTTTTCCAGTTCAAATTTTGAAAGTATGGTTGAAAAACAAGCTTACCCAGATGCTGAAGTTGATCCATAGAAAATACAGAGGCGAAAGTAGGACTGAATGAATTTTTTTGATTTACTGGACGAACGACGAACGATGCCTATTTACAGGGCTTACACCACGCAAAAACAATCGCTGTTCGCGAGCGTTCGCGGGCCGGCGGATTTGTTCCCACTTTTTAGGTGGCGACTGGGCGCTCCCCAACGCGGAATGCCAGCCCCCCACCGTGCACAAATCGCAGCATAATTACCCCTACTAGTGGGGGGGGGGGGGGGGGGTATGGAATTGGGGTTGCAAATTTTGCACGATGTCTGGCACACTTTAAAGGGACTGGGACATGTCGGATAACTTTTTAACGTCAAGACGGAGGATATTTCGCAAGTAAAAGGGTATATAGATTCGTAGAATTCGTGAATACCTACGTGTCGCAGCGATCGGTCACGCTACGGGGCTGTAAACTATACCAAAATACGCGCCAGATTTAGGACAAACATTTTGGTGTACATTGCACCATTATAAACGACCGCAATTTAGTTTTTGCCTCTGGTGCCCATAACCTCCCTTGAGCGAACTTCCGCCTAACGTAACGCGGCTCCTCATTAGCTTAGCGCTGTAAAATGTATCAATATACTCGCCAAACCAGACGAACCTTTTGGTGTACTTTACATCACTATATACGCCACTGTAGTTTGTAGTTTTTTGGCTCTGATATAGCTTATCTCCCCCGAGCGGCCCTCCACCTAACGTACCCGGCTCCCCAAGACCTAAGGCGAATCCCACAGTTGGCTAACAAAAATTGTAAAAATTAGCGTGTGCTCTTTTTTAATACGGAAACACTCCTAAAGGCATATTTTTATGAAAAGTAACTGCTCAGAAATCTGAATATGCCCAATTAGACTCCACTTCACGGTAAAGGCGACACTCTGAGCAACTGTTCGTGTTTGCTGCGGCCGTGTGCCCCGGCCGACTACAAGGTGACGCATTTGTGCCTGAACTATCATTTTGTTGGCTTCCGGACCTTACAATACATTCAAATTTTACAGCATCGATGTCGTCGGACGACTCGCTGCCGTCGCTGGATAGCGTCGTCGACGTGGAGGAGTTCCAGCCGCTGTTGGACGCCGAGGATTTGTTGGGGTAAGTGGGAGATATTTCTCTCTCTCATTCTCTCTTTTTCTCGCTCTCTCACTCTCCCTCTCTCACTCTCTCTCTCTCTCGCTCTCTCGCTCTCCCTTTCTCCCTCTCAGACCCTCCACTTCCAGCCTCGGTCAGATGCGCCTCAACTCCCCGGCCTACCAGGCGGGCCTGGACCGTCTGTTCGAGCTCGAGGCGAAGCAGCGTGTCCAGGGCGAGCTCCAGGTCCATGAGTACATCGAAGTCGGCCTCAGGACCTCGTGCTTCAATTCAATTTCCGGATCCAGGGCCTCAACCTGCGGCTGCGGATGCTCGACCTGGAGATGGCGCACCTCGTCAACGTGCCCGGGCAGCTGGAGCTGTTGCCGTTGGCGACGCTGGAGGAGCGACGGGTAGAGTATCTCTCTCTATCTGTCTCTCTCCCTCTCTCTCTCGCTCCCTCTCTCTATCGCCCTCGCTCTCTCTTTTTCTTTCTCTCGGTTTTTGGCTTTTATCAAACTTTGACCAAAAAGTAGAATCATCAAAAAAAAAGGTTCTGTTCAGACAGCGGCCCGCATGGCCAAGCAGGTCACCAGCCGGGTGCAGGAGATCCACGAGAAGGCCGAGAAAATCCTCGAATCATCCACTAGGGTGCGCCAGGTCGGAAACCCCATGGACCACTCGATTTAAAGGGATTGAGAAGACAAAAATCAGCCTCTAACGACCTTAATTCCTCTTACGTCTTTGTTTAGTACGTGACCCAAGTCGAAGAGCAGCGCCAGCAGCCGACCCCGCCCACGCCGTCGCCGGTCACCTCGCAGCAGAACATGGAATAGCAACCACTACACGGGACTCGTTAATCGTCTTCTTTTATTGTTTTTCCCTTTTGTTACTCGTTTTTTATTGCTCTACTTTGTAAACTCGGTTGAAATCGTGGCTGGTGAATAAACGTTACAATGGTTTTGGGCTAAACGCATTTTCAGAAAATGACAAGGTTTTGAAGCAGTTCAGTTCATCAACACGCCGGCATGACAGCAAATCTTTCAAAAATGTGTATGACATTTTCAAATCAGACTGAGACATGAAAATGACAACGTTTTCAACGCGTACAGCTCATCTATCTGTCTCTACCTTTTTGGGAAAATACAAAACAAATTAGCATGAAATGATGGAATTTCCGGTTTTGAAATGCTCCAAATAACTTACTGACATTTATTTGGAGCCGCTACCAGCTGCTGCTTCATCTAAAGGTATGGGCAACTATTTAGCGAAGCCTCTCTCCCGCTCTTTCTCTCTCCCCCGTTCTCTCTCCCCCGTTCTCTCTCCCTCTCTCTCTCTCTCTCTCTCTCTCTCTCTCTCTCTCTCTCTTTCCCTCGCTCGCTGTAACCGCTTACGCCATAAAATTCCAGGACTCGATGCCGCCCCGCTCCTTCGAAATGGACCGCCCCGCCGAGGTGGAGGCCTCTACGGCCCCGGCTGACGTTGACCTGGCTGCTCTCGATTTGCTTGGGTAGATGAAGCTTGCAGAATATTACATGCAGAATTAAACCTTATTTATCAAAATGTGTTTTTTGTTGAAAACGCGTTCTTTTTTTAGCCTGGAGCGGCTGCAGGCGACGTGCCCGGTCTACCAGGAGCGCGCCGCGCGTCTCGCCGAGCTGCGGCTGAAGAGCGAGGCCGGCGGGTTGCCGTTGGAGGAATATCTGGAGGTACTTGCGCAACGATACTTCCCATGATGATCCACGGGTACATGCAGCCCCCGATCTCGTCCGCTTTCGCGTTATTCTGCTAGGCAGCACGTTGAATTCGGGCAATTCCGCTACATTCCGCTTGGTGACGTTCGTCGCATTCGCTATAGTCTCGCCGTTTAGCCTATTTCCCTTCGATTCCGCTACGTTCCTATACCCTACGATCAGCTCCAATATGGCTCTACGAAATTCCAGGCGAGTAGTCTGCAGGCGAAGCTGCTGGGCATGCAGCTGCGCCATCTCATCAAGCTGTTGGAGGAGCTGGCGCTGATCGTGGAGGAGGGGTACCAGGAGCAGCAGATCGTTGCAGGGCAACCACTATCTTTCACAACTTTTTCTTTCAGCAAATCGCGCTGCTGACGCGACTGGTGCTGAACAAGCTCGACGAGATCCAGCGGCAGATGGTGGCTGAGCATGCGCAGCTGGATCGCGTGAGAGGAAAATGGAAGATAGAAAATTCGATGAGTTCTAGGTCCTCGCGCAGCTCAAGGAGATCCGTCGCGAATGCTCTGTGCATGGTGAGCAGCAGATGAAGTCTGAGGAGAAGGAGCAGCCGGAAAAGCTGGAAGAGCCGGTGAACGAGTTGAAGGCGTCGGAGCAGCAGAACAAGGAATAAAAGCACTACGGATTAGAAGGAATCGCTTAATTCGTGGATTATATTACGGATCGGAATGTTGTATTTGTGGGTATGAATAAACTGTGTGATGTGGCTCGGTGGACGAGTAAATCAGAGAAAGCGAGAAAGAAAGAGAAAGATACGGACAAAGAGAGAAAGAAAGAGAGCGCGAGCGAGGGAAAGCGACAGGGAGGGACAGAGAGGGGGAAGGAGAGAGAGAATGGGAGTGAGAGAGGACGGGGCGAGCGGGAGAGAGCGGGAAAGAGAGCGAGAAAGCGAGAGAGATGGAGAAAGAGAGAGACAGCCAGAGCGTTAGAGCGCGAGCGCAGGCGAGAAACAGAGGAAACGAATCAGGAATGCACTATTTGCATCCAACAATAAAGGATTTCCTCATTTTCTATTCATCCCATTTTTCAAGCGGTTGCCTTTGAGGTAGGTTTCACATGGGACTTTCAGAACTGTCCATCAAATTTTTACTGTTTTACATTTTCCAGATTCTGATGCCACCCCGCCCCCGTACTCCAGAATCGCACTGTCGCACCGAGCTCGAGGCGTCCAGCCCGACGGGCGTGAACTGGGATGACGTCGGGGAGGATCGGCTTGGGTTAGTGACCTTTTTGAAGATTTACAGCCCCTTGTAAATGTATCACTTAAATTATAGCCTGGAGCGGTGGCAGGCGACCTGTTCGAACTACCAGGCGTGTGTGGCCCGGCTGGCCGAGTTGACGCTGAAGGGTCAGGATGGCGTGCTGCAACTGGAGGAGTCTATGGAGGTCAGTCTCCCGCTTTCTCTCTCTCTCTCTCTCTCTCTCTCTCTCTCTCTCGCTCACTCTCTCTCTCTCGCTGTCTCTTTCTTTCTTGCTCTCTCGCTCTCTCACTCCCTCTCTCTCTCTCTCTCTCTCTCTCTCTCTCGCTCCCTCAATCCATCAACATTAGCTCTGCCGCCTCAAGTCGAAGCAGACGCACCTCGAGCTGAAGTACCTGGACAACGTCTTGGCCGGGTTGGCGGTGCTGAGAGGACATGAAGCGCCAAATCCCAATATGCGGGTTTGACAAGCCTACTGGACCATCAAAATTTTGTATTTTTAAGGCAATCTTCTGCGTGTACGAGCTGGCCATGGCCAAAACGCAGGAGATCATGCAGCGCATGCAGCTGGACCAGAGTGAAAAGTCTGAGGTATTTTGTTGTTGCTGTTAATTTTCTGCCTTCCAGGTGTTGGCTCAAGTCGAGGTGATGCTCAGCGAGCAGCCTGAGCAAAAGTCGGAGGTCGAGTAGATGAACAACAAGGATGAAGAGTATTTATTAAACGACACGATTGATTATTTTGAAAGAAGTGTTTCTGCTACGTGAATAAAAAATACCGGCCCGGCTTTATTGTACATTACGATAACAGAATACGAGAAACTACAGAAGAGGAAAGGCAAAGCTGATAGTCGAAATCTCAAGAGCGATATACTCGTCGAAAACTGATTCAAAGCCTAGAGATGCACGTTGTACGACGCTTGCTTCAGAATTGTGCGCAACTGCTCCCTGGCCTCATCCGCTTCTTCTCTGGCATTTGTTGTTCTGCCATTCACGGAAGTCATACCCTCAAAAAAATTTTCCTGGTGAGATTAAAGCACGCATACCTTGACGTACGGGTGGTCCAAGCATTTCCAAGCAAAGGGTCTTCGTTGCGGGTCCCGGTCTAGCATCTGGCGCAGTAGGCTGATCAGTTCCTCATTTTTCCGGGTGGTCTCCTCTAGAAGGCGGCGTTGATTTTACTGACCATTTATGAGATTTATCAGAGCAGTTGGGCGTAGTTTATGAGGCACATTTTACATTCAAGTACCAAAGCATACCTTCCGTCGCCGCCCGGCACCAATGTACCACTTTGGGGCGCACTAGCTCATCGAATTTTGTCCCATTACCGCCGAAGACGTATTCGTGCTGTAATGGCGTAGTTTCTACCCCCTCCTCCTCCTCTCCCTCTCTCTCTCTCTCTCTCCCCCCCCCCCCCCCCCCCCCCCCCCCCCCCCCCCCTGCTTTACCTTCTTCTCTATCGCCTTCAACGGCTGAGTCGAAGCCAAGGCCGCGCTTTCGGCAGTGTCCGGAGTCATCAGTTGGAAACGCTTTGTAGTTCCACCGACATCTTAAAAAACTACCATAAATTTGTTGTTAATTTAACTCACTCGCGTCGTCTCCAAACGCCTCCAGCATCACAAGCGCGGCGCACCAAATGTCCACTAAATCTCTTTACAGAAAAATTCTAACTTTACTCACGCCTCGAGTCGTACTGGCCATGACCGGCAAGGGCCTCGGGCGGATAGTAGGCCTTTGGCGTCCGGGGTTGGATCGTGTGCTGTTGTTCCGAGTTGACGAATCTTGAAAAATTTGTCGAGTTTTGAAGGTTCGAATTCGAGGAAATCGATAACATGAAGTTCCATGACTTACCGCGAGACGCCGAAATCAAACAGTTTCACGTCGAAACCCTCGCGGCTCATCAAAATCCCGATATTTTTTGGGGTGAAGTCCTAGAATTCAGAAAAAAAGGCCTTGTATAGGATGGAAAAAAATGCCCTACCCGATGAATGATGCCAATGGTATGCAGATGGTTCAGCGTCACTAGCAACTGGTAGAACAACTTTTCCAAGTTTTGATGGCTATAGGGCCGCGGTTGAGCTGTGCCACTGAATGTTATCTCATCGTGGCATTATCCCCACTACGCAAATCCTTTTTAGGCACGCGTTTTGTCCTGGAAAAATAGAAAATTTTTGAATTTGCGTTTGACTGGAAAAATAAAAAAATACCGCGAAATGTTGCGCATTTTTTATTACTTTCCAGGTACTTTCGCGAATTATACAAAATAAAAATTTATTTTCACTGATTTAAAGATATTGTAGAAAGATACTTACATCCGACTGTCAAAAAACTTGGCCAAGCTCATACTGGCCCGCTCCATCACCAGCCAAATGTGTTCCAGCTTTCCGTTCTGATCCTCGTCATAGAAAAACTCGTAAAGGCGCACGATCTGCAAAAAAACCTAAGCTTCAATTTTCTTCTTGAGACTTGCATGTTTGTGCTGCAGGAATTGAGCTATTTGCAATTCCCTGAGGATATGCTTGAATTCACCGTCGCGGCGTCCGTCACTCGGAAAGTCGTATCTGCCGAAGACTGCATTTGCCTTGCCAAAAATTCACCTTTTACATGCGACCGGGATTGGTGTCGGATCTGCATCTGTTTTTATCGCGGCACTAGAATCATTTTGTACAAAATTTGATTTTTTACTTACATCACGTTTGCCTGGCTCCCCTTACCAATCAAATGGAAGTAATTACTGTCTAGGTTCGATGGTCGAAATTTCCTGTCATTCTAAAAAGGTAAAGGATAAACTTGAAATTTTAAGAGAAACGCTAAGGATCACTAGCGTACCAGGTCCGGGGAAAACTTTCCGGAAATCGCAATACGAAACAACTTCGGGTCGTTTGAGTCCGGATCGTAGCATTCCCTGGCTATTGGGCGGTTTGGGTCAGCAGCCGCTGCTTGCTGCATTTTCTAAAGGTTAGATTGTTTTTATCCTACCTTATATAATTTTGGGGTGTATCTCTGCGTGTGTGTGTGTGCATGTGTGTGGATGTCGCTTTCGAGGCCCGATTTAAGGGCCTTCCCCTGGATAAAATGCGCTGATTCCTTGTCACTAGCGGGAATCGACCCTCCTCTTTCCGATGGCGTTTTTAGAATTCCGATAAAATACAGGTTTACAAAGTTAGGTTTTATTCATTTTTGGGGGTAATTTGCATAAAATGAAAAAACAAATCTCCTCATTCTTGCAATTTGCAGGCGCGGGTGAGGTCGGTGGGGGGAACGAAGTTCGAAGGACCCGAGCTATCGGAAAGCCAAATTTTTCATGCAAGGCCCAATTCCAGCGCCCAGGGCCCGCGAAGCGGGTTTTGGGCACTGGGATTTAAATAAATACACAAGGTAAAAGGATGAAAGTAAATGAGCAAGAGGTGGGGGAGGTGGGGGAGCAAAACGCCACTGTTGGCCCGTGAAAAGAGGTGCCATTTTCAGTTGCCAGAAAATGGCCGGCGCGCCACGAAATCGATAGATATTTGCTAGTCGGAGAAGATAAGAGGAGAATTAGTCGATGGGGATTGCGTTTTCCCTAGATCCGATTCGGGTTTGCTTCGCTTTTAAATGACATAAAAAAGCCAAAGGTGTTTCTGAAAAAATGTGATTTTGATCGGGCGTATGTTTGTTACCATTACCGTGGATTAATTCGTGAAAAATCTTTACTACACTAAATAATCTAACATCAAATATAACAAAGTACCAACGACCACAACAGAGCTCAGCGATCTCAAAAAATTATGTTCTAGGCTGAACGTGAACATTCTGCGAGCTCTGCCTCAGAATTGCGTGCAAGGTGTTCTTGGCCTCATCCGGTATCGTGGTCGTTGGTTGCGAATTCTCTTTTGCAGCTTCCTGAAAAAACCCGTCTACTCATGAGTCAAAATTAACCCGAAAAACAACCAAAATCTGAGCTACCGCCAAAGTTACCGACCGCAAGATACTGGTCCTGTAAACATTGCGAAGCATGCGGTCTTCGATCCGGGTTTCTCTCAAGCATCCACCGCAGCAAACACACGAATTGCTCGTTTTTGCCTATCGTCTCGGCTGAAGTCGATCGGCTTTAGTAAATCATAAGGTTCAACCTGGATTCGTGCCGGTACACCACTTTTCGACTACGCATCTCAGTAGCTCATCGAGTTTCCCGGGATTTGGATGCTTGCCAAGGACTAGGTTTTGCTGAAAATTATTATTTACTTTAAAGCTATAAAAAAACTGAGTTACGCGGAATTTCGGGTTGCCGCAAATTGATTGGTTTTGCGCGCCAAATGTTTTCGGCGCACTAAGGAGAGCTTGTGAGAGGTGCAGATGTGATACCGAAGGCCCTCGGGTTATGTTTTAGCGTGAAAGGGTGTCATTGGTCACGTGAAGTCCATCCGATTCATCGCAAATCCTGCGATTCGGGATCGACTACCGAATAGCCAACATTACGAGCAAAATTACGAACCATTCCTTCTATCGCTGTTCTCGCTGCCGCAACTCCTGCCGGTATTTCCGCCAAAGGAGGCATCATCAATCGGAAGTGAGCCTTGGCGGCATAGCCGGGTCTTGGTTCTAAAAGCCCAGTATCAGTTCAATAACTCGGAACATACAGGGTGGCCCGAAAGTACGTTGACCGGGTTTTTTCGGATTTTCTAAAAAACTATAAGTACTAGCAGGATCATATTGACATAGGATATTTCTTATACAATTACTTTCAACATGGTATTATCACTTTTCCTATTGACTGACTTAGATTCGGAAAAACTGGCCGAGAAGATTGCTGAAAATGAGGTGCCGGCACGCGGGTACTCGGCGTCGTATTTGTCCCATAACTCAGCGAAGACTTAAATAAGGATGTTCAAATTTAGATGGGAACTAGTCAAGACCGAGGCCTTCAAGATCTATCACACCAAAAAATTTAGTCGGCTTAGGTTCTGCCTACAGAAGGGCGACTATGAGCGATCAAAAAACGCATGTTTCAAAACCTTAATAGCGGCTCCAGACACTTGCGCTCGTAGTCACAGGCAAAACAAGGCTATGAATTGTATTCCTAATGCAATTCTTCTAAATTTGGACAGGCGCGTGGAAGGCAACACTACCCCAGGTTTCCGTTAGAACCTTAATTGCACAGCACATGGCGAAAATTCCTGAAAATGGTAAAATCTAAAATTAATCCCCTTTGGATAAAAAGACATATGCTAGCTTTCTGAGTCATTTAGGAGGTGTGCCTAGCATTTTGGTAAAGCACGACCTTCCGGTGAAGGCACAGGGCCCTTGCACAAGCGCAAGTGTCTGGAGCCGCTATTAAGGTTTTGAAACATGCGTTTTTTGATCGCTCATAGTCGCCCTTCTGTAGGCAGAACCTAAGCCGACTAAATTTTTTGGTGTGATAGATCTTGAAGGCCTCGGTCTTGACTAGTTCCCATCTAAATTTGAACATCCTTAGTTAAGTCTTCGCTGAGTTATGGGACAAACACTACGCCGAGTACCCGCGTGCCGGCACCTCATTTTCAGCAATCTTCTCGGCCAGTTTTTCCGAATCTAAGTCAGTCAATAGGAAAAGTGATAATACCATGTTGAAAGTAATTGTATAAGAAATATCCTACGTCAATATGACCCTGCTAGTACTTATAGTTTTTTAGAAAATCCGAAAAAACCCGGTCAACGTACTTTCGGGCCACCCTGTAACGCAGACCTTCAAACGCCTCCAACATCACCAGCGCCGCGCACCAGATGTCAACTGAAAAATTTGTTCGACGCTTAGCTACATTTCCATACTTCGGGCATCGTAGTGTGGTTGCGCCAGCAGCGCTTCCGGTGGATAATAGATTGGTGGTGTTCGAGGGTCTGTGGTGTGTTGATTTTGTGCGTTTACGAACCTAGGACGAAGATTGAGATCAAAGACCGAGATTCACTTACCTTGAAACCCCAAAATCGAAAATCTTCACCTCGAATCCGGCCTTGCCCAACAGAATACCAATATTTTTCGGGGTAATGTCCTAAAACTCATTTTGCTTGTCGGCTGAGGCTCTTACTCGATGGATAATCCCAATCTGGTGAAGATGATTTAGCCCTAGTAACATTTGGTAAAGTAACCTTTCGAGGTTTGCGTGACTGTACGGTCTAGGGCTGGCGGCGTTTCTAAAATGTCGCTCTAAAAGCTGGATTGAAGTATTGCTCACATTCTGCTGTCGAAAAACTTGTCGAGACTCATACTGGCGCGTTCCATGACCAACCAAACGTGCTCAAGTTTCCCTGCTGAATTTTCGTCATAGAAATATTCGTATAGACGAGCGATCTATAACTGTAACTACGTACCCTTTGCGAAAGCGTACTGGAAACACAAAACGTGATACTTACATGCTTATGCTGTAGGAACTGAGCTATCTGTAGTTCTCGGAGTATGAATCTGCACTCCTCGTCGCTTGTAACGTCGTATCTAAGCCATGCACTATCAGAATTAAATATCAACCACCTCTTACAAGCTACTTTCATGTCGTTGCCAGAAGCATCCTTCTTTAAAGCGGCGCTAAACAAATTTTGTTTCCGCCTTGGCCTACTTACATAACCTTGGCCTGACTTCCGCTCCCGATCAAATGGTATACACCCGGAGGTAAATTCGGTGGTCGGAATTTAGCGTCCGTCTAAATGGCCACATCCAAAACCTACGAGGCGGCAGGTGAAATTACCGTATCGGGAAAATAGTTTCCAGGAACATTGAGCTGGTGGGTTGCACCAACATTGGTTTTTGGATTGTATGCGAAGAAAATCCCCGGTTTCGGCATCGAATTTATTTGATTTTGTTGAGGGTCTACCTCCATGCTATTTTTAGAGTTAGGGATAGTTTGCAAAGCACTGTAATTAATGTGTAGAGAACAAGCAGCACAAATTGCAAAGTTTTAAAAGAACCTTGCCGAACCCAAAGCTAAATTAATAAATTATACTCGAAAAAGTAACAAAGGTCCAAAAATTGGGCCGATAGTTGTCTTGTGCAAAGCATTCCGCCTTTCCGTTTGGTGCCGCAAGAAAATGGCCGACGCCGCGAATCGATTGCCCTCTTGCAGCCAGATAGATAAGGTGGCAACTATGGATCGCGTGTGTGCTATAGTAGAAAAGCTTCGGTCTGAACGAGTAAAAAAATCTTTATTCTTTGTAAACATAAGACGAACAGAGAAAAAATAAAGCAAGATGTCTATTCGGGGGAATAGGTTATCGGTTTACGAATTCGACCCATTTCATGAAAGTTACTAGTTTTCTAACTATAACAGCAGCTAACAAAAACTAAAAATAATCTTTTAGAAAACTCGCGTTAATTTTGAGCATCTAGGTAGATTGGGCCGGGGCGAAAAGCGGGATATCATACCATGCACCCTGCTTTGTTTCATAAGTGTTTAGGCAATATTACACGTGGACATTGTACGAAAACTGTTTCACGATGGAGTGCAGATTCTGCAAGGCTTCCTGGTCGGTGTTGCTGGTAGTAGCCGTTGTGGCCGTATCCTTTTCTTTTGCTATCTGAAAAAAAGATGCGCTAATTGGGCTAGGATACCAAGTAAAAGACTGAAAAAGTACTCACTTTCAAATACTCGTCCTCCAGGCATTGCGAAGTGTAGGGTCGGCTCTTCGGGTCTCGCGCTAGCATCGAGCGCAGCAATTTGAGTAGCTGTGCGTTTTTCCTCGCCGTTTCGTCTGGAATTTGTTGTATTTTCCCCGGCCTTTCCTGATTGTTAGTGCATGTTTCATAAGTTGCATGTTTTCCATTTTGTTTCTTTTTGGTCCAGCGAAATCCAGCAAAGATTATACCTGGGTTGTCCGGAACGTGGCACCATTCTTGGATGACCTTTTTCACGATGTTGTCAAATTCCGGAGGCTTTGGGTGTTTGCCCAGGACGAAGTTGTGCTGCAAGAAAATTCTTGGCGATTGGTTTCTCATGCAAAGCGATAAGAAGGGCGGGACATGGTTTTTATATCTGGATAGGGGTGAGGCAACCTTACCTTGTATTCCACAGCCAATCTAACGTTGTTGTGGAAAGCTACACATTCGTCCCTGCTTGGCTTCATTAGCTTGAATCGCTCCTGTGGGCCGGTAGCGCTAGGAGGTTGTTCTAAAACTTGATGATAAGTATACTCAGTTAGGTAGGATTACCATGCTAGACTGTAGTCGCGCCCCCCCCCTATCGCGCCCTTATGACCGTACCCCGCTGGCAGGCAACGGCTCCCGATTTGATGTCGTAAAGGTCTCGCCCTTTGGGATTTCTCCCACAATTTTTGGTCCTAATTTTATGCTGAGCTTCGGGTCGGTCGTTTAACGAATAAACTTTTCTAGTTTATCGAATATGCTAACTGCAAGCCGATCTCTTCACACCACTTCAAGACACCACATAGCTCTCGATGTCACTTCTTGACCAACCTCCAAATGCCTCAAGCAACACCAGCGCCGCACACCAGACGTCGACTAAACGGGTTTATCATTAAGTGAGTTTACGTCCTTTTTTAGAAAGGTCGAGTGCACCTATGTTCTAAGAGTGCCAATAAACCCACTCCGCGCGTCGTATTCCGGTTTGGGGAGGAGGGCTTCCGGCGGGTAGTAAATTTTCGGGGTTCGCGGCTCGGTGGTATGCTGATTTTGCGCATTGACAAATCCAAAAATCCTTTCTAGGAATCGGCGCCTCAAACACTTACCGCGCGACACCGAAATCAAACAGCTTTACCTCGAAGCCGCTTCTTAGGAGCAGAATTCCAATATTTTTCGGGGTAATATCCTACAAGCAAGAGTTTAGATTACGAAATTGCTAAAATCCCCACCCGATGGATGATGCCGATCATGTGGAGATGGTCAATGGCAAGCAGCATTTGATAGAGCAGCTTTTCCAGATTTTCATGGCTATACTTCCGCGGTTCCCTCGCTTGCCTGAATCTGAAAGCAGGCGTCAAGAATTTGACACTCTCACACTCTACTGTCGTAAAATTTGTCGAGGCTCATGCTGGCGCGTTCCATTACCAGCCAAAGGTACTCGAGCTTCCCAGTGGGGCCCTCGTCGTAGAAATATTCGTAGAGGCGAGCGATCTGAAATAGACGCAAATGCTCAAAGACCTCGAGCTAAAAAGCCAGTGCAAAACTTGCAATGTCCTCTCACGCAAAACGATTCTTGTTCTCTAATAAGGAGACGTTTTTGAATGTGTCGTCGGGGCTTTGAGACGACTACGATTTAAACCTCGGAACACCCCAAAATCCGCTGCTTTCGATAGGCATAAAAGGCTTCGGAATAGGTCAGAAAAAACCAGATAGTGCCTCTTGAGGTTTAAATCGTTCATAACTTTCGAGAAATGGCTATTCCGCAAGAACGGTCACCATATTCGGAATCAACGTGAAATTCTCCCAAGATAGGCTTGGTCCCATCCAAAAGTCCCGACGTCACTCAAAAACGTCTGTTTGTAAGCTTACATGCTTGTGCTCCAGGAATTGAGAAATCTGCAGTTCGCGTAGGATTAATTTGCACTCGCTTGCTCTTGAGCAATCGTATCTGTAATGGGTTAATTAAGATTGGTTATCTGGCAATTACCTCTTACAAGCCAGCCTGACTTCATTTCCATGCTTGTCTTTCTTGACGGCCGCGCTGAAGAGTGGTAATACTTAGGGTCAAAGTGAAATACTTTTCTGTTAATAATAGTAATAATTCAAATAATAGTAATGATAATAACAATAATAATAAGAAAATAACAAACCCACATCACTTTTGCTTGACTCCCTTTCCCGATCACATGGTAAACAGTGCGGGCCCAGGTGTCGGTACGAAATTTGGGATCTTTCTGCAAAACAATTAGGACTATTTCGAAATGTTTTGAAGCTCTCAAAAGCTAAATAAATATCCAAAAACACCCACCAAATCCGGTTCAAAGTTCTTCGGGATGTTGACCTGGATGGCGTCCGGCTGGTCACGCTCGTAGACCCACACTTTTTTCGACCGGCCTTCAGCCGGACCCTCCATCTCAGATTTCGAGGGTAAGCGTTTCTGTGAAAGTGGATACGCTTTTTTTTGGTATGGGACACTAAACAGTGAAAAACGTGGAAAAACAAGCAAATGTGTCACGCGAGTTTCGAAAAAGTCGACTGTCCTTTTTATGCTGCAGGGAAAAGGGCCCGGGCTCCCTAAATCGATGGCGATCGTGAGCGTGGCTGCTTTCTCGGATAAAACGGCGATACACGGCCCAGAGAAGTTCTAGGCCAGTGCAAATCGCTTTATGTTTAGCTTTATGCTAATAAATTAGTGGCGCAAAATTGGGTGACGACAACTTACCGAAATTATATTTTAGTTCGGCCCCAAAATAACCCCAACCAAACACATTTTGAAGAAACATTACTTGCTGGTTTATTTTTCACATATAACTTTGCAACAAATCAGCAAAATGGCCACTTAAAATGGGGAATGGGATATGGGGGAATGGAATATGCGGAAAGTGGATATTTGGCAATGGTATATGGGAGAACAGGGAGCCGAGTAGACCAAGGGGATACCAGAGGATTTCGAGGAGTAGATCCGGGATGTAGCCTGAAATATATAGTGCTTGAAAATTCTATATAACTGAATTGAAAAACTAGAAAAGTCACAGTTCTTCCTTACCCAAAAAGTTCAAAAATGATGGCGGCCAGGGTAATGGGAAAATGGCGATTTCGCACACGAAGCCAAGAACATGATATTTACAGGAGATCCCGAAGAGTTCGGATTTCTAAATATTATTTTTGTTGATTTGAAGTAATTTTTTCAAGTTTAGAAAAGCCTACCTTATGCGGTAGCAACGTCCCATTAACCAATTTCAAGAATTTTAGCACTGGCTCTGTTAAAGCGGTTTTCTGAAAAAAGTGTCTCTACCCGAGTAAACTTTCTAAAGCATACCGGGATGAAGAATTTAGGCATATCGCCTGCAAACAATCTTTCAAACTCGATAGGGTCGTGGCTTTCGATCAGCGGCCAGTCGAGAGCATCCAAATATTTTTGGTTGGACTTCTAAACATTCATTTCGACGTTGGTTTGCGTTAAATGTATTGCTTTCTTGAATTAAAATACACTATCGGGAGCGTTAAAAACAGCGCCGATTACCGTATCATTCTGCCCAATCCAGGGGAACCGCCACCCCGCCAGGGTATGCTCAAGAAAATCGGCGAACTGGGCCTCGGAGATATTTGTCGTTTTCTTAATTTTTTAAAGTTGCTTTTTTCCAGTAATTTTCTTACAGCAAGTTCTGGATTCTTCTTCAACCACTCCTCAACTTTCGCAAGGTAATCGTGTCCAGTTGCGAGGGAAAGACATGCAAAACAAGCCTAAATCGTCAAATTTGGGTAATGAACGCTCAGCTTACCAAAAACAGAATTCTCAGCATACTGCGAGTTCCAAAAAATAGTAGATTTTTCAGTACTTTTTATATGCTGCTTTTTATCAACACAAAACCAATTATTTGGAGCAAACATATGCCTGGGGCTGCTGATTTTTCTGTTTATCGTGGTTACCACCTATTTGCGTTTCTGTTGGGTACGATTTCGTCGAGAAGCCAGCAAGGCGCTTTTTTTGCTTAAAAATGCACGCTTTGTTCGAAATCCGTCGAGTAGAAAGCCGTTATACCTTTTTTCTAGGTCTCTCCAACTTTACAATTTTTCTCGACGCTTTAGGATGTATTTCCTGGTTTTTATAATTTTGTTGCTGAATAAGAGGATTGACTTGATGGTGTGTAGTCTTGGGGTGTATACGAAAAACTTGAAAATATTTTATTGACGGCATCAGAGCATGCCATATCTCCATTGGGACTTGCTGAGGAGGTTCAGGAGTCTTGGGCTGGGTGCGTAGGCGGGGTCGACTTGTTGGTGGAATGGCAGCAGGATTACCTAAAAAATTGCAAATTCAGCTTGTGTTTTGGTTAATTTTTAGTTTTATTTTATTTTTTAGTTTTCAGTTTCTAAAATTACTTTTTCCTTTGACATTCATAACGTAATCGATTACTTACTTTAGCAAAACTCCTCTTCGACAACCGATATAGCCGTTCTTGATCGTAGGCCTGAACCAGGGACAGGTAGAAGATGAGCAGCGAGAGTAGTATCAATATTCTGCGCATATCTGAAAAAACCTTATTATTAAAAATATGATAGAACAAAGCATTAAAAAAAGCCGAAAATTGTTAGGGGAAAACGTTTCAGAACAACGCCGAGAAATCGAGGTGCTTGAGCAAAATCTGGTGCACAGCACAAACTAAACGTGCTAAATAACATCCGATATAATCACCGGAAACTCTAGCAAAGAAGGCACATAGTAGCATTTCGAAAAAATGGTGAAAAAGGGCAAGGAAAATTTTGCAGCGCTAGTACGGTAAAGGGGATATTGGAGGAACCTTGGGCAATAAAAATTTGCAATGTAAGGTAAGGTAAGAAATTGGTAACGTAGTAGTAAGAATCCAAATAAAGAATTGGGTCTTGATGTGTCTGAAAGCTTTTCAGACCAAATTAACATCTCAACAAGGCCGTAAAATTGAATCAGGTTCCAATTTGGGCCCCGGCCCTGGATTTGGCTCAAAATTAATGAGCCGATTTGTACGTAGTGGTACTGATTTGATTTCGGAGTTGAAAGTACTGAAAAATTCCGGCCCACAACGTTTCAGAAGGGTAAGCAAGCTCCTAGATTTGTTCCAAAATTTAAATTGTATCGGAAATTAGCTTTGATCATCATTAAAACGTTTGAAACCAGGCTTGGAACAAAGAACAGAAAAGATGTTTGTACGCCTACACTCTTTGTGCAAAAAAATGAAAAACGGGCCTCTCGGCTTTACTTTCAATTTTCACACGGGGCCCTACTGGAGAGATTCTAGAAGCTCTAGAATCCGAAAACTGAGCCCAAGAAGTTTGCATACGTCATTTTTGTTTTTTTTTTGGAAATAAGGGTACAAAACAAATCCTTAATTTAACGATACCCATGGTTTAGAAATGCAAATTTAGCTCCAAGCTTTTTGAAGGAACTCCTGAACAAGCGTCCAGCCCTTTGCCGAAATTTAGGAGGGAGATTCCGACCATGAGCATCTTTTCCGGACATCACCACCGACAGGATTAACTCGTACAGGATGCCGGAATTTGCATGGCGAAGGCGGAACGGATAAGTTGAACCGGAAGCCGTGGGTTGGCTTTCAACGGGACGGCAAGCCGGAAAAAAGTCATATCCGGTGTTGCGGAGTCATCCATTCCCACGCTGGAGCAGACGGACAAATTTTGCATAACATCATTAAGGAAATGAGGATCTCAGGAGAATGGGATACTTCCAATAAAACAATTTTTAAAAAGTTATGGAATTTAACTCGAGTTTTAGGAGCTTTTAAGTACAAAAAACACATCTATTAAATCCTTATCCTTTATAGCAGCATAAATGTATAACGAAATTTTAAGTTATAAATTAAATGAACTTTGAATTAAATTATGCTTATTAAATTTGAAACTGACGGAATCTCAAAAGTCAGAAAAAATTTATTGGCAAGTTTCACTTACCCTAAATGCCAAGATCCGCAAATGGTCTCTGCTAGTCTGCCTTAGCTCTTTGAGCTTTTTAACCCTCTAACGAGAAGCCGCCAGGCAAGCTAGCAAACATTCTTCATGTACCTTGCCCTGTAACAACCTCGCACTTTCCGTTTCCTGTAGAAGTTGCTCGCGGCCGGATAAGCGAAATTCTGGCTCCACTGACTGCCTGAGCGTGACCCAGTTTTTGCAAAACTCGCGCGGAGTATTTAGGGGTCAGGTCGAACTGCAGCGGGAAAACACTTATCGTTTATGGGGTATGGGGTGGAGTGGAAAACAGTAGCTACCAGCCCAGGGGGGGAGACCGATCATTTCGTGATCAGCCGGGCGCTAGCACGAAATCTCTGTTTTTTTTGAGGTGCCGTTTGCCGCAGTTGGTGCTCAACCTGGCAGGAAGACGGTGAGTGCTTTCGAAGGCCATAAAATTAGAGTCTGAAATCAGAAGTGCATTTTTAGCTAGCTCTCCTTCTGGGCTCGAATTACAGGTTACACAATTTGTCTAAGATGGTTCAGTATAGTGTGTTGCCTAGCTTATTGTGGCGTAGTTTAATGTAGTGTGTCGTAGTGTAGTGTATGGCAGCGTAGTGTTTTGTAGTCGCGTGTAGTTAAGTGTCCACAGTTGTGTTTCTAAAAAAACCATAGCTAGTCTGCCCAACCAAGGGGCAGATTAGCAGGGTTCATTAGGGAAATCGCGAAAGGCGGGCTAACAGAGGTTGCTAGGCAGGGAGGGACAGGCCTGGCCGGGATTCTTAGGAAATGGAGGGTCATCTAGCGCAAAATGAAAGGCAGGCTAGCAGAGGTTGTCAGGGAAAACGAAGGGCAGGCTCGCAGAGGTTGTTTGCGAAAGCGAAGTGCAGGCTAGCGGATGTGGTTAGGCAAAGGGGGTAGATGCGCTAGCAGAGGTTCTTTAAAAAGTAGGGGCCATCTAGCAGAAAATTTTAGGAAAAATCAAGGCAAGTTAGCAGAGATTTTTAACCCCATTCCTAACAATTCTTTACTCAGTTTCTCGACGTTCTAACTCTCCCCAGTACCTCCAAACTTTCAGGTCAAACCCTAGGCTTTCCCGCGGTGCTCATGCTCGCTTGGCTGTAGGCTGGTAGTGTTGTATGGAAAAGGAAGGGAAGGGCGGATGACCTTCACCCCTATCCAGGCCCGTGTATACCCTAATCGACCCCATCCTCATCCTCCCCACAGCTTCGGGTCATCCCCAACCCGCCAGCCAGCCTATCCACCCCCGCCTAGTCCCTTCTCTACCCGCACTGATCCCGAGGTCGAACATCTCCCTCCCAGTGCACTTTTAGTCTACCCATACTTTGTACCTTTCGATCAGATAAAAAATGGCTGGAGGTTTTGACGTGAGAAGGTTCTTTTGCACTTAGTTTTTAATGAGTTACCGTGGTTCTTGTTGGGACGCGTATTACTGAGCCTATAAAAGAAAATCAGATTGTAGCGAACTGATTTTGGAGCTAAAATTACTTTTCGATATTTCACAAAAATATCGAAGAAACTCTCAAAAAATTTTAATCAGTGATAGAGATGATTTTTGAAGCCCTCGCCCTCTAGGCCCCCCTTTTTTCTGGAAAGACTCCAAATTAAAAGTTTGAATTCATAAGAATGTAATAAAGAAGTTATATTTTAAGTTTTTAAAATTCCCAAAGCGTCTGAGCTAGCTTGCCAGCTTTCTGGTACCTCGACAGCGGTACCAAAACCGGACGAGTTTTCTTGTTTGCGCTGCCATCCCCGATCTCCTACTTTCGCTACAGGATTGCATATGCAAATCGGCAAAGCAGAGAATCTTATTTATGGCGCTGTTTTGCTTGATTTCTTGCTAAAATTACCTTACGTTATGCCATGCATGAATTTTAAAACCCGGTGTTCCGCTTCCGAATTTTAAGGTCATAAAGTTACTAAATTAGCTGATTACGGCTAGACATCGAATCGAAGAAACTATTACTATAGTTTCTACCCCTTTTCTATCAAAAATGTGGTCTTTGGATTTTTCGCGTTTTAGTACATAAAACATAGCACAAAAGTGGGTTTTACCGTGTAGCGTTTCGTACGCAAAATATACCCTAGCCGAGAGTTTTGCCTTTTTACCACTAATGATTACACTCTAAATAAGTCCCAGAAATTCAATAGCTTCAAAAGCCTGATTTGGGTCGAAAAAATCGATAAATCGATAAGATCCTGTACACATTAGTTACCCAAATCAAGTCCAAAAGCATTCTGTATCTTGTAGTGTTTCGCACCCGAAAGATGGCCAAAGCGAGAGCGTTTTGCCCTTTTGTTGTTCCAAAGTGCCCAGCAAAGGCCAGATGTAGCAAGACTCGATGAAAGAAAAATTGAGCTGTCCGGTTTTCGCCTTCCTATTTTTGCGTTTTCGCTCTCCAAAAAAGGTGCCCAGCCTTCCAACTTTTATTTGTTCTCGAGTTCCGGGAAGAGGCAGATAAAATCTGTTCGAGATCCGAGAAAAGATACCGGTTCTGAGTTTTCTCTTTTTCGATTCGTGTTTCATTTTCCTTATTTGGAACGCTTGATTTAAATTGTAAAAATATTCTCTGATTTCTAAATTATCGATATAATGTGAAAAAAATTATTTTTATATTCTGGCAAAATTTCAAAAAATATTTGACCTTGAAGGGCCTACGTAAACCACCCCATTAGGCGCGTCAGGGTTTTGAGTGCCCATCGATTTTGGTGGGGCATATTTTTGAGAGTTCCGAACTGAAACTATTGACGTTTATGCTCTTTTTCATCATACTTAAATCGCTATTAACTATTTATACCTTTAGATGCTACACATTCCGAACACCAGCCGATTTCCGGGCGAATATTTTCATGCGGCCAGTTTGATTGCGTTGGTAAGACTTTAAATAATTTCTAGAAAATGCCTCTAGATTTTTGAAGCTGTTAAATTAAAGCTAAAAAGATTTTCTACAATTTTTATGGTTAATAATGTGTATAAAAATCATTATTACCTAAAAATTGAAATTTTTAGACAAAATAGAAAATCTTTCTAGCGTGTGAAGGTCAAAATTTTCTGAATTGCGTGATTACCTACTTTCAATGCCTTAAAAAATATTAAAAACATTTAAATGACAATTTTGATACAAGAAAATTGGAAAATGGAACGATAATTATGGCATTAAATATGCAAATCTCCAAATCCCTTTTTAGGCCCTGTTCGGGTGGTTCACGCAATCGCGGATATTCTGGTACTACGTGACGGCCTACGTGACCGTGCGCTTCTCCAAATTCCTGTTCATCATCAGTAAATCGGTGTTCGTCCACGGGATAATGCCGCCAATGGACGTCACCCAGTTCAAGGACAAATGGACTGGTGGGTTAAAAGACACCTGAGCAAAAAAGTGGGAAATGTGCTTTAGGGCTAGGATTTTGTTAGATTATTCAAAATTTTGAAACAATTTACATTTCATAAACTTTTCATAATGACCATACTGTTATGATAAATTTCACGCTTTTTAAGTGTTAATTCAGCTGGTTAAACTTTACATTTAAAGCTCTTGAAATCTGCTTAAAGGGCACGTTCAGGGACGTT